GCTAGACGAGTTCTTAAGAGTACGTCCTTTGAAATTAGACACCAAGAATGCTGAGCTAAGAGAACTCCTTGTCGAGAAAATAAGGTACCTTAACTAGTAGTAGTAGTGGACGGTTCATTCGTCATCCTCACGACTTCACGCATAAGCCTTCCGTAAAGAAGGTCTTGGATGATGTCTGACTGACCAATGGCTGCATGCTAACCAAAGCACGTTCGCTCGTTGCGCGACTTTCTACCCTAGCTATATGCTCTCCACGCTGTGCCTCTGTGTGCCTGAGCTCCTTACATCGTACTTTATCCACGTTCACACGGAGCTGTCTCCTGGCCGTAAATCCCTGTCGTACTTCATCGAAACGCTTGCCAGGTAGTGAGGGACTCTAGTCGTAACGAGCAAAACCCGTCCTGCTTCTACTTTATTTGCGATGAAAACTCTTCATGTCAGATGACCAGCCCTAGCCCTATGAGGGTACGATGTCCACGCGACAGCGCCTCGATCTCCGTACTTGCAAGCCCCCACTTTGCCGGGGGAATCTACCGTGGCAGCGGTCAACCGGGTCCCGGACTCCCGTGTGAGGTTCAACCCGGAGGTACCTCCGCAACTGCCGAACCATGACAGGCAGCATGGAAAACCTTGCAGAAAGCCGGTGCCTTTGTGAAAAATTCGGTGATTGCTCCTCAACGCAAATCTGTGGGTACCAGCCACGCTTTCCCCCCCCCTGCTGCGTTGGCTTTCGGATAAGCTGGAAAGCATATGATTAGATGTAAGGCAGCACTTACTTTATCGACCTGAGTAAACTGGCCCTGGCAGACTATTTGCAAAAAGGCATCGTCTAAATCGGTTATAGCTGTTGGCACCGTCCGTGGTCAATGAAAACGCATTACCGTTTTAATTGGCATACAAGATACTATTTTACAGACGAAAACGTCCGCAAATCGTCGTTTGGAACTCCATCTTATATGCAAAGGGACCTTATAAGTTATGACAGTGTGGTATCGTATAGCCCAAAATGGTCCACACGGTTCTCTAAGGGGGGGTTTGTTTCGAACTCCAATTGCTAGAATCAATCAGTATTACCAAAAATACCATCTTTAGCGCTCCAGTCAGGGTTGTCTCCCCACCCAGCGTGGTCACTGGTGGTGACTACCGTCTTACAGTCTAACTGTTACATAAGGTACGAATGGCATGACGATCATCGGCCTTTTTGGGCGACAAGTGACGGGCTTGGCAGGTGGGAAATGGGGCATGCTGATTGGGGGAAGTGTGTCCCAGCGGAGCTAAGAGTATGATGGGAAAGTCGAGCAATATGCATAATATGTATGTACCATGACGGACTGCCGGAGGGCAATTTCATCTGGCGCTTCGATCTACGATCTCAAAATGGCATGTCCTTTAGAATTAGGGGGGATCCTGTAGGGTGTATCTCCGGTTACTCCTACCTACCTTAGGCAAAAGAGGGGAAATCGTACCGACAAGAGTACAGCACCACTGAGCACAGTACTATTAGGCTCAAGGCTACTAGCAAATCATATCTCTTCGACTTATTGACACTGGTCCGCTTCAAGCTTTAGTTTCTGAGTAGGACCCGTCTCGCCCATTCTTCTGTTACAGCGAAGTCAATTACTTTACTGAGCAACCTCCGAGCTTCCGCTCTCCTACACTCCACTTAAATGCTCAATCTTTTCCCTTCCATCCCACCTTGAACGCCACCCATCTTCATAAACATCCCTCAATATTATATATCACGCTGATAACCTCGACTTGCTCATCAGAAAGCGCATCACTCACCGTATAATCCGTCATTGCAAAGACAATCTTTGGGAAATTCCATCGCGAAAGGCCCGTACCGAGGTACGCTCCGCCAGGAGACACCTCCGTTTTTGCCACCCCTTCAATGCACTAATACAACAAACAGGACTCCTGTTCGGCACCTTCGGTTACCTCTCATCACCACCCATCATGACTGCTGCAACGCAAGGCTACATCTCACCGAACCCTTACGGTGCCGCCAACATGTTTGCCCGCAACATTGCCAAGAACAACGATTTCATCAAGACCTTTGGCAACACACCCACCAATAATCATACCATCGAGCCACAGCAGACGGAAAAGTATGGTGCAACTCGAGATGTTATTCCCATCTCCATCAACACCGACGAATCCTCCTTCTTCGACTTCGAGCCATCCTCTAGAGCCGAATCCCCATACCAGAACCAGTTCTCGACCCCTGGGGCGTCGGGTGTGTCATGGAGCAATGAAGCCAGCTTCCGTCCCTTCACACCACCGAGCTCTGCCTCCTTTTCTCCAAAGAGCTGGCCTTACAATAGCTATAAGCAAGACACCCCATCCAATATCTTTACCAATATTCACTCAGCCAACACGCGTGCCCATTACGGCCAAGTCACTCCACCAGACGACGAGAACGACAACGAGAGCCTGCTGGACTTTCAGCTTCGCGATCAGCTCGAGCAGCATAAGATGCAGCCACCGCAGGATACAGGCAAAGGAAAGCGGAAGCGTAACTCTCCCACCAACGACTCGACCAGCCAGTCACCACCTAAGCGCACCCGCAAGTACGCATCACGCGGCTCAAACAAAACCAATGAGCCCATCAAGCCAGAAGACGTCAAGCGTTCCAAGTTCCTAGAGCGTAATCGTGTTGCTGCATCCAAGTGTCGCCAGAAGAAGAAGGAATGGACTCAAAACCTCGAGAACCGTGCCCGCGACTTGCAGAAGAACAACACCCAGCTCCGCCTGGTAGTTGATTCGTGTCGACAAGAGGTGCTGTTCCTCAGGGGAGAGCTGCTGAAGCACAGCCAATGTGACTGTGAATCAATCCAGACTTACATCAAGTCCGGAGCCAACAACTTCGCCGACCATAAGCAGGAGGACGACCTGTTCAATCGCGAGATCAGTCCTATTGGAAGTAGGCCACGAAGCCGTCCGGGCAGCATTGACTCCGAGTCCGGTGAAAACAATCTCGGAAGCACGTCTCCCCCAGCTGAGCGAAGCAACGCCTCGATCGCCGACGATGACAATGCCTTGGAAGCCTTGCTAACAAGTTCGATGAAGCATGACACGAGCGACGAGGGTATTGCGTCCGCTGTGGCTATTGCTGCTTAAGCGCCAGCTACCCTGTGGCCTCCTCTGCTCGAGAAACGGTCATGGTAGTCGTACCTGTTACTGGCAGCCTAGCAATAGGTACTCGGCTTCTTGTAACTTTGATCACCTCATGAAGCATCAGACCATAATATCGACGAAACAGCTGCTGGTGGCTGCTACCGCCTTTGCACGCTTTCCAGACAAAACATGGCTCGCTTCATGGCTGGCAGCTTTCGTTCTTCGGCCGGTGTACGATTCGGCTTCATGTCTGCTCCTAACGAGTCTCTTAAGATACCACGGCACTATAGCTAAAATGCGCGATTTCATTTCAATTTTGGGGAAGTGGGATGGTTGTACTTACTTTATGATACCACCACGAGCACATAACTCTAGTTAGCCCATGAGACAAGCGTACTTGCGCCAGCAATACTTTCAGTCTGATATACTGTGTGACACGCATGGTACTGCGAATGCACGTTGCCTCACGCCGAGTTTTTGACTTTCTTTCCCCTGTCGACAACAAGACCGATTTCAAGAACGCAGGCTTACCCAAGCATTCTTCTACTCGATGTATGTTGGTTGCAAGGAGAGCAACCGCGACAGAAATGAGTCTTGATCTTCAACATAATGGGGCAAAAGATGAAAGATTCTTTCTTTCTTTTGCGCAATTTCATCATCTATACGATGGGGGCGCAGCGGCCATATGATACAGACATGACGCACCGGTGACGCACCGATCGTGGCAACCGGCGCGCGTCATTATGCCCTCACCCTTTTTCGGTTCCCCCGATCCTTTCAAGTACGAAACTCGATATCCCAGTCCTGCTTCGATTGCCAACGGTTCCCCGATTTCTTCTCGTGCATAATCTTGCATGATATCGCGGCTGTTGCCCGAAAGTCAAAAGGCAGGCTTTTTCGTAGACGCTAGTGATTCTTTCTCTCTCTTTCTCTCTCTCTCTCTATATGTTCTACTCTATCCTAGAAGCGTATCATCTAAATGCTGACCTCTCCTTTCAACGTATCGGACAACGTATCGGACAATGGTCTGTAGATCTTATATCTTAGTCCCTTTGTAATCGAGGTCCTGCAAATATCGACCGCGATCCCATCACTCACACGCACATCTTTGCCTACATCTCCTTTACTCTGCAGCTTTTCCCCGTTCCTTTCCAACCAAGCAAGTAGCAGTCGCGTCGGACCTGCGTCGCCGCTGTGGAGACGTGTCGGGAATACAAGTCATCTAGCTAATGTACTGCAGCTGAGGTCTACTCTTTGTTACAGACCTCATCGAACAAAGTCCCTCCCCTAACTGATATTCAACAACAACAACAACACCATCCCCGCCTTCAACGAACCGAACGAACGGTCCATCAATCACCGTCCATACGCCATCCACGTCCATGCAACCCGTTATCCCACCCCAAAACAACACCCATCGACCTCCGCACACGGAATCCCCATCCCGCACGATCCTCGCCAACATCGCCATCGGAAAATACGTATTGAATTTGCCGGGAATACCGCCTGCACAAAGGTCATGTAGGTAGGTAGATGCATGCATGCGTGCCATTTTCCGGGGAAAGAAAGAATTTCCTCCGCGTGTTCAAAGTGCCCGTTCCCGGTGAACGGGACTGGGGTGCCGATGTGCGTCGCTGGGTGGCATGGCCTGCATGCTGGATGATATCTGCACCCGAGGGTCTGCCTGACGCGGAAGAACGTGCCCGGAAGAGCTTGGTGACGTACCTAGGGCGTTCGGCTTGCGGTGGAGGATCAAGTAAAGTACCTATGTAGACGCGTCTGGTTTGGCGGATGGATATTTACAGGTGTACAGAGCTCGATTTTAGAGAGGTTCTCCTCCCCCTTTTACCGTCTTACGCCGTACACTGTGACTATGATGGCTCTCAGCGCTTCCAGATCAGACACCCTTCCTCGTCTTGATCACATTTCCTCGCCAGCACCTCTTCCACCTTCTCCCTCGTCCCTGATCTCCTCCCGCCCTCATCGAAGAACTTCGCTATCACCTTTTGGGCCTTCTGCCCTCCCTGCTGGACCACGCCTCGTATTTCGTCCTCCCTCACCAGACCCATGCGGAAGGGGTACTCTCTGTAGTCCCTTTCCTGCTCGTTCCGCAATTTCATCGGGAATTCGCCTTCGTGGTTGAAGAACTTGTTAACATCTTCCCTGGTGACACCTTGGAGCGAAGGAGGATTCCAAGTCGGCTTCGTCGGAGGTTTGTGTATCAGGCGTGCAGAGACGCCGCTGCCGAAGTCGGGATGCGACATGAACCTGCCTGCAATGTGGTATTCGTTCTTGAAAGCTTCACCAATGGTCCATCGGCGGCCCAGCTCCATTTGCTTCAGCGTTACCTTGAGACTCGTCGGAGAGCGTTCTGACAGAGTCTCGAGGGTGCTATTCGCCCAATCTCTGATATGTTCTGGGAGCTTCGTGTCCTTCTCCTCATCCTCAAGCGCATCGATGATGGCCTCAATCGCCCCATAGCCAAAACAGCGATCAATCGCTTTTCGCAGCTCGCCCGCTAAAAGCATCGGCTCATCGTGCGGTAGCCCCGTCTCGAATTCTGCAATTGTAGCCGCGATGGTGGCGAGGCGGGAGTACATGTCTTCGTAGTCTTTGAACTCGATTTCCGCGAGGCGGGCTGTAAGGGATGAGAGCGAGGAGGAGTGGACGTAATGGGTTGCTACACCCGCGTAGAAGGCGTTGACGCCCTTCAATCGTTCGGATGTGAGCGCGAGGTAGGTTCCTATACTGCCTTCCAGCCTGGGTAAAAAGAACGAGCCACCAACATCGGGGAAGAAGCCGATTGAGGTCTCAGGCATGGCAAAGAGCGTTCGTTCGGTAGCTATTCGTATGGGAGCATGTACCGACAGCCCAACGCCGCCGCCCATTGTAACACCGTCCATGTATGCGATGTAAGGCTTGGGGTATGTAGCTATGAGATGATCAAGCTGGTATTCGAGCGCGAAATAGGCCTGACTCGCAGCTTGGCCTTCAGGACCAGATGCATTGAGCTCGGCGAGAGCTGCGACGTCACCGCCGGCGCAGAAGGCTCTAGGGCCGGCACCACCGATGATTATTACACTGGCCAATTGGGACTTCTCCCATTCCTAGAAGTAGCAAGGGTTCAGCTGAAGGAGTAAAGCAGGCAAGGTTGGGGTGTGCGGACTTGGAGTCTAGACATTATCTTGCGTGCCATTGAGCCATTGAGGGAGTTGAGCTTCTGGGGTCGGTTGAGCTCGATGGTACGGACACCGTAGATGGGGTTGAAAAGGACGTCGTCGGGGTCGTTTCGGGGTTCTTCCTTTGGTGCCTGAGGACCTGTGGCCATCTGGAAGAATATCAGTGCCGTCATGGCAACACCGAGCCATAGCCAAGGATTGCGAAGCTCCGTACTGTTGCAGCTTGCCCTGATATTGCAGGATTGAGAATCTTCGCTTTAAGAGGCATTATAGAAAGTGGGGACCGCGAGAGCCTGCTCAGCGGCCTATATGCTGTTGTGCAGGAAGGTCGTAGGAACATCAATGGCAATAGAGCTGGCATTGCAGTACGTCAATCCAAGCGTTGAAGAAGGGAAACCTTTTGTTTCCCGATCTGTTTACGCTTATTGGCGCGAACCTCGGCTTCGGTATCTATCCCGAGCCTATTCGAAGTGATGAAGTATTACCCCTTGACACTCATGAAGTCGAGGCAGGGTGTGAATACGATAAAGGTTACTTGAATTTGGAACTGTATGCATGGTAAGGCTGAATGGTTGCAATTGTATAGACCCAGCTTCACCAACGCCTAATCTCAGTCATCTGCGTACAGCAGAAGGCACCCTCATATTCAAATCGCTCGAATGCTCCCTCAAGATCGCATCCAATGATCTCTTCTCAATCACCACCCTCCCAAGCTCCAAAAGATCTTTGACATCAATATCCGCCTCCTCTTTCACTATGCCGTGCTGACCACATCCCGGCTGCTCTTTGGACCCATTCAAAGCCTGAAACAATTTAGGCATCACCCTCCTCGTGACGATCAAAGACCTCGCGTCTCCCTTCCCCCAATGATTCCACTGCATGATCTGCTTCATGAACCTGGAATCCTCATTCTCAATATCCTCAACTTTCTGCACAACAATCAGCTCCCCCCTTCTATACCGGTAACTCAGCGCTGTCCGCCATGCCAGGTCGTAGATCTTGCGCGGTAGCTTGGTAGACATATCCCTAGGCTTGGGCCCAAACGCCACACCGCCTCCTTTAAGCATGGGACTCTTCTTGTCACCCAGTCGAGCTCTGCCTGTGCCTTTTTGTGCCCGTATTTTGTGCCCACTGCCGTGGACTTCGCTTCTCCACTTGGTGTTCGCAGTTCGCATTCCCCGATGGACATTGGCTTCGTATATGACAGCACGGTGTAGAATATCGCGGCGGAGTGGGAGATGTAATTGATTGGCTGGGTATTCGGTGAAGCGTAGGGGCTCCATGTACGGGAAGCTGTAGACTGTTGCTAGTACATTGGGCACTGGAGGAGGCGGTCGGCGAAGTATCGTAGGGGTAAACGGATTATAGATCGCGGTTTGCGGGAGCTGAGTCTCTGTTGCCATTGACCTCGAGAGGCGTGATGCGAGACATTGCTGGTTGGTCGTTAGATGATGCTTCTCAACTCATGGCGTGATCATTACAAGCAGTGAATCTCGCTTGCCAGCGAAGGCGGCCAATGATCTCTTCGAAATCTGGCCTGAGCTGCGCAAGCTCTTAGTGGCCATAATGGCCAGCCTGATCTAGAATGCTGGATAATGCGAAGCGGTTGTGGAATCGACGTGCGCTTGGCGGAGACCTAACAGATTTCGCGTAGTCTTTGTGCAGGTGTAAAGCGCGCCGTATCAATTTGGCCTCGACTTCGCCTCCCTACCTTTTCTGATGGTTTCCCTTCGATTACTGAATGGTATGCCTTTAACTGGAGATATGGCAGCCATCAATTTCATTGATGTAAAGTTTGGATAGGACAGCGGGTGCTGACTCAGTCGCTTTAGAGCCAAGAATTTTACGTTCCACCATTCTACAACATAGACGTCGTCGTTGAGACATTCTTCTCCTTATAGTACAATCACTGACCATGGCGATGCCAACTTACACCATTCGTCCAGCCCTGCACTGCCTACGAAATGCAGCGCGGCGACGACCCATTCCCCCATGCTCTTCCCCCAGCTTTACAACCAGCACCCAGCGGAATGTTGAAGCCCTCGAAACAACATCCACCCCCCCTGCCCCACCCCCTCCAAACCTCGACCCCAACACCGTCTTCACTCCCCGCGATGAGCGCCGGCTCCTCCGCACCGGTGTCCACCCCATCGGCTCCCGCCGCCGCCGCGCATCCATTCTCTCCTCCGACAACGTTCCCTTCGAACAAATGCCCTACCAATGTTTCCAAGAAGCACGAGCCGTGCTCGCCGAAGACCGTTCCCGGAAACTCTTGGAGATAGCAGAAATGCGAAAACGAATAGCTTTCTGGCAGAATGTGCCGGCGAGTGATTTGGGGGGGGAGTATGCGAAGAGGGGGAAGTTGGTGAGGATGCAGAGGTATTTGGAGCAGTTGAAGATCTTGGCGGATGTGAATGACCCGGTTATCAAGAAGAGATTTGAGGATGGAATGGGTGAGTCTGATATACCACTTACGCCCACTCTGATGCTTGTGGAGTTGATGCTAATCTTGGGGCGTGACTTAGGAGACATGGAGCGCCCAATCTACCGCTACCTCGCTGACCGCAAATGGCGCGAGTACAAACGCAAACTCCTCATGCAACGCATATCCCAAATGCACATCGTCCCCGACATGCTCCCGCACCTCGACCCCATCGCCGAAGTCTCCCTCGGCTTCGGTCGACGCAACGTCCAGCCTGGCGAATTCGTCGATTCGCGCGTTAGCGAGATACCGGCACGGCTGAACGTGCGGGTCTTTGATAAGGGGGAGAGATTGGTCAGTATAGCGGTCGTGGACCAAGATGTGCCGGATGAGGAGCGAGATAGTTTCGGCTCGAGATGTCACTTTCTGGCTGTGAATGTACCGTTGAGTCCGACGAATACTTCGATACCGTTGTTCAAGTTGAAAAAGGAGGAGCATATTGTGCATCCTTGGCTGCCGCCATACGCGGAAAAGGGCGCACCGTACCACCGGTTGGCGGTTTTTGTTATACAGCAAGATGGTGCTTGGAAGGGAGCGAGCTTGGATATCAAGGCGTTGAGAGAGAGTTCGAGGAATAAAAGGGACGGCTGGAAGATTCGAAGATTTGTGGATAAGAAGCCGCTGAAGCCGATTGGGATGCATTTGTTCAGGAGCAAATGGGATGAGGGGACCGATGGAGTGGTGACGAGGGCGGGCGTTGAGGGGATGAACATCGAGTTTACGAGGAAGAAGCCCGAGAAGCTACCATATAAGAAGAAGGATGGAGCGAGATACAGGTAAATCGGAAATATTTGGGTGTTTTGTGTATAGAGCAGCGCCTGGGAGCCCTGCGTTGAGCATTTTGTGTATATTTACAGTCATAGCTTTCATAGCGTCACCTCAATCATAAAAATAATTCACAGCAAGGATTTGGAGTCTTCTTCTATATGATTTGAAGCGATGGATGTCCCACCACCATGGCCGATCCTCTCCGTAGGAAACCCAGAGAGCATCCACGCATTTGGTCAGTTATCGTATGTTATCAAGCGATACTTTTCAATCTTCCTCCGTTGACAAACAAGTCTGACACTGACTATTCCACAAAGGAATGGGTCGAGACGATGTATACTGTGGAGGTTGTCTTTTAGTTGGAGAAAAGAGCATAAGGCGAGGTGGCAAGGAAGCATGTGGGTAGAAACAGAGAGGTAGATGGGTGAGACGTCGGAAGATGGAATTTAGATAGTATGCATATTCTAAAGTGATAAGTGGGGATAGCCTCGTTTGCGTCGATGGCTCTAGGGAAATATCAGGTCCTCTCTTTCAAGCAAAATCTCTTATCAGCGGGGAGGCAAAGAGCTAACGCACCGTCCATATCCTGTCCTCGCACCTTGTACAGAATGCTTCATGGACCCTAGACCTTTTATGCTCGCGTCTTAATTATCCTCCATACACAATCCGCCTCTTCGAAGAGTGCTTACAGCCTTCTCGCTAGTAACCTTCTCCATCACCGAAACGAGAAATCCGTTCCAAGTACGGGTGATTCAATCACCTCTCACGGTTGAGACTCTATTTGGTGGCATCGTCCAATAATCTCCATATTCAATGCCCCTAATTATCCCACCCATGTTTCCAAGATCCTTTCCATTGATGCCTCACAAAGAAGTCTCCTGGCCCTTGGTGCTCGTCCCGAGTCGAGTTTGAATGTGGTTGCCCTGCCCCAAATCCATCAATCGGAAGCACAAGGACGTCTCCAAATAATCGTGGCTCAGTCATGCCTGTGATGTTAAGGTAGTTCATCTCGGTGCCCGTCGCCTCCGACATGGCTTCCATGACAGCGCGTGTCCAGATAACAGGCCCACTGACTTGGACAACCTCGTCATCCGATGGCTTGAAATTGGCGATGCTAGTGTTATTGCGCTCAACTGTCTCATTCAGGGCTGCAACGACTTTCTTCACGATTTTCTTCATAATGGGATGCCCTCGGCTAGCCGCCATGGTCCATTGACAGAATTGAATCCGTTCGTTCATACCATAGTATGGTTCTCCATCTAGCTGGTCATATTCCACTCCGACGACGGCGTGAACCTTGGACCTCATCTCTTGTGGAATCCAGTCTCGAACGGACTTCGCTACAACTGTGTCAAGATCGCTGTATATTCCCCCTTCTGATTCGAGTATCATGTATCGCAGCAGATCAGAACGAAGGACGTGGAATTTCAGTTGGAGAAAGGGTTCGAGGATATCTGGTCGATCGGCGTAGTGTTTTCGGGCAAAGTCATTGGCGCCCTGATTGCTCATGAGAGTGTAGCTGTAATCCTGGTTTTTCGAAATCCACGTTTGAAGTGCAGGCGCAAAGTCGTCGAGCGGGGTGTAGCCGAAGAAGATCTGCCATATTCGAGGAGGGATCTCGTCCAATTGAGGCTGCAAAGGCTGTTGTGCCCGCGATCCTGACCCTATTGGACCATTGTAGATGAAGAAGTATACGTATAGGGCAAACAAGAATGCTCCAAAACTAAATCGGGTAGGCCGTCGCCTTATGACGCTGGTGCCGCTCACGAGGCTCTGCCCGATGCCATTCATGAAGCTATGGTGTTCCATGCTGTTGGCAGGGGCGTCATTGTGGAGAAGAATTACCACAAGGGAACAGAAATGTATATGATAAACGGAGGGAGACACGTGAGAGGCAGAGACATCTGGCAATAAGGCTGTTCATCTCGAGGGACGCCGAAAGCTGAAGGATAGTGGAGAGTGGAGCCTGCACGTTGCGGAGCGGTAGGACCAGGATTCGGGCCGAAGCCTCTTACCGGAGGCCCACCTATGACGCTGTGTAATTGGGCTACAAAGAGGGCGCTCGTTCCTAGCCTCGTTTCGACTTCTGGGGGGGGGACACTGGAGTTTGATCACTTTGGTGTCACTTGGCGGTGTGGCGGCAGTGGCGCCGCAAAGTTGACGCCGTCAACTTGACAGCTAGAAAACTCAGTCGCCGAACGCAGCCGCTCATACCCTTAAAACTTACGAAACACAATACTCTCCACATCTTTCTCTACTATTTAGGTATTTTCCAGAGCGCAGCGATCCTTTTATATGATGAGTATTGACGAGTCGTAGCGCAATAATAGGAGAGAAATGGGTAGTCCTCGGGCCTCAAAGGAGCAGCGCTTTGTGCTGTGCAAAGTGTCCTCGATGCTAAACCCAGGGAACCTTTACGTTTTGGGTAGCTACTTCGCCTCTTGCTTCGTTTCCTTCCCGGTAAATCAGCCAGGACTCAGATTGCGGTTCTTGTGCTACTAATGGGTGCACGGAAGCCGTTCGAAGTCTGAAACATGACTGCTGACAATTGTTTAAGCTAGTTACATACCCACTCAGCGCTTAGCCATCTGGCAGTCCACGTCGAACCAACTTTTGCTGATCACGCCCCGACGGCGCAATCTCTTTCATCATCGTATTCTGATCACTCAACTTCTCTTTCGTAGGATTCCTGCCAGGGGTCAATTAGGTTCATGTTCAGTGGGCTGTGTCTTGACAATGCCTGTCCATTTCATCTGATACTACCCTAATGCAAGCCCGATGTGTTATCGCACCCTCCTCTTCGAGGGAGCTTGATAGTATGGAAAGCGTGCCTTCGGAAACCCTCCGCGTCGACGTTGACGCTGAGGCAAAACGAAAATATTGAGCAGTCTCTTTTCCCTAGTCCTCAATCTCTTGCCTTTTGCGTCTTCTCTTTATCAGACAAACAAAGCTATATAACCTTGAAAGCTACAAAAATGAGGTTATCGCAGTGGCAGACGTCGCTGTTACTCTGTTTGGCTTCTCTCTTACCTCGGCCGTTGTTTGCGGCTTCGTCTGCCGCTACCTCCCTGCCCACCTGCACTCCGCAGAATTCCATTCCGATTCACTACCCCATCCGTAACGTCACTCTGAGCGACAGTACATTAAGGAGAGGCGCTGCTGTGTCCTTTGGGACTCCCGGACAGCCTTTTGCCTGTCTAATCAATCCGTCCGTATCCTTTTGATCGGATACACCTGAATTGTAACAATTGCATCTGACCAATCTAGAACATACAACAACACATACCTTAATGACGGTACAGTCCCCCGCTGCAGCGTCAACAATACACGGTCGCAATGCTCCAACCAATACGGTGGCCTGTTCGACGAGGGGAGTTCGACAACATGGTCCCCATCAAATTTCGCCGCACTAGGGACCGCTGGCGAGAGTACATCAGATCAGGATAACGACACATGGGGAAGTGATACTTTGCTCGTTAATACTACGCTTTCCGTACCAGACTTTCCATTGGGAATCTTTCGAGGCTCAAGAGACTATCAGAACACCTTAGGACTGGGGCGCAACTCGACCTTGCTAAATGCTCTTGTCTCAGCCGAAGCTATAGCTTCCAGGACCTTTTCGATTTTCCAGGGCTGGACTGGTGCCCAGACTCAGTACCAGACGGACGGAAGTTTGATACTTGGCGGTTATGATTCGGCAAAAATTACAGGCAAAAATATCACGCTACCTTTTACAGTGGAAGAGGATTGCATTAACGGCTTGGTCATTTCCGTGACTGATATCAATATGAATTTGAACAATGGCTCAAATGTTAGCATTATAGGAAAATCACGGGGATCGGCCATGAGAGCCTGTATTGAACCTGACTACAGTCCCATGACGCTGTCTGAGGATATCTGGTGGGCCTTCACAAACGTCACTGGAGTAGCTGAAACAGGTCGTTCTGTAAGCCCGATCAATCTGTGGGGAATGATGATCCCCACGAATGGAGCGTAGGGCCAACTTCTCAGCCCATCTAGCAGTCAGTCTCACTAATATAAATCCAGATACGATGGCGATCTCACCTTCTCAATCTACCCAGACCTCGACATAACAATTCCCAATCACCAACTCATTGTTCCCGATATCGAAATCAACTCTGAAGGACAAGGATATCCATCCAGCTCCACCGAAGTCGAAGTATTGATCAACAGTCTCCAAGGCAGCAACACGAACGACATGCCGCTCTTCGGCATGCCATTTCTTAGCTCCGCATATCTCATGGTCGACAACGACCGGCGGCAATTCACGCTGTCGCAAAGCCAACAGTCTACCACTTCAAACCTCGTCGCCATCGGCCCGCCCGCGTGCAACACCCCAACGCCCTCGCATACACCGCAGCCGTTGCCCTCTATCCTCGCAAGCCCGACCCCGACGCCAAAGTCCAGCTCTGGCACCCCTAAAGGCGCGATCGCTGGCGCGGTCGTTGGTGGATTGGCCATTATCGCTATATGCATTGGCGTATTCTTCGTCCAGAAGAAGCGACGAGCTCAGCGTTTGGCCGGGATACAGAAGCAAGAGTATGGGGCCGTGGCAGAGGCGGTCAAGAATCCGGAGTATTCGGACAACCAGGTGTGTACGACATCGGAAATGTCATCTCATAGGCAGCCGCCGCAGGAAATGCCATTGGACAGGGATTCGCGAAAAGGTATTGCACCTCATGAGTTGCCAGCCACGTCGAGGCTTCGTAGACCGGGCAGTGCAATATGAGGAAGTTGAGGTAATCAACGTTACGTTCGGTTTTTGTTGCTGGTGCCCTGTTCCTGCTTATGCCATATACACGCGCGAGCATATCTTCAAGTTCAGTCGTGAGTGCTGTGCATGGTTTCCCCTACAGAGGTGGTGTTTATTTCTTTGTGTATAGTCATGGCAGTATAGCTTTAGGACCGCCTTATAATACGCGTCTTGTGATAGTCTGATCTGAATACAGCTACGAATGAACTGTTTCGTGTTAAACATCAGAAAAGTTCCGCAAATTACGGGAAAAAGAGTCAAGACGATGAAAGACTGTGCACGCATGAGTTCCGCGAAAGCAAAAAGCTGGTAACGACAAAGCCTCAAGCCAACACGGACAGAGAAAACGGAGGAAGCAAAGGAAAGGACTTGAAGTTCAATCACATAAGCCCAAGACCTGTCAACTCCCGGTCCTGACAGTTGTGTCTACAATGATATCCTAGAAAGCTGTCAGCTCGCTCACCTCAAGACCAGCCAAGAAGAATTACATGACCCACGTAGCCTACTCATCTCACGCAAAAACAACGCAATTGCTCTGCGTTTTCATCCCCTACTCCGTGGACTAGGCAATCACCTCTTTTTTACATTAAACCGTTTGTCTGCTCTATCGACTCCTCGCTCTGGTCAAAAAGGTTTCGCAACCTTCCTACTCTCCCTCTCTCCCGTAATCGGATCCCTAAACTCCTTCCAGCTGATCGGAACCATTGCGTTCCCGGCCTCGCTCCTCGCCATGATGACACCCAGCTCGTTCCTTGCCGTAGACAGATAATAATTCGACTGGTCTCCCAGACTGATCTGTACGACGTCAGCCATGGCCCCTCCCACATCCCCATCATCTTTGAACAGCCACATGCTCATCGTGCCCAACTCCACTCGATCTAAAGGACACTCCCGGTCGAGAAGGGCCACTCACCACAACACCCCTAACCACATCCCCCACCCTGAACCCATCCCCACAAACCACCTTCTCCTTCTCCGTCGCCCTCACATCCTCCTTCCGAACCACAGCCTGCCACTCATCCCCACACACATCCTCCCCCCCGTCCCCGTCCTCCCTGCCCACCGCCAGCATCACCACGTCGACCTGCCGCGTCCGCACCCTCACCACCCGACACAGCACCACGCTCCCGACGCGCGGCAGCGTGTTCGTGTTGCCCACGTTCGCCGACGGCACGGGCGCGCGGGCGGGCGAGGGGAGCAGGCGGGGGATGGAGATGGTGGGGTTGGAGGCGGGTGGCTTTTGGGGGGTGAGGACGGGGCGGCCGGCGAGGGAGGCGTGGATGGTCGATGAGGGGGCGTGGAGGTGCGTTCCGGGACCGGGGGTGTAGGCTGTGGAGGGGCCGAGGGGGAGGCCTGGGTAGGCGATGGGAGGAAGGGAGGTTGGGGCGGCCATTGGTGGATGGAGTGTGGGGAGAGAGCTTGAGGAGCGGGTTTGCGTCGGTGGGGGTTTCGGTATTGATGCACGTGACCTTGGTGGAAGGTTGTAATTTACAAATTTTAGACTTCTTTACTACAATTTACAACACCTTTGATAATTTCTCCTTTCGAGTCCAATCAACGGGGCTATGCTGAACAGCTATCTGGGCGTGTGGGTGCACGAACATGATACAAGAGAAAGCCACCCTATCGATCTTCTCGAGGCTTGGGAAGTAGACGGTCTGTGAAGATTCCCAACGCCTCTGGGTGCTGGAACTTGACAGGATCCCGCACACCGAATTGCGGCGGTGTTTTCGGCTGGCGGACGACTTGTACCTGTCCCTAGATGTCAGGACGAACCTGGGGACGTGGAGTGATGGCTTTTCAGACCTTGTGCTCGCACGTAGTTGGTTCTATATGAGACTTGGGCTTGAAGATAAGTATGTGTGCATGGTATGTGAATATCCGAATCCAGCACGGATCATCAAATGGCAATTCAACTTGGAAGGTCGCTTCCATTGTAGTCGTGCCGAGGGCCTCAACTCGGATCTGTAGCTACTACGAAGCTTCTAGTATCTCGTCGAGTCAATCGTAATGATCAGTACGCATCATCCAGGCTCTACATAAGCGTATGACGGTATGGATGCAATGTGCACATCCAATCATGAAGAATCTCTGCTGCAGGCATTCCTGCAATAATTGATGAGGTTTGGAGGAAGTTGAAAGCTACTCGAAGAAGTATATTCACGGTTGCAGACCTCTGAGCCCACATCAGCATCGCCTTCTAAAGAAAGTACATGAATCAAGCGTTCTCTGCGCCAAACAGATACCGCCTAATTTGCCTGGCCCAACAGAACATCCGTAGAATTCCCTCCACACTTGATGTTCCGCATGACTAATCCTGTAAAACATGACGAGTTTGTCTCCGGAACGCCTTGCAGGTCAAGCCAAGATATTAAACTAAAGAGGTGGGAAAAGTCGAATCGCAAGAGTTAGTATTAGCCCTCGACAAGTGTTTGCCTTGCGGGTTCGGGCGATTTGTTGAGTACTTCGAGAGACCGGCGCGCTAGGGCTACCACTTCTCCCTCTCCCTCTTCCCCTTCTTCCTCGTCCGACTCGATGTTCTTGTCCGATATTGTCTTTATCATCTGAATGACATCTTCCGCCTTTGATATGAGGGCAATGAGGTCCCTGTCTTCCGATTCAAGAAGTTGGAGTAATGTCCATATGGCGATATGCTGGAAGGTGGCATCACCGCTGGCGAGAAATCGGTTCAGGTATCCGTGTATGCCTCCATTTGGCTCCGTCCAGTCTTTGATGAATCTCGAATAGTCGCCGACTACGAACGTTATTAGCTTGCGAAATTAGGGGCAGATGACATGTATTATACCTTTTGATGATAGATTTCCTAAAGCAGCTGCGCTGTTGCCTTGGACCTCAATTGACTCCGAATCCGTCAAGGGGATCAGAACATCAAAGACACCGAGATTGAGCAAGTGTGTCTTCAGCTCGTCGCTGAGGGCTAATACGGCTATGGCAGCAGTCATTTCTGACTGTACGCTCAAGGCCACGCCGAGCACCAGATCTTTGCACTTTTGTACCGCACCAGCTTCCAACACCAGTTGCTTGTTGCGGTCAGAGCTAGCTGCGAGGTTACGTAGTGTAGAGATAGCGTGGCACTGAATCTCTTCGTTGTCAGTGGACCCCAAAAGCTCTACCAAAGGCTTTAGAAATCCGGCATCGATGATGGGAGACTCATTGAGAGGGTGTATAGAGATGTTCCGGATGCATGCGACAGCAGAGAGAATGAGTGGCAGATAAGACGATTGAAGCAGACGTAGCAGTGGTGGGAGGCCCCGAGCGCGGACGATTTCTAGCTGATATTTCTCATCGGACGCTAAGTTTCGGAGAGCAAGTGCAGCTTGGCATTGCACTTTGGGCGAGGAAGAGTCCATGAGATGGACAAGTGACTGGACTAAACGTGACTCGTTCTGGGCAAGCTTCTTTCGATTGCCAGCATCGACCGCAATGTTGCTCAGGGCTGTGGTACAGTAGTATTGAACGTCGACGTCCGGAGAAGAGAGAAGCTGCACAAGAACAGGAATAGCGCCAGCATTAACCAGCTGCTGTCGATTATCATCTGTGACCTTCGTCAGCACTCTATCACATCTGATTGGCGTAGACCTGATAAACCTGAATGAGTCATATTCAACAGAGCTCCCGTAGCGTTCCTTTGTACTCTCATGTCCTTAGATTTAGCAAGTCTGGTCAACGGGCCCAGTGCTCCTGATCTTGCTATCTTGGCTTTGTTATCTTCGTGTGTTGCCAGGTTCGTGATGCAGCCCACGGCGTTGCATTGAACTTCGACGTTGGTGGACATCATTTGCCGTATCAGAGGGGAAAGACCACCAAGCAGAACGATGGCGACCTTGTTCTCGGCTATCATTCCATTAGTGTATGATCATCTCTTTGGAGAGCAATTGCATACTATTCACGGCCAGATTTCCTAACGCCGCGCTGGCTGCTCTTTGTACTTCTATATCGTCGTTTTGAAGGAGGAAGAGGATGGGCTCGAGGGTATCTCGGTCGACTTCTCTGACATCTAACCCAAGCATGTTAGTATATCATTGCAGTAGTAGACCGCTTGCTCAGACCTCGTTCTGTGATCTCGGCAAACGTCAAGCTAGCACTCCGTTGTAGATCGACATTCTCCGAGTAGACGAGGGTGCTCAGAGATCGAAGAGGCTCCCCAGAGAAGAAGTCGGTCTCGCCTCGCTGCAAGTTTGGTCAGCTGTATTCGCCATGGAAAGGGTAAGTGAAACATACATTCTCAAGATACTGTAGTAGGTCTGCGACAGCTTCCCTCTCGCTATCTGCGAGCGCGGGCTCGTACAGAGCATCCCTCGAGCGACCTTGGTGATTATCAGCAATCCGCAGCGATCTGCCATCTATAAGACGTTGCCTTTGTAGCTACCTTTACAGCACGAAGACCCGCAATTCCCCATGCCTCAGGTGGAGTGCCTGAAGGCACCGATGGCTGGGTGTGACAGTATTCAGTAACCTCTGCAAGGTCTTTCCTCGGCGTTTAATCGATTTCAGCCTCAAGGATCAATCATCATGCACGATCGATTGGAGCAGTCGCCGCCAATAACGGCAACTTGTATGATTGGGGAGAGAGTGTGATGGAAAGGACGGCCTGTGATCAAAGGTCAATGCCAAGCTCCGGGTAGATTAAGCACCAACAAGGATTCCCCCCCCTGCCCCCCCCCCCCGCTAGCGGCTCTTGAACATCTTCGGTCTCGCCTCGAGTCCGAGTCACATCTCCGAAGGCAAGAAAAGTACCACCGTGACTACAGATATTCGTACTTTGTCTCCTTGACATGTTGACTACAGTATGCTCTCACTACATTCCTTACCATCCGGTTTCAACAATTACATATTATTGATAGGCATGCTCTCTGTTCTAACATCATACGAGCCCGAGAATAAGTGTAGCGTGTATCCCATACGATTAGCCCGCTTAGCAACGGTCACGGCCTTGACGGAGTCCGGCCGTGATGTTCCTTTAGCGTATTCAAAAACGTCTGGAATGCTTGGCACTAGACGACCTTCGTGAGCGATCGAATCCGGTAAGGCGGCAACGCTAACGCTCGATCGGGTAAGGCGTTACTTAACGGAATATCAAGAAATTTATTTAAACCCCTCGACATCCCTCGCTATTTTTTATCTTTATATTCGTGCTGCAGTAAGATATTGTTTATACTTTTTTTTCTTCGACCCCACCGGCGACCTTCCAGTTTGCGGATACAAGCTTGGCGTTTCGCTTCAAAGGGTAGGCGCTGTATATTTAAATAATAGTTTCGTAGGAGGAAGCTCTGAGACTATCTGGAAAAGGAGGGAATGTTGTAGAGATAGCTTGTACGTAGAAGGTGGCGGCCTTGGCTGCATTATTTTTTCATTACCTTGTTCTCTTCCACCACGTGCACATGCAATCAATTCCTGGCAACGATTAGAGCAATGTGAGCTGCAGGTTTAGAACAAAAGGACGAAAATTTACGGACACTAAAGCCAGTAGAAAATACCCATCACGCCAAGCTTACGCCTGAGCGACGCTTCAACCTTCCAGACCTAGTGATGTCAAATCTCCAAGACTCTTTGGTTTACCCTAAGAACACATACCTGAGGAGGTGGCAGGCAGATGATCGAAACGTCCAAGAGAATTCGGAAATGGTCAGGCCGAGCAAGAATAAGTATCATATGTAGCAGTATTGCGCTTGAACAAGAGCGCCAGACCAGAGCGCAGAGAAATGCGTACCGCATTGCAATCCAGTCAAGATCAAGAACGTCACAGTCCAGAGAACAACAATGGTGATGGTGAGACGAGTAAAAAAACTGAAAATGGTCCGGCGGCTCAGGACACAAAAGATACGGCGAAAGAAGGAGCAGAGCGCTGATCTTATCAACACCCAGCCTGACTATTGAGAAGAAGTCAAAAACAATGTAGAGCTATAGCGAGGTTAGCTTAGGCTGAAAGACCAGACTGATGGGTCACCCTTGATGTCATTTCAGCAGTTTCGGGTCGGATACCCCATGATCTTCATGTTGACACCTAATTGAGATGAGCATGGAAGTAATATAGCAGAAGACAATAGACTCTGGGTCATGGAAGCAAGTCATCATCAAAGGTAGTCGCTGTTGTGCCAATGAAGAGTAACTGGAGACCCGCAAGGGTTTCATTAGTTGAATTCCAAAAGCTAGACACCCTTTTGGCAGATACAATCTTCAAGACAGAGGGCGCTCACGAGACATGGTAAAGTGGCCCAGTCATCCATCTTTCGAGGCGCTTTCTTTGCATGACGAGCGTAGAAGCGAAGCCCGATGTATAGCTGACAACCCCAGAAGAGTGCTACTGAGGGCGGTAAGACCTTGTGCCGGCGTCGAAGAAATTTTTGGGAACAGTTCTGCTTTCTGGTGAGGTTGGATGTAGGGTGACTAGAAGGGAGACAGGTAGGATAATTGAACTTGCAGCAAATTAAGACGATCGGGACTATGTTCCCGGATGATATGATTCGAATTACATGTATGCCTCTCTCGTCACAACTCCCCCATTCGTCGATCGCCGTAAGCCCGAGACTGGGGAGGCGCAAATTGCCACTCCACCAAGAGTGCACTGGGCAAAAGGTCGTCCCTCACCAGAAAAGAGTTCCTCGAGCCAAAATCGCCAAGCGTTGAATTAAAGAAAAAAGTAAGGAATTGAGCAAAGATGAGCACAATAGAGGTGGAAGCGGATGAGAAGGGTGGAAAGAACTGTAGTGGAACTATGTGGAGAAGTATAGTTAGCCAGAGTCGATTCAGCAATTGAGCAAGAATGAGCACAATAGAGGTGGAAGCGGATGAGAAGGGGGGAAAAAAAATTGAAACTATGTGGAGAAAGATAGTTAGCCAGAGTTAGGAATTATGTATAAGTAGGCAGTCTGCATTTGAAAATGTAGCTTAACATGATCAGACAGTTCAGACAAGGTGTTTTCCCAAATAAATCTAAGTCCAAGAGTTTTAATCATGGGGACCGCGTCCGGCCTTATAGCTGAGACACCTCTACGAAGAGAACTGATGAGACCTGGGGTGGTCCCTCAGCGTGCCAGCGATAGGACTTTCATCATTTGAAAAGCAAGCATGGACAATGATGATATTCGAACATACCTGGCATCCGAAGCGGGGATCGAAACTTCTGAGTCCGGCTCGCTACCGCTGAGCTATCTAAGCAATTGTTAGGAAAAGGTCACCTATACAAATACATAACATTTCTTCATTAACTCCCTCCAAAAGAACCCAGGCGATGATGAAGAATTCGAATGGTAAGCATGGAAGACCGTCTTCTAAATGGGATAATGAAATCAACCGATGAGAGAAGATACTAAGGCTTGTAGGAGGACTCACCTCTCTGCCGCAACTATAACAGCCACTAATTCGCTATCTTGAAGTTCGTCTTTTCGATGCCTGGTCTCTAACATCGCAACGGGTACGAGAAGCACTCCCATCGAAGGACACTGAAAGTAAAAGGTGATCAACCGAATAGAGATCTTGGGTCAAGTCATCGTTTCACACGCGAAATAATTCTTCCCTCGTCGCCCTCATCGCTGACTTTTACAGACCGTTCTCTCATGACTGTAGCTCTACGTTCAACGCGTTAGGGCGTCGACAGTCGGCTCTGAAGCAGCTTTGGGAGGCCTTAAGTGGGGGAACCGCAACGAAACGGGGTGGACCAAAGATGCACAGGGGATGTAGCATATTTCTCACACTTTATCAAGCATCTGGACGAAGATCTCCCACTCCAAAGGGCCTTAAGTGGGGGCGGAACGAAACGGGGCGGACCAAAGATGCACACTGGAAGTGGTATCTTTCTCTCACTTTACCAGGCGTTTGGGCGAAGATCTCCCACTCCAGAGGATGGCGGAATGGCTTGGGTACGTTAAGCATCTCGTGGCGGCCTTTGTACACCTACAAACGAGTGGGCACAAGCAGAGTCAGGGAACGAGATGATACTCAAAGAGCTTCAAGAAGTCTCAGAAGGCCTTAAGCCACTACTCTCACTCGCGCACCTTCCTCCACGAATCATGAACGGGTTTGCAACGACGCTCCTCACCCGATGCTTGCCATCCACTGACCCTCTTCTCCGTTCTCACGTTTAGCTTGTCATACACACGGCCCCTTCTCGTCCTCATCCCTCACCACCTCGCAGCGATCTTAAGCCTCTCCATCGTAGTCTCTGCAGGTGGCCCCATGGCTTGAGGAATACTGGAACGCTCGTATAGCATCTCGGCACCTGGCAAAAGAACCACTGGATGCGACACTGCACTGTCCTATCCACAAGAGTGATGAACTGCAGAGGGCAGGGCTTTCATTTCATGAACAGCGGGCTGCAGAGCTGGTGGCGCCGACGCTGGGTGAGGAGAACAGGCCGGGAGGGTGGTCCAATATGGAGGCTACTCCGATAAGATGACATGACGCTGCTGTTGTTCCGACAGCCTCTAAATGCTTGCGTCCCGGCCTCATCCAGGGGCGGCAGCGATTGGAGATTGCCCGGGGGGGCAAGGGTTTATCAGGCAAAAGGCCGAGATGAACGTCGAGGCAGATGAATAGTCTGAGGCTAAACTGTGTATAATCCTAAAGCAAGAGCCAGTGATAGCACAGATGTCGTCGAAGGCGGCAAGACTGTGGCGGAGGGGGACAGTGCAAAGAGCGTCTTTTCGTTTGAGGAGATTTGGCTTGCCACTTTCGAATGTAGTGGGGCTGAACCTCATGTAGCTATGGATTAATTAGCTGTGTTCTTTCAGATGCCTGCCATAGGTTGCTGACGAAATATGGACAAGAGACAGATGAAGGAGCACATTGTATTACATAGAAGGCGTATTGAAAGCGCCTTACGCGAGGACGGCCTTCTCCATATCGCTCTAATATCGTAGAGGTTCCAGCCAAAGTCGAAAGTCACCGCTTCGATTCTCTTTCAGAAAGGCTTGAATGGTAGGGCTCCAGCGCATATCGACAGGAAAGAGGCCTAGGCCTGTGCTGGCCTCGAAGAGTTTTTCCGACTCAGCTTACTTCCTAAGGCCACCTTGCTCGGGTCGTGTGCGTTAGAGCCCAAGTGTTTCTACACCATCTGGGATAGGGAAACTTTGTAGTCGAAGCAAATTTCCGTCCGACAGCGCTTTACCGAATCAGGAATTAGCGTTGCCGCCTTGCTATGTCGGGTATTTCACATAGGTCGACCATTGCCAAGAGCCAAGGATTTCAGACACACTTGCACACGCTAATTTCCGAGGGCTAGGGTATATTTGAAATGGTCGGCGAGCGATATAATTATTTTAGATGTCTGAGACTCTTTTAACTCTTTAAGTTTAACGATAAAGATTAGAAATAGTTTATAGAATTTAGAAAGTATTAATACGTTAAAGATATTAAATATAATCTTAAGACTTAATATATTTATAGTTTATATTAGTTCTTAATATCTTACTCTTCTTTAATATTAATTATCTTTCTTACTATTTATTAGAATTTTATAAAACTTATAAATATATAATTAGAGGTCGAAAAGATATAATATTTAATATGAAATTTAAGTAATTTTCGAGATATTATTTTAAAAGATATAGAATATCTCTAATTCTACTCGATATTTTATATATAAATTATCGTATTTTAAAATCGTCTCGTATAAAATAGACTAGCCTCGTTATAGAACTTTAAGAATTATAAAATTCTATAAATAAACTATATAGATATAAATTTCTAAAGAAAAGAAATAAAAGTTAAAAGATTCTAAGTTTAAAAAACTCTATATCTTCTCGACTAGAATATATAATATTAATATTAATAAAGTCTACGAAGAATTACTTTATAATAAACATCTTATTAATATTATTTAGTCTCTTTCTTAATATATAAGAACTTTCTATAGACGTTATTTTAATTATTCTTAAAGAGTTATACGAGATTTAATAAATTTCTAATCTACGTATTATAGTCTACGTAACTTAACGACTACTTTCTTTAATTTTATTTCTTTATAGCTTTCTAAAGTATTAATTAACTACTATTATATTAAGAAATATCTTTTATTAATATATAAAACTACTTTTATTAAGAATATACTTACTTTCTTTTATTAACCCGTAATCTGAGTAATAAGCTTACCTCTATCGATAATGATTTAGTTATATGAATATAATATAATTTAGAGAAATAATTACTTACGTTTTAAATAATCTCGTAGTAAATCGATTAGCTTCGTTATATATTAGCTTTCTAAGTATATTCAGATTCAGAGATTCTACTGCAATCTGAGGTTTCAGTTAACTACTAAATAATAGGGTGTTTTACGAAACGAACTTACGTGAACAATTGTCTTGCCCTTCGGATAGCTGATGTCATTTATCAATTCTTTTCGTTGCACTTTCTTCTGTCGCACTATCCTCCTCACATGATCTAGAGCTTCCGTTCTTGCTGCCCAAGAAATCGGAGTATTCTCAGAAGCAAGCCTAGAGCTGCTCGCGCTCAGACTCACACTTCTTAAATTCTTGGAGAAGATCGATGTGGATTCCCACACCCAGTTCGCAAGCCACTGCGGACATATAAAGCCAAATTTCAAGGTAATATACTTGCAGCTCCGAGAGACGCAGGTACTCACAGTTTCTCAAGATCTAATATAGTGCTTTAAGACTTTTCCAATGCTCTATCAATTCTCTGGTATGATGGTCTCTTGGTCGTCTTCTCAAATTCCAAAATGATTTCTGAGACGTTTCCGACCAAAAGTTGGAGATCTGAAACATCGTCCTGTAACAGGACGAGATCCCGTTCAGCATGACGAATTGAAGCGAGTTGAGACCTTTGCCAACCGATCCACCAGCGCCGACGATGGCAATGATACTTGCAATGAGCGATAGGGGATCCATTCGATGTCACGGTTGGCAAATAGGCCTGAGAGAGATCAAGAACCAGGATGGAAAATTATCAGATGGAGAGAAAGAGGTGCGCTTGACCTTCGTCAGCCTCGCCTCTATTTGCGCCGTCTTTTAAAACGTCGCCCACGATCGACTCGTGATATTCGTTCTCCTCCCAGACACAGCCGCAGAACTCCCACAAGGATTTACTTGAATCCAGGAACGATCGCTTTTGAAAAGAAACAAGTGTGCTCCAAATCTGGTTCAGAACGGTCGCTCAGCCCTCCGAGTATCATACCACTATCCCCATCCCATTTCCGCCCCAACTGCAGCCACCGCTACCACCCAGCTCTAATGTTGTAAACTCCTCCCGCATTTTCCGTGGCATCGAACGCAATTATTAAGAACGATAACTATCTATAAATATTAATATATATCTATAGGAAAGTATAAGCGATTAATAAGTATTTGTTTATGGGATGGGCGTGATAGTATTATAAGTTTATGTACTCTTCATGGATAGTCGTCACATTTATGGGCGTGATGTATCAGCCATGGAGATGTATACCCCATCAGTGTGACGCAACAGTTACGTAGGTGTTTACCTGGGATCTACTCGCATACATATCCAAAAAGAAAAAAGCAAGCAAGTAAGAAATCTATAAGAATAACTTAGAGCAACATTCAAAGCGCCAGGGGCGCTATCTAAATGCGGCGGTGAATGATCGAACCTGGCAATAACAACACTGCTCTGTGCGCTGGAATTGCCGATGTTCACCCGGCAATTTCCTTTCATACCGAACCAATGTCGACAGTATGGAAGCAGCGATACCCCATCCTGCAAGGACGTGCCCAAGGCTATTGCGGTATCCCCATCCCTGGCCTCCTTCTCTGGCCTCTTCCCTTGGCCTCTCTCCTGGTCTGCGGCTGCTGGGCCCCTTCGATGCCTTTTGCAATCAACACAGCAAAGGGAGAAGGCTGATTCTCATTTGCAAAATCATCTCTGACGATGGGTGAGAGCGTATTCCAGTTCCATCATATTCTTCCCCAGAAACAGCAGCAACAAGCCTAGAGCAGGGGTAGCAACCACGGCCAGACTGACAATGCTAAATACTCTCGAAAACAGCCAGAAGGCTTGCCATTGGTGCGACGTCCAAACGCTTTCAACGGCCATCTCTACTTGGAGCGCACTCAGAACGACCGAGAAGAAGCCGAAAGCGAAAAGCAATGGAGCATAAAATCGCTGGAAGTATTGAGAATATTGACGATGGACCGTCTCATAATTCCACCTGTTAAGGAATATTTTGGACCAAAAGTTTAGACGCGTAAGGCGTAGCTCACCATAGCCGTAACGCGGTGATACCTCCGAGTCTGGTATACTGAGAAGTTGGGATGTGAACAAGCAGATTGATAAGAAAGTCTTGTCCGGAGGCAGAAGACGGTGGTGGATGGCTATGTCAAGGTCCGAGGAATGCCTAATGAGGAATGCATAAGAGCGCAGAAGTCCAAGCGCGGCTCTAGAAATCGGCTCTTTTCGAATACTCCAGTCGGGGAACATTGTGTCTGGAGCTTTTTCGTTTGGCTCCGTCGTCGAGTGGTACAAATATTTTGCCCAAAAGGTGTAAGATTGTAGATACAGTGGCAAAGGCTTGACGAAGATTCGATCTTCAATCCAGACGAGATGCAATCGTGGATCTTCTGTGATCACAATTTTTCGGCCTTTGATCCTCTGGTGGTGCAACGGGGAGATATGGGAGCCTGACTGAGTGGCCATCAGCCACAGCTTCGGAGCCATTCTATCTAAGTCGAGGGTAAGAAGGTCTTTGTCGAGGAAGTCGAAAAGCTGCCCAGGCTCGGATGTTATACTGATGAGAGGTTGACTCGGTAACCTGTCATCATATTGAGGATACGGTGGGTGCATGTCGTCAAGTTGGTGTTCTTCGGCAAAGGGAGGAGACATCTAGCCAGTGACTGACGTACCTCATCGAGAGAAGAAGCTTCTTAGGATTTCATGAGTCATTTTTGCAAGCCATATTTAGATTAGGCACGATCCTGCAGCCTAGGACCCGAACTCTCGCGATAAAGGCTGCCACTCTATCTTGCATGAGCATGGGAGCTGGGCGCTTTTATCATACAACGCTAGTATGTTTTGTTACAGAGGAGAAAAGTTTCCACTTCCACAATTGATTCCCGTTTCCACTCTTCCATGGACGTTCGCAATCCTGGAAAACAACCGCAACAACAAATCGAATCCCTAGACAATGCGACAGACCGATGTTCTGGAAAATGCAAAAATGTTGTTTAGCTTGTACAAGTACCATGTTCTCGTCGCTGTGGCGGTGCAAGGCTCTCGGTGAAGATCACTTGGCAGAGCTGGTGCCTAATCACGATATCGTGGTCAACTGATGCTGGTAAAATCGAAGCCGACATGGCAACGTCCCCCCGTTCTTCCCCGAAGGTAGTGCCGCATCCAGAACCTAGGCTTGCCGTTCTTTACGAGCCAAAAGACAATGAAGCTGAGGTAGAGTGAGTGACGACTTTTGTTGCTTCAAGTCTGGTATACCTCCTGACCTTTCGCAGTGTCATCGCCGTCCATGGCATTGGAGCAAATGCAGATCTGACATGGGAGAGCCGCGGCGTCAATTGGCTCAAACATGATGACATGCTGCCAAGCGCCGCAAAAACGGCAAGAATTATGCGATTTTCTTACAACTCTCAATGGCTAGGGCAAAACAGCATAGTTCAACACCTTTCGGCCATAGCTAACGACCTTCTCTATTCCATACGCAACATGCGGCAGGTTCGTGACTGCGCCACTGTCATACGACCAGCGACTCATACATTGCTATAGGACTTTCCTCAGCGACCAATCGTTTTCATTTGCCACTGCTTCGGTGGCATAGTAATTGAAAGAGCTATAATCACAGTGAGGCTCTTCAGAGAAGAGTGGAAAATCAAGACTGGGTCTTCCGACCATCATGATGGGGATTTAGTCGACTGTATATCTGGTATTATCTTTCTTGGCACGCCATTTCGAGGCTCAGAAGCCCAAAGATATGCCGATATTATCGGCAACATCCTTTCTGGAGTAGGGTTAGGAAACTCCAAGGTCTACGAAATGGTCTCCCCGCATTCTCAAGCTCTGAAGGACCAGCTAAACGATTTTGTTCGCATAATCAACCGGCAACACATCCCATCATTCTGCTTCTTTGAAAAGCAAAAGTCGAATGTAGGGCGAATCATCAAGTCGCCTTTGGCGCGTCTTGTAAGGGAGCTCCTCTTCTCAAATGCCTTAATTCCCCAGTCTCTAAGCACAATGTCAAAAAGGCTGACCAAACCTTTGTCTTTTAGGTAGTAATCGTAGACGAACATAGCTCCACGATAGACGGCATATCAAGCCTTGGCCTCGACGCCGACCACTTCCAGATTCATAGATACTCCTCTCCAAAAGACCCAAACTACGAGAGTGTGGTTTTTCAACTTGTTGAAATGATCAATAAAGCTCCTCATCGTACTAAAGCCCGTCTATATCGTGAGATTGTCTTATGATAATTTGTGTTTTGTACATTTACTGACTCAGTCCTTCAGCCCGACCTATGGCCATCAACGAAGAACGTATGACGAGTCATCTATATATTCCTCTTACAACAAATTGGCTAACTCAAGACTCGCAGCGGTTGATTCTGACAACATGAAACAGTCACTGCGCGCCTTGGCTGTAAGCAGTCCCGTGGATGACAAAATCCACTTTCAAAAACAGATTGGAGAAAGATATCTGGCACCTGAGGAGACCTACAACTGGGTTCAGGCAAATGCAGTTTACACCAAATGGCTCAACAGGGACGACGACCCACTCCTCTGGATTCATGGAGAGGAAGGACAAGGGAAAACCCCGCTCATGATATCTTTGATCAACGGGTTGACCGATAAAGTCGAGAGAAGTTCTCGGCAAAGAGCATTGGCGTATGTTTTCTGCTTGTCTCCAAATGGGTATCAAAAAGATGCCGCTTTCATCGCTCGAAGCATTCTGCATCAGGTTCTCTACCAGAAGAAGAACAACGTCAATGCTTTCCACCACTGGTCGCAGGAATATCAAGCAAGAGATGATGCGTTGCTAAATGATGTACAGAGCCTCTGGAAGATATTGCAACTGACATTGACTGAAGCGAAGCTGGTAGTTGCCTATTTTGTGCTCTATCGGCCAGAGGAGTGTGATCCTCATATCATGGCCGTCTTTTCAACCCTTCTTCAGGCTAACCACACCGCTTGTCACATTAAATGGGTAGTAATTAGCAGCAAACACTCCGGCGACTACCCAGAATTAAAAGTCTCAAGGCGCATAGACCTCGCGACAGCATCTACGATCGAGGTTCCGGATATCAAACCCAGGCGTTCAAGCCCCATAAGCCTGAGTCCAATGTCTCTAGACACGAGAGAGCCTCAATCATCCAGACCGACTTCTTGGTCATCACATGAGATGAAGATACCATCTCCAGCCGAACAAGATATCAAAGTCAGGAACCTAGCGACTGTGTACGTACAACTCATTTTACTGCCCCAATACCTGTAGCTTGCTTTCCTTGATAATATCACGAAAACGGTACATTATTTCTTCAGCTTCTAGGCAGTGAAATAGCCTGATTGCTTTTGACGCAAGTGATCGCAGTCTAGCTTGAATAACGCAGCTGACAGTGAGATTTAGCTACTGCGATCGAATAGAGCGCCATTGGATTTGCGAGATCCAAACTCGTCGCCAAGACTCCGGGTCTTTGCTAATAGAGGCCACGCGCTTAAATCACGAAACTAATATCATCCGGCATGAAAGTATGGATCCCCAGTGTTTCTTCACGCTAGACGCTCACGCTGTCTATAGTCTTGCCAGAAATGGCTCTAATCCCTCACACTGAGACCAGTCTGAGCCCAGAGCGAAAATTCGCTATATCATTCCTGGAAACGCAAGAATTGAGTCTCCATGACGCGCGGAAAGCATGGAAGTTCAGTGGTCATCTAGATTACCTATTTGAGGATGATAGTAGTTGGTCTCACATTTTTTTGCCCTGAAGAAGATCAATTTTGACTCAATAGTAAGGCTTTCGCTGGCTCCAAGAAGCCATATACGGCGGTCACCTTCTTTCGATTCAGAAAACCCAGCATATTACTTCGAATAGGGAACGTGAAAGTTCCAAGCAAGACTTACGGCTCTGGGGTTCAGACGATGGGCAGGAATGCATTAAGTTAATGTTCTTTCCGAATTCTCGTACTAAGTATACCAAGGAGTATCAAGTAGAGCCAGGTAAGTCTAATCAATTCATTTCTAATGTTAGGTTCATGTGAAGCGATGCTACATCAGGTCGAGATCACAATTCTTCTATCGGGAGGCTTACAAGTTCCTGCAGCATCGTTATTCAAAAAAATTGATCCGAAATGGATAGATCCATGGAATACTGATATACGACTTGAGTACCAACAGGACGACGTTTCAGAGACAAAAGAACCTGTTTCCAGCAAGAAAATAAAATTCAGCTTTTCTTCGAAGAAGGAAGAAAAACTAGAATACCTAATCATCCAGTTCCTCAATTCGGCTGACAGAAAAGATTTCCTCCGGCATTGGCCAGGCTCAGAGGTTGCGAAGGGGAAGCAACCTGTGACAGCCTCGGATTTACTGCCTTATGTGGCTAGACATCAACGTAGTTATTAGAAGGCTGCGCGATAGCTGGTAAATCGGTGATGACAACGCGACGCTCGCGGCCTTTCAGATCCAATTCGCCACGATTGAGAGCTGGCGTCATCAAAGGCTTTGTATCATAAATTCAATACAGCGAACTTGTCACTAAATACCAGCTGCGAGAAGCATGGGGGTGGCTTAGCGAGCTAATGCATCTCGCATTGCGGGCTTCTGCGCGGATGATCCTGCGAATCCGAGACCGTAGCCTCGCGAGCCTCGTCATCATGCGACGCAGAGCCAAGATGAAATTCTGCCTTGAGATATATGAGCCTGAAGGAAACGATGACGTTTTTCGGATGACAGCTAGAAATCCAAACACCGTTTTCAAGACAACTATCACCGCCATGATGCACATCCCTCGGTGCTTCTGAGCTCAGTCCTTCTCAGTCAGAGCCCCTAACCCAATGCCTTCGCAAGCGCCCTCGAGGCGTCGTCCATTTCGGCTCGGGGGCATAGTAGACAGGACGAAAGACTTTGAACATGTGCCTGTGAGTGAATAGCAAAGTGTACAGTCGTGTATTTACCAATCATACCAGAGCTGACTTGAGTTCGCCGTTCGTTCTTAGGATCTCGAAGACCGTCGTAACCAGGTCTACGAAATTATAAATGAAGCCTCCTTCCAGAAATACGTTGTGTTCGTTGCAGCAGCAGGCTTCATCACCGACGCTTACGACATCTTTGCCGTCAACACAGTCCTTCCTATGGTGTCCTTGGTCTACTGGGATTCAGAATTTATGCCCAAAGGCACTTATACCGCCATGCTTTGCGCGACTCTGGCAGGAAGCATGATTGGACAAGTCATCTTCGGAGTTCTGGGTGATCTCTTCGGCCGCAAGAAGATGTACGGGCTGCTCCTTGTGATAGTTTTATGGGCGACCTTGGGCCTCGCCGCTTCAGCAGACGGATCATACCAGAGCATGAGCATCGCCGCGTGGATGTTCATCTGGCGTTTTCTCATGGGTATCGGCATTGGGGGAGACTATCCTCTCAGTGCTGCCATCACCAGCGAGTTCGCACCGCAAAAACATCGTTCTTCGATGTTGGCAACGCTGTTCTTCATGCAACCTCTTGGTCAATTCGTGGCTACCCTCGTGGCTTTGGTTGTGACCTATCTCTTTCGGCACCAGATGAAGAGTGTGCAAAAATGCCAGACCTTGGACGTGGAATGCTACAGAGCTGTTGATCGGACTTGGAGGATTATTGTTGGAATTGGAGGTAATTTTCTGCGACTGCGCACGGAAATATTTCACGCATACAATATTTATTGAAGACTGACCAGCAGATAGGTATACCTGCTCTGGTAGCAATGGTAATTCGGCTGCAGATACCCGAAAGCCCTCGGTATACGCTGGACGTGCTTTTGGAAGGGGAGAAGGCCCTTAAGGACACGGAAGGCTATTTCTTCGTCCCCGTGTCCACAACTGTGTCCCAAGAAGAGCATGAATCGGGCTCAGATGATGGTCTTGCACATTCCACTCAACTCTCTTCCGAACCTAAACCACTCACAACTAGTATGCAACAGACAAACGGCGACGTAGATTCAAATGAGATAACGATTACTCGTACAAACATGGATTCAAGACACCGAAGTGTCCCACCAGTCCCTAGAAGTCCACAGATTCCCCGCAGGCCGACTCAAATTCACTACCATGAAACCACTTACAATCCAACGCCAGTTAGATCCATTCGCGGTAACATTCAGTCCGGAGCACCCCCGTTCACAATGAAGGAATGGTGGTCTGGGTTCAAGAAATACATGTTCAAAGAGGGCAATTGGATTCATCTTGCTGGTACTATGACTTCATGGTTTCTCCTGGATGTATAAATACACCTCTAGTCGTCCAGCAAGTCGTGAGCCTAGGGGCTGACTCTGTATCAGGTATCTTTCTACGGCCTCGGAATGAGCTCACCCAAGGTGATCCAAAAACTCTGGGATGGCTTGAAAGCCGATAGCCCGAATACGCGTACTGTCTTCGAGCTACTCTACGAAAATTCATGGCACTCGTCCATCGTCGTATCCCTCGGGGCGCTTCTGGGCGGCATCGCAATGATCTACGTAATCCAACACAGCAGACCCGTAATAGTGCAAAGTCTGTTCTTCGCTGTCCTAGGGATCATCCTCTTTGTGGCTGGCGGTACCTTCAAGCCGTTCCTCAGCTCCGCGAGTTCAGGGGATCATTGGGCCCTTGTCATCTTCTACTTCTTTTGCAACTTCTTCTTCAATCTTGGCGCCAATGCTACCACGTTCATTGTAAGCGGCACATACTGACCCATTTTCCTCAACAGGTCTCGCTGACCATTACACAGATACCAGCGGAGCAATTTCCAACGCGGTACCGCTGCACATGCCACGGTCTTTCAGCCGCGAGCGGAAAGTTTGGATCAGTCGTCGTGCAGCTAGCGGTCGGACTTTCCGGTGCCACGAACCTCGGTACCACATCACTAGGGAATTGGCTCTTAGGGTACGCTCCTCTGAGAATGGGCCGTGACCCTTCCTACGAGAGTACTGATCTTCGAAAACAGGTTCGGCGTGCTAATGTTCGCGGGCTCCATCGTAACACAGGTAGCCGTGCCCGATTCTCGAGACGCCAAAGGACAGAGCATGTCGTTGGAGGATCTTGCCAAGGGCGTTGAATGTACCAAGGAATTGAGCCCGCAGAGGTGGAATCGCTGGCATACGCGTCTTGGGCGTGATGAAGGTGCTGAGCCGTGATCGTTTTGTATTGGTGTATTGAAGGAAGTGTATGAACATCGATATTGGAAGCAATATACAGGACCGACGGTATCTCAATGACCTCCGTTACGCTAATTCAGGTCAAGAGTCAGGATTCTTCCTCCACACCAGGTCGGTCATGCCAGTCCAATAGCGGTTTACAAGAAGATGTCCCAAAATCGCTTACAGTCCAGAGTCATTACACGTTTCAATGGATTGCCTTGTCCATAACACGTGTCGAGAAAAGAGCTCAAGAATAGCAGAACAACGAAAAAGCTGAGAGAAGACATGATGACGAGAGAGGTTGAAGACGTAAGGCGACGCAACGAGCACAATACAAGGGAATTCTCGAGGCATATGAGATATATTCACTCGGCTAACGACTTGCCCTGGCTCCTCTAAAGCCTTGAATGTCTTGTGCCTGTGCCAAACAGTCGTCTTAATTATAAACAGGTAATCAAAACCGGCTTTCAGTTTTCGCTACAAACATCAGCCAGCCTACGTTCAAGCATATATCATGAAAAGTGATGCTGACAGGAGCACACGAGCCGGCGAAGCTGGATTTTTATGTTGGTTTGAAAGATCCTGGTCGAGATACAATTGTCCGGAAGCAGAGACAAATGATGAGCGTACCTATGCCGCCGCAAGACAGCCCGGTTCTGTACTAGCTTAGCAGCGTCCTATCATGATGGCAGGTCTCTAGACTTTAATGGAGAAACTGAAAAGCGTCGATGAGACAGCGAACAGCTAGATAGATTAACGCCCCAGAATCACAAATGTTGTGCTGTAGGATTTACGGCGTGTGGGGAGGTGGATAGAGCCACTGACGGCGGACGAGGAGAGGCAGTTGTTGCGGCCTGCATTGGAGGTCGAGAGGCCGCGGGTGTGGGATATGAGAGTTGAATGGGAGGATGCCGAGGTGGATTGGGAGGCACAAGGAGCGCCTTTTAGGGTCGTGAGAGATGAGAGGATTGGGAACGAAGGTAATGCGATGGAGACAAGCATATGGAATGCATGATTTGCTGAATAGGTCCCGATCCAAAATGGCATTATTCATCTGTTAATTGACAGACACATGGCTATGGGCTATGGGTCGTTGAAAGAGAACAAACCAGCGAGACAAAACCCAGACGACCAGATGAGAAGGCTTCAAAACGAGACGCGCCAGTCTCATTCCTCGAGATGCTAATCGCGTCGACTGGCTCTTGTATGCTTTCGCTCTACGCCACCTTCATGCAGATGTTTGCGTCTTGACTCCAGGAGTCTTTCTGTTGTAATCTGCTGCAGCACCATAGTGTGTTGTAGCTACCCCTCCAGATGGCAAATTAGCATGGTATATAAGAAGCCTACATACCACTCCATAGCTAATCAATCCATAACCTCTCTTCAATTCCAACACTTTCTTCTCCAGAGCTGACATTCTTCGGTCGAGAAACTACTCCGCGGGATTCCCCCACCACCGTTGCTATCGGTTGGCAACGAGAAGGGGGAGACTTCCCCTTCTTGAGCCTGTCTCCTGGCGCTCCGTGGCGCTGTCTTGTTGATCAACAGCGTCCCCTATGTGACGAACATCATCGCCGGCAGATGCTGCCGGACTGATACCGGCGTGGAAGTTGTCGAGTCTTCGAAGCGCTGCGTTCCTAGGAGTAGGCTTTAGCTGATGAGCTGATGAGAAGACGTCGAGCGCATTGTTTCGCGGCGTCCTTCTTGTGTTCGAGGTGTGCAGTGCGATTCCGCCACGCTGTGTTGCTCGGTCAGCCGTTGGTGCCTGCTGCTGAGCGAAGACCCATAACCGTACACCTTTCTTGAGAATTCTCGATGGTCCTGCCGTGTTTCCGCGTTCGTTGAATTGCCGTTGCCCGCTCTTTCCTGTGACATCCCAACATCTCACGGAACCCTCCCTCTGCGCCTACCCAAACATCGTGCCTTCCACCTCAACGTATCCAATCTCTCGAAATGAGCTGGCCCTTGTTTGCATAAACCGCCTGCTTCTCCGAACACTTCCTCCTCTTCTTTCTCTCCCCACAGGTGAGTCCCTCCCCTATTAGGCCAGCTGACAGAGCGTATTTTGTCGGATGTGAAGCCAACCCAAACAAGTCAAACAATCCTTAAGCCCCGGGCCTGGCAACAGGTTCTCCAGTAGTGGTGCTTTTTTCTTTGCACTCAATTATTCTACCCTTTGCAAAGGGCCACAAAGGCACTGCCTCTGCCCTCATGTGTTGCCGGCTTTACACTGCCGCCGGTCGACGCTTTGCGCCCTTCTTTCAAATTTTCTCTGTGTCGCCTGCCTTACACTAGCGCTGGCGATACCATTTCTTTTTTCTCCTGCACGAGCTTGGCCTTGTTGTGTCGCAGAAGCTTGAATTCTCCTTCGAGGGGTAACTAGCAAGCTCATCTCCTTGTGTTTCTGTATTTTGGCGATGGTGCAGGGGACCTTGCATCTGTAGATAGCTTAGCAACGAAGACATTCTCCGTCTATCAATCGTGCACTCTCAGACCATGCTGCTGTTGCCTTCGTTGCCGTAGACATCGTCGCCCTGCTTGCAGGTGCAGAATGTCAGACTTCTGCTATGGCCAGCCGATGAGTGGCTTGACTGCCAGTGCTAATCAGCAAGCATCACGCAACAATTCCTCCGCTAGAGAGACTCTACGTTTCCATGCGGGTGACGTGGTCCGATCTCCGCCAGCTTAGACTCGCATACCGAGTCTAAACAGTGTCAGTCTCTAGCTCTATCCAACATCCCCGAGCCCACTCCCGTCATCATGGGATCTTGTCTGTCGGGTATTTGGCTGTCTTTCTCTCAGCCTGCTGTCATATGGGGGGACAAGACGAGACGGACTGGTTGCTTTGTCGTGATGATACGGAGCAGAGGCGGCTCTTCAATGGCCCATGGCCATTGTGCCTGCCATGGGGACGGAAAAGAAGGATTGGAAAGGCACGGAAGGAGGGTGGCATAATAATACAGTTGGTGGGCCTCCTGGGTCTTTATGCATTTCTTGTTCCTCGGCTAATTCTATTGAATGTTTGTTGCTGCCCAGTGCCATGGCCATTGCGTGCAAATCTGCTCAAACCCCCTTAGTCCGTCCTTGGCTTCACAAAGGCCCGGATCTTTTCGTGAAGCACCAAAAGAGCAGAACAGGAAATAGAGCTTTAGGCAGCCGAATAACCCTTCACTCACAATGTTCGTATCATTGGGAGCGTCCCTCGCGAATTGGCGGCATTTGTGGACATGTCTGCTTTTCTCTTCCGCCATCGCTGCTTTTCATTTCCTCCGACGTCCTCTCTCATACTCACCGTGGGCTTCGACTGGATCCATGATGATAGCGGCAGTTCCGTCTGCACTCTCCGTCCATGTTGTCCAAGATGGAAGCTATCAGAAGCGGACTGTCGTGTAGCTCTTACACGACCTCCTACCAGCAATTTCCCCTCAGGCGTTTATGATCCGTATTTTGGAAAAGGTGCATTGTGAGACCATGTTCCAAGCCATGCAGCTCTCATGGCTCCTCTGGGCGTTGTAGACCGTTCTCAATCCATCCCATATCCGACCACGGCGAAACCCTTGCGATAACCTTTCCTTTTATCAGCGCCAAAGGAATCGGCCCGTATACTCTCGAGTCCCTCGACTCCTGGAGATTGTCCCCTAGAAGCCAGCAATGACCATCAGGCACCTAATGTAAAGATTTAATCAGCGATTTCCTGCCAAGCCCGCGCTGACAATTGTCAATCTTCTAGGTATAGACCTCGTACCTGTATCATCATCTTCCCCCCTCTATCATTCACGACAAAATCTCCCGGCATCCCCATAACCCGTTTTATGGCCCCCGCACCCTGCACCATCGGATGCTGAAAATCGACAACATCTCCCACTTTGACCCCCCGACCTCTTCTAGATGTGCGGTCTATGTATACGCAGACTCCTCGTACATTGATCGTAGGTAGCATAGAAGGTCCATCGGTGAGGGCGAAGCAGCCGACATGGGTTGTGAAGAAATGACCGATGAAGAAATATTTGACAACCGCAAGGGCGATACCGAATGCGGGGGGACGAAGCAGGGATAGCAGATGGGGAGCGAAGGTCATTAGATTGGCATGATGGGGTTTTGAGAGGAAATAGGGTAACAGTACGAGTTACGAGGTTGTTGATGTGAGGTTTTGGCCGGAAGATCGCAGCCTTACTAGTATACAGACTAGCTATATGCGGTATAGGTGCTTGGCAGAGGGGGATATCCTCCTGCAGCAGGCTTCCTGTTTCATAGAATAATCAGTCCTCCTACCCGCGAGAACTCAGCCTCATCAACCATACCTACCTGAATTGTGTCGCAATGTTGTCTAAGCTCTATAAGGACTAGCTTATCTATGTCCCTTGGTAAAAACAGTCGACAGGCCAGTATGCTCTTCTTTGTATACACAAGATTGCAGAGAAAGTAAGCTGCTGCTTCTATCTGACTCCTGCAAACCCCGTGATTCCGCAGTTGCGCTTTCCGATGCTCTCGCCAAAGCAGTCAAGCACGGCGACTACCCGATAAAATCAACAGATTGAAGGTCGCTATGAACTACTCGTACTTAATTCACTCCAATTCGTCTATCTCACCTGTGATTGAGAATATTATGCTACGGATCGTTCCGTGATACTCAGCGTTTCGAGGAACTGTAGTGTTATGCGGTGTTTGCTTGAAGCATTCCTTTGAGGCGTGATCATTTTTCGATGCTGGGGGCGAGGCTGTGGTCCGTCCGGCGCAGCAGGGCACAATTCAGATTCTGGCTTTCTTTCCACCCTCATACATCTTAAGTCTCGAGTTTCCTACCTTTTGACACCCGTTGCGTCGTCAACGTGCATAAAACCCCGTCCTGTTAGTCGCAATTTGCGTTTCAAAAAGTATGGTTGGTGCCTTTATAAAGTGGCATGCATATTCTCGGGCGGCGTGCCATGCACCTGAAATTAGGTGCCTAGCGAAGACACCACTTCCGCCATTCATACAGAATGGTGCTTTGCCCACCTCAACGTTCGTTTTGCAAAAAGGTGGTCCCTTGTTGCTGTCTTGCTGAATTTCGATTCTTCACAACTGTCAAAATGCTCGCTGCATCTAGTGAACGGTCGACATCTCTTCTTGCATATAGCATAACCTTAATCATCCTATCTACTGTCGCAGTTACCATGCGTCTGATCTCGCGACGCATATCTGCAGCTAGATTCTGGTGGGAGTACGTATTTTCTAAGCCGCATTTCGAATTTCAACCCAGGTCTTGAGTCTCGAGACATCTCTTGCGGGTCTCTACCCTCGAAACTTGTACCTAGACTCGATTAAGCTCCTTAGAATAGGCGATACTGACAGCGATATTGTATTCCAGCGACGTTCTCATTGTGATCAGTTTGGTATGGACGCTTTCCATTGGACATTCACCTTGCTCACATTCTATAGCTGGATTCCTATGCAACTTACGTCATGGTCTTCATTGGTATACTGGAACAAATCTTGCAACATGATACATCGCCTGACAGAAAGTAGATATTCATCATGGCATGGGACGTCACGCCCAATTTGTCGAAGTACCTCAAAGAATGGTGCTGCTGAAAGTACGTTCCTCGCATCTCGACAGACTTCTTTCTAGCCTGGCATTTGACGTCCTTCGCAGATGATCTACGCCAGCGACGTCAACTACCCCTTCAGTATCTCCACCATTAAGCTCGCCATTCTCTTATTCTACCTACGGCTCTTCGGATCGCGCACAGGCTTCAGGAAAGTCCTCTATATGACCGGCGCCCTCGTCATCAGCTGTTTTATTGGCAAATCTTTCACGGCTATCTTCAGGTGCACTCCCATAAGCGCCGCCTTCGTTTCCGATACGTTCTATCAGGAGCAACATTGCATTGACACCAATGCCTACCTCATTCCCACGTCTGTTTTCAATGTAACGCTCGATGTCTGGATTCTCGTTCTACCACTTTACATCGTTTGGACGCTGAAGCTCTCGCCAAGGCGGAAGTGCGGATTGAGTGGTATCTTTTTGCTGGGTGCATTGTAAGCCAACCGCAATTATTAAACTCCACTCTGTACTCACACTATGGGCAACACAGCACCATTGGCGCAAGCATAGCAAGGACATATTTTGTATTCAACGTTGACCTCTCGGACATTACTTGTAAGTCCCTTACCCATCAAGCACCCTAACGTACCGTAACGTGAAGCTCTCTCCGTCATATTTCAACCCAACTGACAGACTGAAAATTTTCAGGGTCCTCCGTCACCCCAATCAATTGGTCCAGCGTCGAAACCAGCGTTGGTATCATCAGCGCTTGTCTCCCAACCCTCCTGCCGGTCCTCGGGGTCTTGGACCGCAAAGTCCAGAAGACCACAACTTTCTGGCGCAGGCTCATCAATAGAAGTAAGGACCTGTGGTACTTGGACTCCTCGGTAAGACAGAAAGAAGAAACGCATCCCACATCGAATGAGAAGATGGCGGCGCCCCCATTGTCTCTGGGTGATGTCAGCTGGCGGAGGCCCAATGACGAAGGCTTTGGGTACGACGATGCATTCAAGGAAAATGGATTGAAACATCCATCGCCGTAATGACTATTCGTTACATGGACTATGTCGTAAATGATGAACCCTGAGCATAAGATTTCCGATCGTGTTCCCCACCACGACTTGACTCGTTCGTTGCCAAGTTGACCTGAACTCCGCTCGAAGAGTGGAGGCTCCTACTTAGCCCATAAGGTTTTCCCATCTTCACGAACTGATCTTCAAGCGGTCTGCTCGTGACAGCAAGGTTCATGCAAGTATTACCAGGACATTCGCTGTATCCAACATGTACCTCTTTGATATATTTTAAAGGCCTCAGAAACGCCAAACTTCGTCAGAGACGTCCGTACCGTTCCAGCTCAGTATTTCTCACAGCAATGGCAGCGGACTCAGGCACATCAGAAGTTCGCCCAAAAAAGGGTACACCTTCACCCCCAGCAGCCTCCGACATCAGCTTTCAACCGGCAGTACTTGCGTTCCATTTTACTCGACAGTCCCCAACTCGACAATCAAATCTCTCGCCCCTTCCTGGGCAACCGGCCCCAAGCTCAACTTCAACACCCCTCCAGCCCAACGACGATGAACTCCGCACCATTCACATCAGGACTCAGGTCAATACACTCCTCGAATACCTGATGATGATCATCCTTCATCTCAAACAACCCCAGAAAGTCTTCCGCCTGCGCATCATCAAGCACATCAGATTTGATCTCGCAAGACAGAGTACCGGGTTGGTTGGAAGGCGGCCTTGACCTACCCAACTTGCAGAGAATCATTGCCATTATGCCAATACTTTACTCCAGGGTTCCACGTCAGGCTTCCGTTGCTATTCACTCGCAAGCTTCGCTTTCTTATTGTGTGGTGAGCGAAACCTCTTCGTAACTGTTTCTACCATTCTCCCAAACCAGTAGAAATTGAGCACGGTCAAGAGAGTGTTACTGCCCAAGTAAGTGTAGGCCAGCCAGAGCGGTAGCACCTTTCCATCGGAAAAGCGCATCACTCCTGAGTCTCCGGTCCGTGTACTCGACCCCGGTCCCTCGCCAACGTTTTGTTGGAGAATCGCTAGAATGTCCTGGTACACCATCACCGACTGATAAGTCCCCCAAACAAGCCGGGACCCGAAGAAAGAGGCCAAGAGCGCAACGCCATTCACTAGCTGAGCATTTCCACCGGTCATGTTGCACTTATCGAGGTACCAATGGAGGTTCAAGAATGGTGTCGACATAGCGTAGAGTACGAACGCCACACCGTAGTAGTTGGCAAACGGACGCTTGTAACTCGCAAGTAGTCAGCTCCATGTGCCTCCATAGCTGTCATCCTCTAGCATCGGGAGACTTACAAACCCCAAGCTAGTAATCAGCAGCGCGCTGACCGCATGCGCCAGCGATCCCCATCCTAGAATCCCCACATTCGTAGCGCTGATCTTGACATCCCATATGAAGTATCCTGCCGCGAACGCTTGCGTCATCCCGAGCGCGCCTGTGTATCCCCATATTCGCTCCTCCAAGTTCATGTTTTCCCGCTCTTTGTCTGCCAAGACTGTCCAGAATGCCAGGCCGCAAATGAAGATTGCTTGGATTGTTGAGACGACGCGGATGTTCCAATTGATCTTGGTCCGTGGTGGTAGGGACGAGTAGGTCGTCGCGAAGAATTCGGCGGAGAATCTAGGGGCTAAGAAGTTCTCCATCAGGTAGTAGGCAATGAATGATAGGAGGACTTCGTGGCCGTGGAGGGGCAGGGTTTTGAGGGACAGCGCATCCGCAATCGGCTGTGTTAGGGAACGTATGAGAGCTGGAGGCTGCGGCAGAGGATCGATCATCTTGACGACGGGGCCTGTTGTCGATAGGTGGATTTCCTCAAGTCTGATGTCCGCGGACAGAAGAACATTGCGTCACATATCGCACATCGGCGTTAAGTTCAGCGACGGGTTTAAGCGTAAATACATTACTCTATTGGCGACGAGCGTATGGAGAAAACCTTTGGCATTGACGTTACCAGTTGCACCCCGACTGTATCCTCAAGGAAGATGCTAAAGATATAAACATTCGATAGATTGTTGTTGTTCTTTCCATCAAAGAGAACACGAAGAGATCTTACTTTTGCGCTTTCTTGCAATGCATGAACCAAATTCAAGAGCATGAACACGATTCAAGAATCGTGTTTGTGATTATGACAAATGCCCTGATGCATCTTTGTCTCATCTTTCATTTCAATCGAAGCGAAGTACACTACATATCAAAATGGGGATGCGATCTTCTTAATGCCAAGAAACAATACAGGAAAGCCCGGTACTTGTATTTACCCGGAAGTGCAACCTACTTTACTACTCGGTTTTACCCCCAGATGTAATTCCCTGGCAGTATTCAATAACAGTTTAATATAAAATTGAAAAAGTAAATTAGGGAGCGCGGAGTACGATTTTCCAATCTTCAAGAATTTTATAATCCGTGCTATATCGAAGACTTATCGTCCATTTTTGATAAGATGTAGATATTTTTGAGGGTCGGAGTTATCGGCAATTGCATCTGCTAGGGATGGGGAGCTCTGGCTACGCGGAATACACCGCCGCGCCCGCTGCCAAGACGATGAAGATCCCCGACTCGATCTCTTCACCAGACGCCTGCGCCGCTATACTGCAAGGACTGACAGCATTGACATTGACAGAGGAAGCGCACAAGGTCGAGAAGGGCGATTGGGTATTAGTACTAGCGGCGAGTGGAGGGGTCGGCGGTTGGTTGTGTCAGATTTTGAAAGCAAAAGGCGCGCATACTATAGCGACGGTGGGGAGTGAGGGAAAGGTTTCTGTGGCGAAGGAGAGTGGGGCCGAGGTTGTGCTGGTTGAGGGTAAAGATAATGTTCTGGAGAAGGTGAAGGAACATACAGGTGGTGCTGGTGTGGCGGCGGTGTTTGATGGGGTGGGCAAAGATACGTTTGACCGGAGTTTAGAGTGCGTGGCGAGAAAAGGGACGTTGGCTAGCTTTGGGAACGCGAGTGGGGCTGTCCCGCCGTTTCCTATTGCGTAAGTCAAACATCTGTCCATTGGTGACGGCGTCAGAGTTTGAGATGCAGAGACGAGATGCTAATTGTGCGTCTGTAGCAAACTGTCCGCGAAGAATGCGAAGGTTGCCAGACCCTCATTATTCAACTACATCTCCACACGGGAGGAATATGAACATTATGCGAACGAACTATTCAAGATGATGGCGGAAGATGACTTTAAGACTCGCATTCATGAAACGTATCCTTTGAAGGACGTAGCTAGAGCGCATAACGTAGGTCTTCGCCCTGATCTATTTAGGAAGGATATGATTGACGATTGCGCCAGGATCTCGAGGGTCGTAAGACCATGGGCAAATTGCTCATGACGCCGTAAAAAGCAGTCTCACGTGAGACCTCTTCTTGATAGCATGCGTGCTTCTCCTGATGGTGGAAATGCAACAGCCTACCTATTCAGTCATCGTATCTCGATTTGATATCAAAAATCTTTTCCACAACCTTTTCTGCGTTACCTGGCACTTGTATGAGTTTCTCCCCCGTCTCGCGAACTTCGATGGCAGCATCAGCCATCTGCACCGCAGTGATTTTCCCATTCGTACTGCGATTGCCACCGTTTTCGTTTGCATGGCCTGTATCTTCCTTCATTTTCCGAAATTCATCTCCCGCGTTATTCGTTCCGTTCACGGTGTTTTCTGGAAGCTGCTCTCCGAACGCAGTGCCAGCATCCTGCGTCTTATTCTCCTCACCGACCTCGCCTGGTATATCATTGAAGTCTGCGTCACGGTTTTCAGCACCCCCCGGCTTCTTCCTCATCGGTAGCCACTCTTTTTCAGGCGCCCTCCACCCCGCCATCAACTCATTCGGCAAAAGTTGGTAGAAAGAGCAATGCACGCCAGACAGAGCGTCAAAATATGACACCCCAAAGCTAAGCTCCGTGACTGTAGCTTCGAGCTTCATTCCCACGATACAATGCGACAGGCTCTCCTTTTCGACCCAGAACTCGTAGTGCTTGATCTCTGGGATCTTTGCGGCGAGTGCTGCTTCCTCTTCTTCAGTTAGGTCTTCGCCAGCCGCCGTGGGGATAATCCAGGTCTTCGCTCTCATCTTGCCGACAGGCTTAAGGCCTGCAGCCTCAGGTTGGGCGTAGAAGTCCAGGATCTCTTGAGCGGGGAAAAGGATTTCTGTAACTTCGAATCCGATGTTTTCGTTCACGTGTGCGATGGTAGCGGTTTTTTCTTCCAGCTGCTTTCTGTAGGTCTCGTGAATGTCGTCGTCGGCGTTAGCTGCTAGGGCGTATTTGAAAACTTTACGAGCGTGATGAGGACTAATGCCAATTTCATAGTCTATGTCCTTGCCTTGCAGCCATTCCTGATTCGCCGACCATATTCCTTGGTACATGCCGCCGAAGATCTCCGAGCAGGATTTGTTGAAGTCGCCGGGAAATATAAGATTGCATTGTGAGATAGCCCAAAGCTCTTTCTCTGCCTTATCACACAGAGTGCGTGCCGCATAGATCTGGTCGTTATATTCTGGACAGACATCATGATGCAAAAGGTAATTGAAGAAGTTGCGGATGATGCCGACGAAGTACTTGATCTTCTCCTCGGAGTATAGTTCGAATTGACCAGGAAGTGTGTGAGATCTAGAAATGAGTCAGTGTGATGCTCTACGGCAAGGAGCATTGACTTACAGAAACGATCCAAGACACCGTTCAAAGTCGACAACATGATCGGACTTGCCGATGTCGTTCTTGTCGGAACCAACGAAGGTCGTTGCACGAAGTTCGGCAATTTCTGCGGCGGTCATTGTTTCCAAGGTTTCGGTGTCAAGGCCTCCTGAGAACATATTTGGTCCTGCTTCGATGCCACCGTGGATAAGGTATTTGGTGAAGAGGTTCTTGCGAGTGGAGTCAAGGTTGCGCTTCGCTAAGAAACGCTGAATTGCTTTCTCGATACGCCTACGTGGAAGTCAACCACGAGGATAAAGTCTTGTGTGCGAATTTAAACATACTGTGCGAACGGTAAAGAGCTTTGAGCGAGTCAGCTCTACCCTTCAACGGGAGATCAGAATCACTCACGTATCATACATGCTCTTCTCTTCTTCGTACTCGACTGGTGTGATGGGAGGATCAACGTAGTACTCCTCGAATCCTGTTGGATTATTCTGCGAACGAGGACTGCATTAGCAAGGATTTTCCTTCACGATGTACTGAAACCGTACTAATCCTCTCTGGCTCTTTGGCTTTCTCTTCTTGCTCTTTTTCTTCTTCCCGCCCACTTCCATATGCATGTTCGTTCCGTCAATATTGTCGTCTTCTTCATGGTCCTCGCCTTCTGGTAAGGCTACTTCAAGGTTCTCATCGATGCCGCTTGCCTCCTCGTTTGGCTCAGCGATCGACACTGTCTTGGGATCCGCAGCCGACTTGGACTTTGTGTTGACAGAAGCGTTATCGTTGACATTGGACACAGAGTTTGAGTCAACCTCGGCCCAAATAGTTGACTTCTTGGAGATGTTGCCATTGGTGGTAGCATCGGAGATGAGGTTAAGCCCGGTCAAAGGCTCCATCTCAATAACATCATCTGTAGCTGTGAGCTGCTGTCGATCTGCCATGGTGGCTGTAGTCACTGAGCTTCCAAGGGCATAGCCTATTAGGTAGACGCAAAGGGTGCTGAAAGGTCTTAGAAACGAGAGCGCCTGTGAAGGGAGACGGATCGAGGCAAGTTAGAAGATTTTAAAAGGGCAAAGGAGAAGTAATGAGGCGGTGAAAGCTATTGAACGTATGAAGCATCAACTTCACACTTGTAGTATGAGTGAATCAATACTGAGTGATGCAATCCTGTCATCGATATCATGCTTCACCGAGCGATGGGAACGAAGTATCATCAAAAATGAGATGCAGTAGTATTGAGATCAGAAGCAGAGCGCAGACTCTCAACAACGCAATAGGTAGGTAGATAGAAGCTGAAGAGTTTGCTACGTCAAAACATGCTGCCCTTGCGCGCCAGCCAAGTGACGTGCGATTTTCTAGCTTACGCACGGTCATACAAATAAGCGCTCGGCAATAGTCCCTCTCCAATGCTTAAGCGACGCCAAGGTCTTCAATGATTTGTCACTTGATACCAAAGTCTCCAAGTTCTCTCGTTCTTTGAGCTTCTGACCTGTGCACTGCTACACACGGACCAATTCGTAGAATTAATCAGCGAGATCAGCGAGTTAGTTTCTCGGGTAGCTATCGTTAGTGTCGGGGTGATCCCTTTAGCCGCGGGGTTTCAGACTAGGTACTGAAAGGTTTTCACTTTTCAGGTTTCAGCCCTGCATGAATTCGTGTTCCTTCCGATTCCTTGGCCGTTTTCTTTTCTTCACTTCATTCTCTGGGGCTGCGTATCACTACGTGGCCTTCACTTCACTTCACATATGGCCATTCCCAAAGCTTCTAGTTTTGGGAAAACCACTGATCTTCCTATGCTTCTCGTTATGTAATTGATTTCACACTTCGCCTTCACAAAATGGCGACAGAAAAGTCCTTCAGAAAGTCCCAGCTTATTGCTTTTAACAACGTCGCCGCAGGCCAGTGAGTGACGTGGCGCCTGATAAATTCCCTGACTCGGAGCTGACAGAAATTCGATAGTGATGGTGTGCTCTCAGACCCATCCGGCGAACTCGTCATCAAGCCTTGCAGGCAGTCCGAAATAGACTTCTACGACTCCACCTCTGCACATCCAGATATCATGGCTCACATCCCAACCTTCTTTGGCAGAATCACTCTTGGCGCCGACACGAACGCAGCGCACGCAGCTGGAGCCTTGGTCTTGCCCAGCGAGACAGATCCCGAGCCATCCGTAATACATGGAGTCCCTGGTACCATGGTCGTCGAAAACGCCTGGGCGCCGTCAAATGGTGGTAGAATTCATACAGATTCGGCCGTCGTCCTGGAAAACGTTGCAGCCGGCTTCAAGAAACCTAACATCCTTGATGTCAAGCTTGGCGCAAGGTTGTGGGCTGATGATGCTCCGATGGCTAAGCGAGTGAAGCTGGATAAGGACGCGGAAGAAACAACGAGCAAGTCTCTTGGTCTTCGAATTGCTGGTATGAAGACTTACCAGGGCGCACTCAGCAATGGGGAAGAGAATGTAACGCCTGACGGCTACCGATTTTACGACAGAATGTATGGCCGCAGTTTCAGCGCTGAGACCATTTCTCAAGGATTCGAGGAATACTTTCAACTGGCAAAGGGAGTGAAAGCCAAGGGAATTATTAGGAAAGTAATCAGGAGGTTCTTGGAGGACCTGAGAGCGATGGAGAGTGTGATAGGAAAGGAAGAGAGCAGGATGTACTCCGCGAGTCTCCTGTTTGTGTACGAAGGCGACCAGCAAGCTCTTCAAGACGCTTTCGCGACCGAGAGAGATATCATTGCCTCCCTGGATCGCAATGTCTCAGACGGTGATTCTACAAAGGGCAATGGTGTCATAAATGATGACGATCCCATAAAAGGCAACGATACGGATGCTGATGTCAATGTTGACGATCGTGACAATGAGGAGGAAGGAGAAGACGCCGAAGAAATCAAGTTTCCTGCAATCCAAAGCCTGAAGCTCATCGACTTTGCTCACGCGGAATGGACGCCAGGCCATGGACCGGATGAGAATCTCTTGCATGGCATCAGGAATACCATCAAGATACTCACAGGTCTCACAGGATGAAGACTACAAGAATTTCATGAAATGAAGACTGGCTGGCACGCAGCGCGAGATTGTAACTTGAATGATAAGGATCAAGAAGTATGAAGGGTCGGGCTGTGGGGAATGGCCGACTTTATCAAGATGAGGTAAAGAATATCTTCGAATCTAGGCACATTACGGAGATTTGAGTAGAATTGAACAGTTTGCGTGGACTATCTCCATATCCAATAACAAAAGAAGAAAAAAATGAACCAAAAAGGGGAGACGGACGCTTTGGTTGAATTGGTCTGCGTTCTAATGGCATACAGTTCCGACTTCCCTCATTGGGCAAAGTAAGGCAAATGCAGCGCTCAGTAAACAGCTCCTAACCGTTGTCGCCAGATTCCACTCCCGTCTTACATCCGAATTAGCCTCGATACTTCGTACTTTCACCGGTTTGATCGAAGATCATTATTCTCCTGCTGCTGCTTCCTCCGCCGTTTCCTTCACGGTCTACGGTCAGTATTGAGACAACGGTGTCGCCGGGCACCGGCAAGTCTAAGCAAGCAACCCCTACTGTGGCAAGCACTGGGTCAGAAACACAGTAGCCAAGCACCTTGGCCTACTTCTGCCTGAAAGTCTGCATCGGATTATCTCAGGTATTTTCGTCTATATGGCACAGGTTGATAGGAATGATCGTAGATATTTTCGTTGAGCGCCTGCGGGACGAACACTATATATGGTCGACATCGGCATCGATTTGCCGGACTTCATCAACGACTTGTGCAGAAGAGTTGGTTTGGAATCGCACGCTCTCTTGGTTGGGTCACTGAAATCCGTGTGCTTGCCGAAGATCTCTATTTATGTCAAGCATGGACTCAACTTCCAAGGAACCTGCTTCAGCTCCCTACGAGTCCGATCCATCGGGCGAAACTGAAGGGAATCCATCCCAGAATCCATCGTCACCAGTTCCACGCGATATTCTCGTCGTGGAAGATGCTGGGAAGCCGCACAATCCATGGCCTGCCGCCGACAAAGAATTGGTGATGTCTCTTCGCAACGACGGGATGTCATTCCGAGACATCTCTAAACGCTTTACAGATCGCAGCGCAAGAGGCTGCCGGCTATTATACGACAGAGTCCTTGAGACAATGCAAAAATTGCGAGAAGAATGGCCTTGGACTTCGAGTGAGGAGCAGCTCTTGTTTAGCCTCCATAAAGCTGGCTACCCCCCCAAGAAAGTTGGCGACGAATTCCCCGAACGGACTGGGCTCGCAGTGAAGGTGGAATGGGAGTACATGGATGCACCGGTCGACTATGAGGACGACTATCAATGGACCGAACTCGAAGATCAGCAGCTCCAGGACTTCCACAAAGCAGGCAATGATTGGAAGTCACTCGCTCGATTAATGCCGGGACTACGCCGCACCGCGGGCGACTGCCTCGTTCGGTATTTACAGACACAAGGTTCTCTACCTTACCCCTGCCCTACTGCCTCAGCGTTCCCGTGGGCGCCGGAAGAGATAGCATCCCTGATCCGTATGCGCGACCAAGGAAGGGACTGGGTTGAGATTGCGTCACAACTACCCGACCATGATGCAGTGGACTGTCGTAACTACTGGTACAATAATCACTGGGACGATTATCGGGAGTGGTTCAAGGATGGTCAAATCGATATGTCGCGTTACGCCAAGTCGTCCAAGAACACGGCCTCATAGATGCGGTGAGGAACCCTAACGCAATCAATGTTTCGACCGCTCAGCTACAGTGTGTGGAAGCACAGGCGAATGCACTTGCGACGGATGGACCATCAACTTCTCACGCGCTATCTACGAGAAGATAGTTAAAGACGTAGGAACAAAATCAGCGGGTGACAATCGAGACGAAGAAGCTTGGGTTCCATTCGTCAACCGAGTTCTTAATATGTTGTGTAGCAATCGCAATGCAGCCAATTGGAAGTTTCGAAGCTGTCTACCTACTGCCTTGAGTCCTTCTCAGGCAATTCCCAGCCGATGCGAAATGAGGTTTCGGATCAACCTACCTACGTTCATTTGCCCGCTGTCCGAGGGGTCCCCTATTCAGCTTTATATCCTGCAGGATCCTGTTAGTCTCTACTTTGAAAATGTACACCTACAAGTATCGCCCCAAAAAATTATGGATCGTGATGAAATCGTTCTTGCTAGGACATGAAGGAGATTTCATGTCTCGGATCTTTGATCTTGCTTGGCTTCCGGAACTGGCGAGCATCTTGTACTATACTTAGTCACACACATCGTTATTTCTTCAAGACTTCTCGAGCCGTGTCTCCTTCAAAGTTTCTTCGAGCGTGCTGACTTCCGCCCAGTGCTGCATCGAGGACACTAGTCTCTTTGGAGCTGGCGTCGTTTGCGCCCCTCGTATATCGGTACGTCTTCGTAGGGTCTGTACAGGAAGAGGATACAAATTTCCCTCACTACTTCAATCTCGTAGGATTACCGCCTTGCAACTTTTGTCCCTTTGTGTCCTAAGGAGTCTGGTGGTATTGCATGGCCACGACGTAGCACGATGAAGATTCTGTATATATCGCATAAGACGAGTGTGCGTTATAAGTCAGACCGTCCTGTTACGGGCCATTAACTTTTCTTGGAACGAGAAATAATACGGATACACGTCCCTCTACAAATTCACACGAATTTTCTGCTGTCTCCAACACCAGACGAGTAGTACCTTGCTGTTATGTTATGGGATTTTCCCCGCCATCGAAGCAGAATGCCGTCATTGCTTAAGCGACTCTGGATGTCATCCATTGCAAAGACCGCCTCATCTCTAGTCTGATTCCACGAGGGTACTGACGACACGAGAAACGTCAGGGACAAGTCCTCCTGGAGAACAGACGTCAAATCTTACATAGCAAGGACTCTCGTGGGTCGAGATCCCCAATCGGTCAATTCAGAGACCTAATGAGGCGTAATTATCCACGTGACCACGAGATCAGCAGTGCAACGAAATCATGACTAAGAGGACGGCTCACATTCACCGCCATAAGATTTGTAGCCATCGTTGCTTCCAAACACCAACGCTCGGGTTGTAATCGAGACATCAACAGTGTCACCTGCGCAACATGCGTCTCCTCATCCTTCCAGAATTAGCTGTTGTCCATCCGAATTTCCTCATAATGTGCATGCTTTGAGAATACAGTGTTGCTGCCAGGCCGTCCACGGTATCTGCCAACCAACATAGACTCGCAAAGGGAGAGGTCACAGCTGCACGTTACAGCCATGTTGCCGTATGCAAGGTCAGCCATCCTCCGTTCTCGCGCAGATATTCAGCTCGGAGTAGGTAGAGGACAGGCTCTAGCTTTTTGCCCCTGCACGATCATCCCCCCACCTGATCTTTCCACGTTCGAGACTCGGATGATCGTCTCTGCATGATGCAACGTTGCGCCTATCTCAGCATCTGCATTCGGCCACTACGCACTCCACACACCCATCTCGCAGCACCAGCAGTCGAAGGAACTAAAGTAGCATTAGCACCGCGCGCCTCGAATACGAGCAATTGTGTTGACTTGCAGGTAACCCCGCGTGAACCTTAATATAAAAAACAATATATAACGCAACCGTAAGACGGCCCCAATTGCCTAATGGAACCTTTGAGGATTTTCCTCGGCCGGCGTCCGTGTCCAAGCGGCCTAGCAGGCGGCACAGGGCACGCTTCCGTTCGTCTATGTCACCTTGCACGTCATGCCTGGAAGAAAGTCGTATCTGGTGCTCAGCTTTGCCTCTGCTGGTCATGGGTCATGACGAAGGAATGAAGATGTAGCTGCCCTGCTCAAGACAGTATTTCTCGGGGAAAAGGTGAAACATCTGCAAGGCGGCATCTTATCGCAGCACACCAAGTTGATAGCTACCTTCCGTTAGACAAAGAAGCGGTGACGGGCAGGGTGCAGACACGCTACTGCGTCATTCACATGGCTCGTTTCAGGGTCGTTCTCTAAAGGTAAGCTATGTAATCGTACCTTAGTACTCGGTAAGTCAGACCCCGCAGCGTGTCCCCGACTCCCCATTGGTAGACTTGGTAGATTGAGTTTCAGCGCCAGGAGCTTAGCATGCTGAAAAAGAGTGGGAATCTACTTCCCCGGGTCTTGGCAGCATTTTAGCCTTGCTACAAGCCTGCAAGGGTACGGTAAGGTACTATTACTTACTTACTTTCAGGTACCGTACCTTAGTCCCTTGTTATTGTAGGCTTGTACCTTATCTTAGTGGTCTAGGGCGAGGACATGGGCAGGGATAAGGTAAAGTAAAGTAGAGTACAACGTTGCTCTGTCTCTCTATCGACTATCGAGCTGTGCCCCACTCGCTAAATACTTTCTCTTACTTGAGGGACAATGTCACTATGTACTGTATCATTCCATCTTCCTGCATTCGCGGACACATGTCTCTTCCTTAGCTTTTCTTGCTCATGATTACTACTCTGTCCTATCGATATTGTCTCCTTCAATGCTGAAAAAGGCCCGTCGTAGAGGAATAGTCTCCGTCGTCCACTGTCTCAAGAGTACTGTCTCTTAAGCAAAGGCTTTGCATGCCACAAGAACGCCAAATCTTGTCCCGAGTTGACGCTTTCAAGCGCTCTCATTGACCCAGCGAGTAATCGCCCGTCATGGCCGTGACAGCGACCCCCAGCCAGGTCAATGCAATGATGATAACAGAAAGAGTCACTTCCATATTCTCTCTCCTCGGCATTCTCTTCATTCTGGCCACCTTCCTGCTGGGAAGAGGCTTCGATAAACCAATCAACCGGCTTTTCTTCTTCGCATCATTCAGTAACTTAGGCATGAACATCGCAGCCTTGATTGCCGAAGATGGCGTTTCTGCAGGCCAGAATTCGTCGCTGTGCCAATTCCAGGCTTTTGCTATACAATGGTACGTCGAGACGAAAGTTGCAATGCTCTTTGTAGCACCTAACGTTCAGTGTAGGTTTCTCGGAGTGGATACCCTCTGGGCTTTGTGCATGGGCTTCAATGTTTACCTCGCCTTGTTCCGTGGATGGACCTCAGAGCGCATGCGGAGACAAGAGTGGAAATACTTCCTCGCGTGCTATGGATGCTCCTTCATACCAGCCCTGGTATATCTTTTCGTGAACACCAAAAGCCGAGGAAAGATATACGGTCCAGCTCTCGTAAGTACAAGATACAGTTCAGAGAAGCAATCGTTGACGCCATGTTAAGCTCTGGTGTTGGGTGTCCCCGAAATGGGACTTTCTCCGCGTGGCAACCCTCTACGGCATCGTGTGGTAAAGCCGACTCTCCCCAGCCCACACATGCACCACTAATCACCCCTCAACCCAGGGTCGCACTCCTCTTCGCCTGGATCATCTACCTGATGGCTTTCCGCAAAGTGTGGAACAACCGCCACCAACTCCAAGGCTTCTTCAACCCCTTCAACGAAAACCCCTTCGAAGGCACCGTCACCACCGAAGTCGACGTCACAACCTACGCCCGCCGCGACTCCGCCCTCAAACCCGCCGGTCACAACACCACCACCGCCCCCGACGCCGAACTCGCCATCCCCGGCACCGAGCCCGCCCCAACGGCCGGCTTCGACCCCTACAGCGTCAACGTCGAAGCCGCCCCCCCCGCCCCGCCGCACCGGCACCACCGGAGCGACCCCACCGCCTCCGCCGCCCCGGACCTCCTCCGCGTGCGCGCCCTGACCCGCACCGCCGCCCTCCGCGAGACGAACCCCGAAGCCTGGCTCTACGCCCGCGTCGCCTTCCTCTTCTTCGGCGCGCTCCTCCTCTCCTGGGTGCCCTCGAGCGCGAACCGGCTCTACGCCCTCGCCCACCCGGCCCGCTACAGCTTCGGCCTCAACTACGCCGAAGCCCTCGTCCTGCCCCTGCAGGGCTTCTGCAACGCCCTCGTCTACGCCGTCACGTCGCGCTCCGCGTGCCGCGATCTGTGGCGCTCGGTGGCGGGGACGGGCGGCGGCGGTGGAGGGGCGGTGGGGGGGAAGGCGGCGTCGGGGGGTGGGAAGGCGGGGGATACGAGGTTGGTGCGGTTTACGGGTCGGAGGACGAGTCGGAGGTTGGAGAGCGATGAGAGTAGCGTCGCTAGTTTGAGGAGGCATTGATGGATGGAGCTAGGGGGAGGGGTTTTTGTTTTGGGGAGGGCTACTTGGAATTGATGTTAGATGATATCCCTCAATGGTTTTGTATTTGATGACGGGGATGTTTTTCGGGGGATGATCCCCGAGTGGAGAACAGCATATTTGGCTTGCAAAGATGCAAAGGAACGATGTTTAATTGTTGTGTTCCATAGAGAGATTCATGCTACTAAGTATTATGCTACATCATGATCTCGTGACAAGATTGAGAGATCCTCCACCGAATCTCGCTGCGACGAAGCGGTTCCCACAGGTGTTGCATCCAACTTCTCTGTGATACCGGAAGTATCTGATCTCGAACACGACGAAGACATCCTCTCCTGAAGTTCACTGCGACAGCGCCATTCCGACAGGCGTTGCATCCAACCTCTCTGTGATACCGGAAGTATCTGATTTCGAACACGATGAAGACATCCTCTGCTGGATCTCATCGCGACAAAGCTATTCCGACAGGCGCTGCATCCAATCCCTCTGTGCTACCGGAGGTGTCTTCCCCGTAAAGGCGCAGGCGACTCAGGCATGTATACTTGACATTGCCCCAGTTGGAATTGACCCGGACCGCAACTCTGTTCGTGCTCACGCCATAATCGACGAGGGATAGAGGTACCAGGAAAGACTGCAAGCGTTGATTGGTCCAAATGTTGTACTCCCAACGCCCAACAGGGACGAAATCGAACGGGAGAGCTTGGTCGCCGATGGTCTTGCCTTGAGGCGAAGAGTCTTCGAGTAGAGACGGATCCATGATGGTGATAGCCTCGCGAACGGCCGCGCGAGTCCTATCATCGGGAATATGGATCCACAATTCGACTTCTCTTGGAGAACTGCCCATGAAACCGACCGGCATTTCGTCCATAGCGGCGTGTTCAACGACGAGTTCCGTGGGTGCGATGGTGCGCGATAATGCGACGGTGAGTTGGAGCTTTCCATTGGATGGTGGAGCGCACCAGGCATCATCTACAGGATCACTCCATGGGCTGAGGGCTGCGTACTGCGGTGCTGAGAGTGAGATCTGCGGACAATTCTGAGATTTGAACAATGACCAAGGCCAGCCATCCGGAGTCCAGGTCGGATCGCATTCGGAGACTGTCGGTGAGGAGAGATAAAGGTCGATACCGGTACCGAAACCAGGAGTAAACCAGTTGACCTGGTGCTTAGCCGTAGTAGCGTCGACAGATATAGAATCGAACGAGAGGTCCTGCACGCGCTGTTCAACCTTGCTGACGCGGTGATGAAGTATTTGAATTTTTGGGGAGGCCGTACGGAAGTCTTGAGAGAGTTCGGATTCGTTGCCAAGTCCGAGCATGGGAGTGCGTTTGACTTCGTAGCAGAAAAGGAGTCCGATCAGAAAGATAAGAACGAGCAACACATCTCTCACCAACACGGCCGGCGACCATGGATATATGAAGTGGTACGCTGGTGGCTGGGGCGGTAACCCGTTGAAATGTAGCTCGTCCGGCTCGTTGACACGACTATGGATGCTGTCTTCGATGATAATATTGGATGTGCGATTGCGACCTTCCGCGTTGAATCCGCCGCGACGAGGAGCCCAGAAGTACCTAGAGAAGAAGCTTTGTTGCGCGGGCGGCTCGCTCTGATGGTCATCGAAAGAATGTTGCACGGACGGCTCGCTCTGATTGCCATCAATAGAAGGTTGCACGGGCGGCCCGCTCTGGTTGCTATCAGTAGAAGAAGAGCGACGCTGGATAGTAGAGAACATATGATCGACGACGGGCTGGCTGACCCCTCGGCTGGACTCTGGTTCCTCCGGAAGCGCTGGAAGTCTAGGGGAAGTGTTGGCAGTCGGAGACTCCGGAGCTTGAGCTTTAGAAACAGCGTTGGCGATTGGGTTGATGGCTTGGTTCACGCCAATTTGAGCAGACAAGAGCTGTGCTCTCGCTGACTTTCCCTCTGTGCCATAGGCACGAGTTACTTGGCTGCCAACGGTCGGCTTATCATCTTCTGCCAACGGCGCCGCAGAGCCGACACGGCGAGAGCGTCCACGGCTGGAGGCACCGACGGAGGCGGCACCGGTGGACGCAGCTCCCGTGGAGCGTGCCTTGGAGGCAGAGCGGGTGACGCGCTGGTGCGCTCCGGTAGACATGCTTTCAGGTGTTGCTGGTGAAATGCTTGGGCTTAGGTGGTGTGTGTGTTGAAAGTTGTGTATTAGTCGAGCGGATTGGACCGAAGCTTGCCAGAAGCAGAGGTGTTGCAAAGGTTGTTTGATGGTTGTAGGCTTGCCAGAAGCTGCAGATTAAAGATGTGTAAGTGGAACGATTGCTTGCCAGAAGCTTTATGAATGAAATGGGGTGGATTGTGCGTATATGTTTGTAGATGTTGTAGATGTGAAAAGTGGAAAGCTTGGAAGGAATTAAGTAGGAGGAAAGCTCACAATCTGGCGCTAGTGAAAAAGAGGAGGCTGGTCTTTTTTCCCGCTCTGATCTTGAAGGTATTCACTCCTGTGACTAGTATTGACGGTTTTACCACGCTATTGTTGCTGCGCCTAATTCCTATTGACCAAATTCCGAGTCGACTCCAAGAATACCATTCACGCAGACCTTTCCTATTGATCGCTATTGTCACGGCGCTTCGCAACTCGTCCGGCTCGACGGGCACCTCCTCCCCATATGTTGATGTCTGACGCTGAATATTGAGTCGGGATGCCTGCTCTTCGCGGCGGCAATACTCGTGGTATCAGGCATTTGAAATCCTTTGTCGGTGGACTTAATGGTGTTTATTACGATACTCTTATGCTTGTGAGAGACTCAAAGCTTGGAATGAAGAATGTTCGCCGCATGCAGTTTGTGAAGAGGTTCTTTGTTGATGTTCGCCAGCTCCACACGCGCTCATGCGCGGGCGGCTACGGCTCATCATTGCCAAGACTCAGCCACACTTCGGGAAACTCGGACTCGTCAGACTCTCAGGCAGACACAATCCCATCACCACTCTGCCGTTTCTGACTGACAGAACCATCAACAACGACCTCAGAACTACCAGCTAGCATCCACTATCCACTCCTCCGTCGAACGTATCCACCTTCAGAACCATGTGCAGCGGCGACATCTGCCTCGGCCTCCTGGCCATCCTCTTTCCCCCCATCGCCGTCTGGATCAAGTCAGGCATCTGCACCGCTGACAGCCTCATCAACATCCTTCTCTGCACCCTCGGCTACGTCCCAGGCCTCCTCCACGCCTGGTACATCATCTCCCTCTACCCTGAACCCGACGATTATGAATACCAAACCATACCCAGCGACCAGGGTGAGAACGGGCGAGTCACGCACTACTATGTGAACCACCAGCCCAGTAACGAAGCATTGAGGCAGCAAAATCAGCCGCACGGGGGCCAGCATATGTATGTTCCTGGACCGCAGCAGCAGAGGGGGTATGGCACGGTGTCCCAGCAAGAGGGACAGCAGGCGGGAGGGGAGAGCGCTCAGGGAGGGGTACCGCCGTCATATGAGCAGGCGATTCAGGGGGACAACAAACTGCAGACGTGAACATGGAAGATATCTACCGCAGGGGACTCAATAGCTGATTAGGTAGCTGGGCTTTGCAGTGAGGTTTTCGCAGCGATGGCCTTCATGAGGTATAATGGTGGCGTTCTGGTAGAGAAAACTGTATGATATGTGCAAGGCTTTGAAAATATTCTCTGATCGCCCCTGAGATTTTCCCTCACGATGTGTCCAAAGATTCATTATGTACAAGCATCCTATGTATTCAGATGGCTAAGTCGCCGAGCAACAATGCAACGAAGACAACTTAGATCAAGGCTCTGCAAAACGCCGCCAAGCCAAAACGCCGTTGCCCTCTAATCTACAATCTGCTCTCAATCCCCGCAAGATGCTGTTCCCCAGGCCAATGAGCTTCAGGCCAGACATGTCGCATTGCCTCCCATATATGTCCAACGTGGATTATCTCCAAACCCTCCTTCACTTCTTCCGGCAAATCCTTGACGTCCTTCCGGTTGTGGTTGGGTAGTAGCACAGTTCTGACTCCTGCCCTCAGAGCACCGATCAACTTCTCCTTGATACCACCTACGGGCATGACTCTGCCTCTTAGGCTGACTTCACCTGTCATGGCGATAGTAGGAGGCACTGCCTTGCCGCTGAATAATGAGATGAGAGCGATCGTGTGCGCCAACCCCGCGGATGGGCCGTCCTTTGGTATAGCACCGCTAGGACAATGGACATGAACGCTGCGATTCTTCATGATGTCTTCATTCGCATCTGTTGTAAGGCCAAGGTCATACGAATGCGCTTTAACCCATGTTAGAGCCACCTCAACGCTTTCCTTCAGCACATCACCGAGCTTTCCCGTCAGCTGCACACGACCCGAGCCAGGCATATCCGCAACTTCGATGAAAAGAATACTGCCTTGGCCGCCGGAGCTGTAGGCAACGAGACCCGTGACGATGCCAGGGACAGATCTCTTCTCTGCAATTTCCTCATCGAAGCGCTCGATGCCGAGGATCTCTTCGAGATCAGACATGGATATGTGGGGATTGAATTTGTTGAGGGTAGAAGTATCTCTTGCATCAGCATATTCAACGGCTTTGTAGCGGCAGACAGAACCAATCTCGCGTTCGAGATTGCGAACTCCAGATTCGCGGGTGTATGATGTTATGATTGTGTCAACAACGTTGTCATCGAAATGGATGTCGGAGGTGGAAAGAGCATTGGTCGCGATTTGCTTGGGAATGAGATGTTGATTCGCAATGTGGCGCTTCTCGACAGTCGTGTAGCCGGATAGCTGGATCGTTTCCATTCTGTCGAGAAGAGGAGGTGGTATCGTATCGAGACTGTTTGCAGTGGCGATGAAGAGGACTTTGCTAAGGTCTATTGGAATGTTGATATAATGGTCGTTGAATGAGTGATTCTGTTCGGGGTCGAGGACTTCTAGCATAGCAGCTGATGGATCTCCGTGGAAGTTGGAGCCACCCACTTTGTCGATCTCATCAAGGAGGAACACTGGATTGTTCACGCCGACCTTCTTCAAGCCGTTAACAATCAAACCTGGCATTGCAGCGACATACGTCCTCCTATGGCCGCGGATTTCTGCCTCATCACGCACACCACCAAGCGAGATGCGGTGGAACTTGCGTCCAAGCGCAGTCGCTACGGACTTCGCAAGGCTGGTCTTGCCTGTCCCTGGAGGGCCGACGAGAAGCAATATGGGTGACTTGTCGACTCGGCGATTACTCTGGAGTATCTGTATCTTAGTCGAGTCAGCCTCGGTCTCGGCTGAGGGTGTCTCCGAGTCTGATTCGTCGTCCCCCGGAGCAGCAGCTTCTTTCCTAGCTCTGGAAATTTGGGCTTCAATGTCCGAATTGAGTGCCTGTTTCAGTCTCAGCACAGCGAGATACTCAAGCAGACGCTTCTTGATCTTTTGCAAGCCATAATGGTCATCATCGAGCTGTTTTCGTGCCCGCTTCAGCGTTTCTACGCCAAGCTGGGCTTCAGTTGAAGCGCTCCACGGAACTTCAGCAAGTGTCTCGATGTAGGTCCTGCAGACACCGAATTCAGCCTGCGCAGGGTTCATCTTCTTCAGTCTCTTCAGCTCTCTGTCTGCCACCTTCTGCGCTTCAGGCGTAAGCTTGGCCTCAGCAATCTTTTTCTTGAGTTCTTCAAGCTCGTTCGGCTCCTCATCGCCACCTTCATCGCCTGCCCCTGGAGCAGAGAAGCCAGGATTGAAACCTCCAAAGCCATTCATCGCTCGACTAATCAGAGCGTCCCTATCTTTGCGACTGATGTTGTTGATGTTTAGACCCTGATTCGCTGGAATCGTGCTCGTGATTGCTGTGATCTTGACACTCCCTTTCATCCCTTGTATCTGCCGCGAAAGCAACTCAATGACGTGATTCAATCTGTCTTTAACGTCCAAGGCAGCCAATACCCGTAATTTTTCCTCCAAAGAGGCTTCGACAATATTGGTCATGAAATCCGCAAGCACACCAGCGTCTGCCAACCCTTTTTTCGACACATATAGCTCCAGGCGTCTGGCGAGCAGAGGCGACAGGTTTGTAGAAGATCTGGGCAGGAATGAAGCAACTCGAACGAGGGTAAGAAGTTCGCGAGATAGCTGTTTGAGATGTTCGAAGAGTGCTTGCGTTTCAGCATCTGTCACCATCACTACAGAGAGAAATGTCAACGGTTAGCCTCAGCGACTGGTTTCGGTCTGCATACCCTCTTCATCCAAGTAGGCCACTTCTGCCTCGAAATATGGCCTCATTTGAGTGAATCTGTCGATTCTGAATCTCCTAACGCCCTCCACAATCAACGATAGATCGTCGGCTCTGCGCCCTTGGACACCAGAGATCTTGGCCACTGTGCCATACATGAATAGATCTCGGTGATCAGCCTCGCCGGAATTAGTATCTTCATCGTCGATTTGTCGTGTCTTCTTCGGATTTCCATCTTCAAGCAGTTGCTGGCCATCTGACCGGAGCAGAGGAGAATTGATGGGCACACATCCGATAGAGATGGCAGTGGCGTCTGGCCTGGGCCGTCTGTCTTTGGTAAAGACCGAGGTGAGGAGTGCTGGTATATCTGTTCGATTGGCTACTGGTATACGAAGGGTGATTCCTGGTAAGAGTACTGACCCCTTGGGTAAAGGAAGGATCGGGAGAGTCTGGGACTTGCTTTGGCCCATGTTTCAAATACGTCGACGGCCAGCTGAGAATGTCGCCGTTAGTTTAGATTTTTAGTTAGAATGGTGTCAGGAAACTTCAGTGAGAACTGTGAAGACTGAAGGCTTTAGGAATCTATGAAACTCGTCTACTGCGTTGTAAATTAATAGAGCGATGAATCATGAACGATGATGCTTATGATTGTCCCAGAGGAGCCAGAGAGCCGAGGCTCGTTTACGCGCTAGTGATACTGATCCAACCACATTAGGTTAGACTATATGTCGAAAATCATCGTCGTTTTCTTCCGCGAGCTCCGCTTCCCCATGCTTCGTCATTTCAACAGCAGAGCAATGCATCAGTCAAGCATGATGGCATCGATCTACTTTGTCGCTGATTAGAGCTTCCAATGGAACACTCGTTCGCATGAATGGGATATTCTAGGATTAGAAAGCGGACTACCCTTTTGGTCGACTTGCATCATGCGAAGTGATGGGGGCTTTTCTCCCTTGCATTCAAGTCCATGTCACAGTTTCTCCTCTGAATGATCCCTGTTCTTCATTTTACATGCGAGTCATGCTTTGCTTGAATTTTTGTAGGAGCGCGCGCCCATGTACCATCTCCAACGCGCTCTTACCGCCAACTGCTGCCCTACCTGACTTGCGACGCCGGAAACCTCTAGATTCATGTCAGTGGAGCAATCTTGGAATATTTGTCGTCCTGTGACAGTCCAGCGTTACCTATCATGCGTGCCTCAACGACGTCCTCCGCTTCCTTCGATCCAATATCACCCATTTGGTCTTGCTCAATCCGCGATTTGGCCACCACGACTCTCGCCACTGACAAATCTTGCGGTATTTTCACAACTCAGTATTCACCCAGTCTTCGATCAGACATTGCTTGATACATAAAGACTCACACTTGAGATCTTATGCAACAGCATATGACCCGTTTGCAATCCTGTTACACCCGCTCGATCCCTCGTGTCGCCGTCAAAGCGTGAGAAGGGGCTTTGCCATTAGTCTCCCAGTACTCATAATCTATCTTTTTCTCTATCTGCTGAACTTCGTGCCACAGGAGTCCAAAATATACCAACAATACAAGAGCATTGTTGCCCGTTTCTGGAGTTATCATAGGCATGAGGCTTTTCAGAATGTTGCCAGTCTGGGTACTTACGTCATGTCACAATTTATCCATGATGGCCTCATACGTCTGGTGATCGATTCTCTGATCCTCATCGGAGTCGCAAGTATATTGGGCTCGGTCTTCAATCGTCGTACGTTTTTCGCCGTCTATGTTCTTGGAGGTTTCCTTGCGGCAACTGCGGACTGCGCGTGGGCTCAAATTACCAATCCGTGCCGAAATTTTTCACAAGCACAATGTGATGAAGCCTCCACGTCTGCTAGCCTGATAAATGACGCCTCTGCCGAAATTGCCAGACTCAGCGCCTCCTCACGGGTCTACACTATCAGAGGTTTTGGCAAGCTACTGATTAATTCGGAGGATTTTGAGGAGTTGAAGAGACGTACTGCCCTCAAGTAAAAGACTGGGATAGATGGAGCAAGCAAAATTGGGCGGCGAGTGGATCTTTAGTCTGCCTATGTATGCCAACGACCCCTAGGGGCGTCTGCTCCTTTTCTCTTCCATGCAACCAGACTTTACTTAGATACTGACGTGGCGCAACATCTAGTGAGCGTTGCAACATTGATAAGACCGCGGACCATCATAATTTTTATTGGGCGTCAGGGCAAGCGTCCACTTATACAAGCTAAATGCGGGCAATTTTGTCTTCAATCTTTGCATGCCGTTTGCGACCATTTCTCGGTGAGCAATCAGCCCTGGAACATTGCAACAACAGTTGACGATATCACAGCTGGAATCACCTGGACTGTTTGGGTGATTAACTAGCTGCTGTGCTTTTGTGGTTACTGTGGCTACGCAGGGGTCACATAGGAGTGTTGGCGTCAGGTTTGAAAGCATTGGACGCATTGAATAAGCCCGCAAGAAGGCTCTCGGTGGACTGGCCGTTTGCGATGGCCGTCTTCGCTATTTGCGCTATGGGAGATGTGATTGTGTATGCCCATCGAACCACGAAGACCGGAGCGCAAGACTCGAAGGCAGCAAGAGTACCAGATCAACGTGCAGACGAGACTGGGAAACCCCTAACAGGAGAAACGAAAGAGAATGCAGCCAACGAGTTAGAGACATAAGAAGGCACTTCAGCCAACCAGCGGGCAGCTGGAAATCATGACAGGGCTTCGGAAAACGACCGAGAATAGACTTTCCAAAAGCGATACGATACTGTGAGTCCTTGTTCCGCGCGCTTCCTCTTCTAGTACTACAGCATTCTATGATGATTAAACCAAAAAGCATAGTTCAGCTGATGGTCCAAGGACCAGATGAACGAAGAAAATGTCATCATCTTTCGCTCCTATCTGAGAATCTCTGTATCTTTGGAACTTTTCTATGCTCGCTTATACACGTTGAGGGCATGTGGCTGACCGTCCTCATGCTTGAGTCTAGTCGATCGTCTGACCTGTTGTTGCCAGCCACATGCACTGATGCATTGGTCCTAATGTAGTAAACAACCATGGCAATGGCTCACAACGATTTCAAGCCGTGAAGCTCACGGGTTAGCCAATCCCAATCTACTGGGACTTGAAACAGGCCAATAGCATACAAGTCGAAGGAGGCCAAGGTCAAGTATCGAAGTATTTGGCAAGTCATCTCAACATGGGTATTATAAGTAGCTTCTCCAAATCTATCTACCAGCAACCTTCATCGCTACTACCTCCTCTTCCCAGGCCTGGCATTCTTCTCCTTCCTCCTCTCCTTCATCCCCCTCTCCTTCCTTACGTCATCAACCCCTTTGATCTCACTCTTCCCCTTGCCCTCTCTGAATCTCCCCCTCCTCTCCTCTTTCGCCTTATCCACCATCTTCTTCCTCTTGTAGAAGTCATCCCTGTACTTATCCGCATCTTTCGGCGCATCTTCCTTCTTGTGCTTCCATCTCTTCCCTCCGCCTCCTCCATTGGCCCTGTTGCTAGCTGTCTCCGCTTCGCCGGTGCGCGGGAGTCGGTCGATCTTCTTCGACTTCCTCCACGCATCAAACCTCCCACTCCTAAAACTCGCCGCAATCTTCTGCCCGCTCTCCCCTCTAATCATCTTCGCGCCTTTACTCCCATCCTCATCATTAGCTCTCGCAACGTACTTCTTACTTTTCTTGTCCCAACGCATGCCACTCGGACGGCTCGGTTGTGCAAAGCCCTTGGCCCCGTCATCGTTCGCCAAGTCCATAGCGACATCACGGGCGGCGAGGACAAAATTGTTGGAGTTACCACCAGAGTGCACGCCGTATCCCCGGTCTTCGGCTAGATTTACGGAAGTCGGCGTGTAGGACATGAAGAACGAGGGATCTTTGTAGCCATCGATTTTAGTTCGGTCACCTTTGGTAGGCTCGGACTGCGTAAAGGTCACTTCGAGCTCGTCTTCAGATGCAGAATCCATGTCTACGTCGAGTTCTGGTGGCTCGCTTTCGTCAGGACCACGATCGTGGATATCTTTTACCGGCGTATTGGGAACGATATCCTCGGCAGATATCTCGAGCTCTGCACGTTGGAGTGCATCTTTCTTCCGGCGCTGATTGTCTACGGTTATTCGTCGCTTTTTCATGACTTCAGCAGCTTCACTAGTAGCACCTTTCTTGCCGATTTCGAAAACGGTCTCCTGTGGTCTAAAACCGCTCACACGGGCAAGCATCTTGGCCCTTTCGATCTCGGCATAGTTTGTTTCGTCTTGGAATAACGGGTGCAACGCCATCCAGCTCTTGGACGCAGTCGCTTCTTTCGCTCTCCTCGCAGACTCGCTCGAAGCCGCATTTCGCGTCTTAAGGTAGAGTCTTTCGCCTTTGTTTGCAACAGAGCGCAGTGCCAGCAGGTCTGAGTCTTCGTCAAGCAGCTTGCTGACCCATTCGCAATTCCTTTCTAGCCGGTCCCTCATCAGACTGCCTACAACAACGTCTTCGGCGTAATTGGGATCATTGCCTCCATCTTGACCAAGCAGTAATCTTCTTCCGAGAAACAGCTGTAGATCTAGTAGGTATGGCGCATCGGATTCTCGAACCAAGCTGTAGCTCCATCCTTTTTTACCAGCTCTTGCTGTCCGACCCACCCGATGAACAAAGACTTTTGGCTGGGCTGGAAAGTCGTAATTGATGACGTTCGCTAGAATGGGAATATCGATACCTCTCGCGGCAACGTCGGTCACCACTAGGATATTTGTCATGCCGGTTCGGAAATCCTGGACTTGCATCTTTCTCGCTGTCTGGTCCAAGGAGCCATAAGCGTGAGACACAGCGAACCCTGATTGCCGCAGAAGAGCCGCAAGATAATCTACGTGATGCTTGGTGGCTGAAAAGACAATGGTAGAGTGCTCTGTAGGGGACTCGTGCGGCTTCGCACCATCAACTTCTCCCCGCTTTCTCTTTTTGTTGTTCTTACTGGCTTCCTCTTTTGCTCGATTTGCCGCCTCTGTCTGGCCCGTTGGGATCTTGATGATATGCTGTTCAACGTTCTTGAGTCAGAAGAGTGTACTTCTCAATGAAGGATCGAACTCAACTTACGCTCAGGACATGTAATAACGCCCCTTCCTTCTCTGCACTCTTCATAGTGAAGAACGCGCTTTGAAGATCAGGCGAGATTTTACTCTCGGCATCCAGCCGCACGAGATTCGGCTCTTGTAGACCAGCTCTGGCAAACTCAACAAGGGATTTTGGTAGAGTAGCTGAGAACAGTAGCGTCTGTCTTGATTGAGGTAGAGCTGTCAAAATCTCGGTCAATTGTGCTGCGAAACCCTAGGATTAATAGTTATTAAGTTATACTCTAGAGTAAGATCGATAGCTATTAGATAGATTTACTGTTTCATATAAGCGGTCGGCTTCATCGAAGACCACAAATCGTATAGATGATAGGTCCAACCCCATTTCCACTTTCAAATCTGCAAGACATTAGCATTGATACTGGGCGATGGGGTTGAACTTACGCAGAAATCTTCCGGGGGTAGCAATCACGATATCTGGATTTGCCGACATAAAGCTGAGTAAAGGTTTTTGAGGTTAGCTTTGCCTGTTCCGGTGAGGGTACCGAGCCTTGAAACATGCCTGGAGAGCAATCATCCCCCAGGCGTGCTCCAATAATACGTACGAGAATTGTTCCTCTAACGAGTCTCCTCCTACAAGTAGCACGCACTTCAGATCGGTCCCTCTCCCAAGCTCTTTGACCACCTTCAAAGTTTGCAAAGCAAGCTCCCTACTAGGGGATAAGATCAACGCTCTTGCCCCCACTTTAGCACTATGACTCTTCAACTTCTCGATCATTGGTATCACAAATGCGGCAGTTTTTCCTGAACCTGTCCTGGCCATTCCCACTACATCTTGGCCGTCGATGACGAGAGGTATAGTCTTCCGCTGGATTGGCGTTGGCACAGAATAGCCCTTTCGAGTGATTGCTTTCAGCAAAATCGCACTGAGACCCATAGCCTGGAATCCGCCGCCCTTCACACTTCTACCCTTGATGTTCGATGCTTTGCGATTCACCGCAGCTTGCGTTTCCGCAATGAATCCTGCATCATCTGAACTGAAATCGCCTTCTAGATCTGGCATGTCCCCAGGTCCCAGCATTCGAGCTTTGCGGTCTGAATGCTGCGTTTGCCCATCGTCTTCGGAGCCGGCACTGCTGCCATCATGGAGGAGGGCTCCTGAAATATCGACCTCGTTTTCCGAGGCCGCTGGGGATGGCGCTCGGTGAGGCATTGCGACTGGGTGAACACCTGAGAGCTGCTGTGGAGCTTTTTCAACCACTTTCAAGATTGGTGAACGGGCAAACCTCGGGCCGATCCATGCTTTAGAGTTCTTAGAGTACGAGTAAACCTCGGGCCGCCACTCTACACGTCCGCCTCGGACGCGATCCGTAAACAACGAGATATCAGCATCTAGAGCAAGAGGAGTCACAGGTCGGGCCTCAAGTCTCATTTCCCCAAACTGAAGTTGTGCTTTGACAATCTGCCTCCTTCGACAAAATTAAGACTTTATTTATCTGTTTGCCAAACTGAGCTCTAAGCCAAACACTTCAGAGAACTCTACGCATTCTTCAGGTTACTGTTGTCAAAGAGACATTCGGCATGGGTGAGCGGACTTTTCAAATGGATTTTGGCCGCCGCTAAGATGTCCTCTTTGCAGACTACGGTGGTGGCTACTCTACGACGTCATATGGAGCTCAAGGCGGGGCAGGTGGAGGAGGCTTCATGGGAGGTTCTCAAGGTGGGAGCCAAGGTGCAGCTGGAAAGGTGGTTCTGCGTCATTTCGAGTCTTTCCTTTTGTCCTCAGCTGACTCAATGATTAGGGCACATATGGCAAAGACACCCTTAGACCCGTCACCATAAAGCAAGTCCTCGACGCACAACAACCACATCCAGACGCAGAATTTAAGATCGATGATGTCGAAATCACACAGGTACGTCTTTTAAATCCTTATACAGCACTCCATCATCATCTTCCATCATCCTCTCGATTTATTGATGTCCGATAGGTCTCCTTCGTTGGCCAAATCCGCAACATATCCACGCAAACAACAAACATAACCTACAAACTCGACGACGGCACCGGCACCATAGAAGTGAAACAATGGATCGACGCCGATGCTACTATGGACACCACGTCTGACTCCGCCACATCGAAACCAAAGCTCGTCGAGAACGAATGGGCCCGTGTCTGGGGCCGCCTGAAGGCTTTCAACAATAAACGCCACGTCGGAGCCCACGTTATAAGACCTGTTGCTGATAAGATGGAGATTACATACCACCTTCTAGAAGCAACATTCGTCCATCTCTACTTTATCAAAGGCCCGTTGGATCAGATAAAAGCAGAGGGCGGCGGGGCCAATGGTAACGCAGGTGAAGTCGGCTATGGTGGTGGAGGAGACACAGGGATGAACGGAGGACAGATGCCGAATGTCAGCGTGGCAGCGAGGAGAGTGTACCAGACGCTGAAGGACAGTCCACAGAACAATGAAGGACTGCACGTGCAGAACGTAGCCGCGCTGGTGGGCATGAACGTTGCGGATGTGAAGAAAGCTGGGGACGAGCTGCTGAGCCACAGCATGATTTTCACGACGGTAGATGATGATACGTGGGCGGTGCTGGAATTTTGAGACGGCCTGAATCACGCCGATAGCTTCCAATAGCTTAGTAGCCAGGGTATCAATGCTTGAGATGTATTGCTCCTGCGCCCCAGTACGCACACAGTATACAAGTTCCTCAAACTCTTCTCCCTTCCCCTCTCTCTTCCTTCTATCAAAAATCCTCCCCTCCCAACATCCCCTCACCCCCAACCTACCCCTCCCTTCCCATCGCCACCGCCGCCGCGCCCCCATTCTCCTCCCAACTAGGCCTCCACCTCACCTTCCCCTGCAACAACAACCTCGCCCTCTCCTTCAGCCCCTTCGCATCCCTCGGATCCAGCTTATACCTCTCATCCGGCTGCTGCCTCATCTTCTGCTCCTCCACCGCCTTATCCCTCGCGTCCTGCGCCTCCCGACCCTCCGCCAGCACCTCGTCCGGGACCTCGGGCCACACGAACGGGCCCTGGCCCTCCTGGCCCTGCACCATCTCGACCGTCATCTTCTTCGCGGCGCCGGCGCGGGCGAGGCGGCCCGTGCGGTCGTTGCGGAGGACCTTGCCCTGGATGATGAAGGAGCGGACGCGGAGGGCCTGGACGCCGTAGACGTGGTAGAGGTAGTCTTTGAGGTCGAGCTTGTTGAGCCAGAGCGGGGTGAGGAAGGAGGCGAAGTGGGGCGGTTGGGTCGGCGTGCGGAGGAAGGTGAGGGTGAAGTTGGGTCTGTGGGGTGGGCGGGTACGGATGCGGGTTAGCCGATGGATTGGCTGGTGGGTTTGGGTACGTGGATGGTCGGTCAGGTGGGGTAGGTGGGCTTACAGGAACACTTGCTTCTCTCCCTTCGGAGGCTTGAAGCGGTCGGGTACCAGCGGGCGGAGAGGTAGCGGAGAGGGCTTGCGGAGACGAGCTGGATTAGGGCGGACGCGGGGAACAGCGGCGACGCTGGCTACGGAGGTCTTTATGATGGCGTTGGGTGCGTTCATGGTTTGGTTACGTTTCTGGGGTCGAAGGTTGTGGAAGTCATGGAGTAGGGGAAACTTTGCGCTCTGGTGCCAAGACATTTTATATTCCGAGGTTGCGATGTCAAACTTGTTCTTGGGTGGCTGGCCATGTCAAGGTTGGATGTCACGAAAGCATAGAGTGTCCATTCATGATTGTAACATTTTTTCTATCTGAGGATCATCTGATCGAAGCAATGAGCAAGTCTGACAGTAGCAATCTCCATCCTGTCTGGACGATCTGTATGCACCATCTTGTATCCTGCCGGACAGCATTTACTATCCTGTGCTTTCCTGTACCCACAACCATGCCATAAGTCGAGCGAGAATTTCGTAGTATCGTCTGAGGCAGTCGTGGAAAACCCGAATTAGACATGCGTGTGATTGGCGTTTTAATTTCCCAATCTCGTCCGTATTGACGCCTTGCAAGATCGTGCTTTCATCGTAGTCGTGATCGTTTCTGCATCGAAACCATCCTGTAAATTTGTGTATCCTGATGCCGTGCATCTTCAAATCATAACCATGTCCTCCTCATCTTCATCTTCGTCGTTGACTTCTGCACGGTCAGTATCATTGCCATCATCATCCTCTTCACCGCTGAAGAGATCAGCGTAGCTTTCATCTTCCTCCACCATATTCCCTTTTCCTTTCGCGACCCAACGACCCTCAATGGCAGCCGCCTCTTCAGCTTCCTCGATACGTTCTTGAGCCTCTATCTGCTTCCGCGCAAACGTCTCTTCATCATCAACATCAACTGATAGAGTCACCATAGTGAAGCTATCACTCATAGAATCATCCGCAGAGTCGGCGGCGTGGACTCGACCTCGACGGATCGCATCAGAAAATCCACGGTTGGTCGCTGTAGATGTGTTGAAGGTACTGGCACTGTCTCCAGCACTAAGCAACTCGAACTCGCTTGGCGTTTTGACGCTGTTAGCAGGGGTCGAGCCGTCATGGACGTTGGGGCCAGGAGTGGTGAAACCATGCTCCGCAGTAGGAAGGTCATCGTTGTACACTCCCCTATAGAGGTTTTAGAGTCAGCATCTCTTCTTCCGGGCAAGCATTCAATCAGACAGCCTCAGGGGATTCAAAGACCCTTTTACTCGCGAAAGATGTCTTGTTTGAAACGTGGTATAGAACAGGAAAAATCTGCTTCGAAATGTACATACATCGATCCATCATCGTTGCCACCAGCCCAGAGTGGGAGGTACTTCCATTCAGTCTCTTCAAGGCAGACGAGCGTATTGACGATGCCAAGATCCAGGGATTCTTTCAGACATCCGGGATCTGAGGAACGTAGCTTGTTACTAGCAAATATATCAATATAGTTTTGAGCTTGGATGAAAAATCCTCCAAGATCGAAGAACTTTGTTGGGTTGCCGGAGTAAGTTTTCTTGGGCTTCAAGTCAACAAATTGCTGCTGGACTCCGTCATCTGCATCCGAACTGTTGTATTCATCCCAGATATCGGGTTTTGTTGTAGCCGCCCTGGGCGCCAAACATTGCGGGACTACTTCGTTCAAGTAATCAGCGCGCCATGACTTGCGATCTGCTGGAATTATTTTTCGTTCACCCTCTGCTTTCTGGGGCGCTAGGTCTCTCTTGGGTGCTAAGTGATCACTGTGACTCGAGGGATCACTGTAGCCACGCCAGGGGTCGATTCCTGTCGAAATTCCTTCATTTTGACGTCCTTGGCCCGCCGGCTCTTCCAATGCGTTGTCAGTAGCCGGCCATCTATCCAATGGTCCTGAAGAAAAATGAAGGTCATCTACGCTCTTCTGCACTTGAGCTACAGGGTCATCCCTTGCTGCCCCAAAAGGCCATTTCGTACGAACATCGGTTTCAGATTGCTTTTCATCTGGAGGCGACAGAGTATCGTGGAAAAAATGCGTTCGCTTTAATGCTTTCGGGACATCGATAGGTTGAGCTGGTATTGAGAAAAATGCTTTGCTGTTAGTAGCAGCTTCTTGCGCGCCATCAAGGGTACGATCTGGCAATGCGTATGATCGTTTCTGCAAAGGTCTGACATTCAACTCTTGTTGAGCATTGTAAAGATTGTGGTCTGGGGGGAGTGCGAACAACAAGTCCTGAGACTGTTTTTGGTCCTGCGCCCCACTGATGGTACGATCTGGCAGTGTATGTAAGCGCCTTGACAAAAAATGGGCATCCAACTCTGGCTGAGCAAGGTGGAGAGTGTGGTCCGAGCGGTCCGGAATATACGCTTGATCAAGGTGAGTTTGACCGTTGCGCATGAGTTTTCTAAGCTCTGAGTCCTTGATCTCACGATAAGTGCCTCGATCCAATTCGCGCCTTTCGATATGACTCAATCGGTCAAGACCACCCTTTATGAGCCAGCCTTTTCGAATATCAAGGTTTGTCGCTCCCTGAAACATAGCGAATGATCTTAAGGCCTCCCAATAGGTTCTTGACAGGATACGCTCGCCTAGCGGCATATTGGCCCATACAGCGGCACGGTCCAGTCGCGGCAGCAGTTCATGCCCTCCCTCCCGGTGGAGAACGGGTCCGGGAAGAGTGTCGTATTCGACACACAGTAATTTGTAAACTGTCCCGCGGACGTAGTCCTTGAGGAGATCCTTCATTTCTTTGACTGTGTCTTGAAGCTCTGGCTGTGTATATGCAGAAAGTCTGCGCACTTCTGGCAGCTCGTCAATCCATTGCATGTCGTTGAAAACGAAATTCGCGAAACCACGATTAATACGCTCAAGGAAGCTCTTGCTGGCGTATTCGACGCGAGTGTGAATATGCTCCGGCAGCTCTTCCTTTTTCCGCCCAAATGTGGTGCGCTTGTGCATCCGAGGCTCTCTTGTTTGACGAAGGTTATCCAGTGCTTCTTCCCCAACCAGAATAGCGAAGGAGTCGCGAGCAAGGTCGTAGTTTTGAAGACCGTCAGCGATTTGGTGACTGACTTCAGGCAAAACCTCCAAGAAGTACGAATTAGGATACGCACGCAACCAACGGATAATATAGTCCTCTAGTGGACTGTGGATAATGTCGAGATTCTTTGCGACAGCAAACGTAGTCCATACTTTGGTTGCGGAGTCAAGCATCGGATCCGTTCCTTGCAAGGCGGAGAGTACACGCTCGATAGCGGAGCGATGTCGCACAGGGCTGTATTCCAATGGCATGACAGTTGGAGGGGTAACTTTCAAGCTCGTGCCTTCAGAGCCTGCTGGAATCGTGTTGAGTCCATCCAGCTTCTTCCCATTGGTCAGTTTGTTTGAAGTCTTCTGGCATTTGGCGGCCCGATCTGGACGTTCTGAAGTGGGCTCACTCACTGCTTTTGGTGAGACAGAAGAGTATTCTTCTTCGCCTTTTACCAAAGTCTTCGACACGTTCCAAATCTGATTCGACTGATACCAAAGTCTGACCCCCTCGGAACAGCACAGTTCAGTGGTCAGAAAGACGGCATCTGCGCAGATTTTAGAGTCAGCATGGCCTCTACAAGGCTAGAATCTGAGTCGTGAGACAGGCTTGAAGCGTGAAAAGAGCAGCTTGCTCCCTGCATATGCCTCGCGACTTGGATTGTGTGAACAAAATCTGAATTATGCGTACCTTCGCCCTCACTGGGTGGTGTCAAGTCAATCACATATTTGACGTTGCTCGGTAGCTTATTGGCTAGCTTGCGACGCCGAAGAAATCGGAATTGCTGGGTAGGGCCGAAGAGCTTTGCAAGACCGGGTGAATACTTGGTTAGAGTGTCCTTCTGTAAGAGAATGGGGTCTTCATAGCGCTTGATGTAGCGCTGGTAGTCATGCTCGTCCTGTTCTGGCTGTCTCTGTGGAGCGTCGATGTAGATCAACGTGTCGCCCTCTGAGTCGTGAACAATTGGCAGCTCTATGGCGGCTTGCATTGTCATGTCGTTGATTCGATCGTCGATGTTGACGCGATTTTGGCATGTCTGTACATGAGGATCGAGTTCCTCAGCCTTTAGATCCGTAAACTGAGTAGCCGGATTGTTGTCTCGCGCAGAGGGTGATTCGCGGATAGCTTCCTGCATGCCCATTGCTGCGCCTTGCGCTCTACTGGGGTAATTGAGATCCCGGCTAGCCATCCCTTGGTACTTTCAAAACTTATAGAAAGTTCCACAGCAATGTCAGTCTGTTTGCTGGATGGCTGCCTGCCAGTGAGTATTGCGCAGTTATATGGTGACGAGTAATTAATGATTGAAGCCGCCTGGGTTGCTATTCGGGATACTGAGCTTGGCTAGACTGATGCGCTTGAAGGGAAAAAGAGATGAGAGTCGTTGCCTCAATTGTTAGATCAAGGATCGAAGGCAGGAGTCTTTGCTCAAGTTGAAGTCAATGGGGGTTTGGGTTAAGAAAATGGGATCCAGGTGAATAAGGAAATATCAAGTTCAGGCGGAACTAGCGGCGTACTCTAGGGTGGATGCCTTAGGTCAGTTTGCTGGGTGAGTCGAGCTGATGAGTCAAACAGAGTCTAGCTCTCCCACGTCCTCTGATTCTTCCTCAACTTCAAGCAACAATGACGCTGTCAAACTAATCCGAAGACTGTGACAGAAAATGGAGAGAGTAAGAAAGGGCAAAGCTGTGTATATGCACAGCTTTATGAAGAGGAGATGGAGTAGGTGGGAAAAAGGAGACTTTTGGGGGGAAGGCTGCCTCAGCTGCCTGTTCATGCGGCTAAATTCCTTAACGGCGGGATTCTCTCTCCTCACTGGCTCCGTTCCATTGGTGTGGGTGAGGCTCTGCTCTTGGTTCCAGGTCTGTTTTAGGTGTTTCCGCAGCTGATGTTCTCTGAATCTCCGCTCACTCCTCGTAAGAAATTTGTGACCCGGATTGTTTTTGTATTCGTTGAAGATGTCCCGTGCTGTGCGTGGTTTTTTTTGTGTCTCTAGAGCTTGCTCCAGCTCCTGCCTTATTTCGATCTTCAGATGGTATCTGAAGATGGTCAGTAGTACGAATATAGACAGAAAGCCGATTATCTTTCCAAGCCAATTGTTGTTTTCCATTTGTGCGTTACTGTTGGATTGTCCATGCTTGTGAGTCTTGAAAAGAGCACGCGACAGCGTGAAGCAAAACAGAAGCGAATTAATAGCGCCTTGGCATTATACGGGTACGACGTGCATTCAAATGGACTGGGAACTTGCAGATGACTATGAACAGAAAATCAAGGAGAGAGAGACCATATGTGAGACAAGGAATGCTCAATTAAGTGCCAGAGACGCTTTGTATCCAGCATGACACAAGGCTTAGGGGCACAAGCATCCAAAAGATGGGAGACACTCAAACCATTCTAGTAGCAGAAACGGGAGGCGGGACGAAAGCTTATGGGGCTCTTGAAGAGGAGAAAGCTCCATTCGCCCTCGTATTTGCTGTGTCAACGTCTTATATCCTCTTTTCAGGTCAATCACATAGCCCTTTACAGCAAGTTGACCTCTCCGCCCTCAATAGCTACTCTCTACTCTTCGATGCCAGGTCCAACAGGTCTTTTCAGCAGAAGCGCCATTTATCCAATTCCCTTCCAAGTTTCCTTGAAGACCCATTGAGCCAAGAGCCCCTCCCCAGCTACTGTTCAGCACAAGCGTCGACTACCATCTCCGCTTCCAAAAGCCATTGAAGGCCCGCTTTTGAGCCAGAAACAAGCACCCAGCTCCGGACCCCCTTCATTCCTTCCAAACCAAGCCGTCGGAGCATCGCCCAGATGTCACACATTAGCTCCCTCCTCACTAGACCGTCCACCCTCGGTCTCGTCGCTGTAGGCGGCAGCGCCGCTTTCTACCTCGGCATGAAGTCGAAGACGATAATGGCTCAACAGGCCCAAAGGGATAGTGGAGAAGATCAAAGCAGGGCAAGAGGACCGGCGGTCCAGGAGAAGAATTATGGGGTCAAAGCTGGCAGGGAAGGTGGAGGGGTTTGAGTGTGGGAAAAGATTGGGGATGCACAGGGGTCGAGGTGCAATGGAAATGGAGTGTAGAATGTTCTTTACAGCAAGATTGTTGAAGGTTTCTGCGAAGAGAGAAGGTTTGGTGACACATCAAATATGGCTAGCAGTATTGCAGGCGAAATGCGAGTGCTTAGAAGAGGTTGGCTGCGGGAAAGGTGAGGGACGGACGAATGGGCTGCAAGTCGTTGCTGTGGGGTCGAACTCGAGATGCTGCTGACGATATTACGACAATGGATGTGGGTAATGTGATGCTTGATGAGGCTTTGGGTCCAGTGGGAATTGATATGAATGATCGGATGGGTACGTGTATATAAGCTGTCAAATTTGTACAAGCACCGCTCGATTCCGCGAGCAATACAGCGAAGACGACACAGCATCAATTTCAGCAACCAAGTCTTCAAGATATGTGTTTTCGAGGAGCCGAAAGCAATTGTGGCCTCGTGACTTCCTGCGAGCCTTTTTTAAGTCATTGCAGGGTGGGCTCATAGAGGCCACTCGGGCTACTCCGACTGAGATTGGCTTGGCGCGATGTATCTGCATCCTGACTGGTCTAGATGTTTTTTTACTAATTAGTCTGTCCCCTGCCTTTCACAATGTCCAGCGCCGGAAAGCGCCCAGAGGGATTTCCTCCTCGACAAGCCATGCTTACAGGAGATACGCTCAGTACAGAGGAAGTCTCAGTTGGAGATAGCAACAACAATGAACCTGCGGGATCCTCCAAAAGAACTTGGAACCGCTTAACTTTCATGCTCGGTCCTCGACAGGAAGACGTGGGCGGAGACCAGATAGAGAGAGGGAGGCACAAGACCCAGGCCAAGGTCAAGGGCAAAATACACGTTGAAGAAGGCAACCACGAGGAAGATGCGGAAGCTGGAGCCATACCACTTGAAGGACGACCAGCCGAAGCGACGAAAGGCCATAAGCAGTCTCCATTCAGCTCAAGCGCCTTTGATCGACTGCCACAACCTGTCGCGGTCGTTGACGTCTTCTTTGGCTCGTGGTGGCTCGTCTCAGCGTTGCGGACGGCTACGAGACTTGTGGTGATCTGGCTCTCGGGCTTTTTGTTGTGGACGCAATCATTCGACGTCTCTGTTGCAATGATAACAGTAGTGGTGATCTACCTGGTCCGCTGGCGTCTCCTGAAAGCCGGACGTAATTTCATCCCGTTCACTGCGATTCCGATCCCCGGGAAGCGTGAGCTCTTCAAGGTGATCTTTCGCTCGACACAGAAAATCTGGGTATCTCACCGTCTGGGCTTCTTGAAGCTACAAAGATCGCTTACGTCCGTTGTTAGGAGCGTGTTGCCGCTAAAGCTCTACTCCGTCGATATACGGTACTATGCAAGATTTGGTGGTTCGTTTATCTCCTGATTACGCCTATGACGGAGTTCAGACAAAATTACATGGCTGCATGGCGCCAACGTGAGGGTCTCTCGATTCACATCTTTGTCGACGATGAAAACATGTCGATTCCAATTCCCGCGGATGGCACCGATGAAGCCATGCTGGCACGCATACGCTTGTTCTATCAGATGATGTTGGTTGGTCAAGGCTTTCCAGCGCTGGTATTCCCAAAGCAACTCCAGAGGGTCGACATCGTTGAGGTAAGCTGCGTCTCCCTCAGATCGCGTAAACCCATCTTGCTTAATGCTGGTTGCGATACATCTAGATGAGCAAGGACAGCTTGGTCTTGGGAAGCCGACTGGGGACATTACAGCTAGGTCGTTACAAAGGCCGGCTCGTCAACGTTTTCGAAAATCCCAAACTTGGGGCACAGACCGTCGCACTCGCGGACAAAATCCGGACCGGACCGGAGAACTCGGCGCTCGAATTCCAGCGGACATACGACGTTGGCACCATCTCAGTGGTTGTGGCGGTCCCGCCGCTCGCGTCTCTCATCTTTGCTATCGTCTGGGTTTCGATTCACGCCCACAAAAGAAGCGATGCAGATTTTCAAGTAATAGTCGCCACCGCATTCACCGTCGCGTCTTACATCATCACGGCAGGTAGTCCTCGTGATATCTATATCTTGGCCCCAACGGTCTTGTATGCTAACGACTGTGATGTATAGGCACTTTGACTCTTGCTCTCATCGTATTCTTGGACCAGAAAAGGGCCCAGAATGATGACATGATGGAGAAAATCGCTCGCAGGCCTGTTGAGACAAAGGCCGCTGCTTCGTCAGAGCTGGAACGACGGAGCTCTGTGCCATAACTGCAGTTGGCCATATAAGAGGACGATATCTTACCGCGTCCACTGCTTTCCGCATTTGGGATTTCCATGCCCTCACGATCTCCAAATTCTCTTCCGTCAATCCACCACCCGTCATGAATCACGTCATGAATCACGAATCACGGCTGGAGTACGAGACACGAGCGGCCAATTGAAGATTCGGGCCAGTACAATATAGGGAGACTTCCGTATTGCATGGAGCAGGCTGTAGTTCACGACCCCAGATAAACGCCGAGAGGCCACAAATTGTTTTCTCCGCACCATTATTTCGATTACTACCCCACCACATTAATATGATTCAGTCTAGATCTATTATATAGAGTCCAATATATCATTCCTTTCATGAATTCGTCTTACGTAATCCCCTTTGCGACATGAGAAGACCTGATACCTGAAGAAAGTGCTCTGAAAAGAGGCTTGGAGCCATTGATATTGCCATTCAGTTTCTATCTTTCGCTCAGCTAAAAGGGTATCGTACAGCTGAAGGAACAGACTGCCGCCAAGAAAGCAAGTAAAAGAAGCAGAAGAACCCTTTTATGATGCCGTGAAACCACCGACCAAATGCGTCTAAAACCATAACGCCATGCTAAATCGAGCTGCCTCTCCCCTTGTCCTCTTCTTGCGGCTCATGCTCATTGGCCTCATTCTCCCGGTCCTCTGCCTTCGCCTTCGTCCTTCCCTCCTTCTTCCCGTTACTGCATCTCTTGCTTCTCGTCCTGGCAATCTTCATCTCAGCGAATTTTAGGTCCGGTGCATCGCCGGCGCTCTTCGTCTCTTCCTTCCTCCAATCCTTCACCTCCTTCAAGACCTCCCTGAACCCTTCTTCAAGTGCATTCATTCTAGCCAACATCAACTTGCCCATCCTCTGCTGATCCTCGTGTCCACCAGCGGCAGCTTGACCAGCTCTCATGGCACCGGTTGCATAAGCCATCTGCGTAGCAAAGCTGTTAGGCACGCCACCAATATAGCCGCCACCAATGGCTTTGTTGTCACCAATATCAGAGCCGAGGTCCATTGTGAAAGAATGGCGTCGTCCGCGTCCTTGACCGAAATTGAGCATGCCGACGAGATCCGGTGCCGATTGGAAAGCGGCGCGTGATGGCATGATCGGTCGTGGCCGAGAAGCGCCAGGCAGCTGACGCTTTGGTGTACGCCTTCCGGCTGATGCCACCGGAGTCACGACTCCGGTGTTTTTGACACTGTTTCTGGCGGTGATTGCTTTGCGGGTTGGGGATGAAGTTGACGAATCGTTCAGGGGCGGAGGTGGGTCATAGAGCACAGTATTGGTAGAGACATTTCGCATATGCCCCGCGCGAGTGGGGCGCTGGGCGTTGATCCGAACCGCGGCAACTTTTGGTGGAGAGGATTTTGCGTGGTTTGAGAAGTTTGACGAGAAGTGCGGTATCCTGGGCTTAGCAGTGGGCGTCTGTTGGAAATAGTCCTCATTCTGCTGGCATGGATCTTGGTCTGTCGGTATCTTCCTATCTGAAGTCGCACTTGGTCGACCTAATGTGATGAGATCCTCGTCGTCATTTGTAACAAGTTCATCGTCACCGTCGGCATCCGTTTGCCTGGGTATATCATCCATACTCATGTTCAGTAGATCACTATCTTCCCGGCGACGTGGAGGGCGTTCTTGACGTCCAGCTCCAACAAATTCTTCGGGATCTGACATGATAGACATCGTCGCTTCGGTAAAGTCACGTCTAAAGCCGGGCTGTCGTTTTCGCCCCAGCTGCTGAGACTTTCGGTGAGCAATCCGGCGAGCCTCCAATCTGTCAACTATCGAACGATCTTGTTCGACTGGTGGGCTTGGGGTCCCATCAGGGCCCATATTCTGCATCCAATTGTTGACTACATTGCTGGTTTTTCGACGCTCATGGCTCTTCTGCGTATTTCGAATTGTGTTGTCTCTGAAAGGGCGTCGGAAGACTTCCTCAAGAGCCCGGTCCTTTTGAAAGGTCGCCACTGAAGGTTCTCGCAGTCGATTCAGCTTGGGGCTGAATAAGTTCAGGCCTGCACCAGGAGCCTCGAAAGCTCGCACTTCTAGGCCCTGGCGACCTCGTTGCTCAACGAGCTCACTTGCGTCAAACATCGACCGTCGTAGAATCATGCGCTCATAAGCATAGATGAGGAATAGGACGGGGAAATGGGTGACCTTGATGACGGTACGATTGATCCGGACGAATTGGCGGAATGGTAACACGAACCGAAGTGGAGCCAAAAGCCAGGCGATTATATTGGTAGGGGCAACATACGAGAACAGAGCATCTGATTTGACCATCGATATAGTATTGACGGCAAACACGAACTGATGCTCCTCGTTTGCGTTCTGAACAATCGCCATGAACGAATTTGTCAAGACAGTGATGAGAATGGTCACGATCAAGAAGTGACAGATGAAGAGAAAGAGCGTCAATATGGTCTTACCAAGTACGTTATAGGTCCCCCAAGAGTCCCATGCAGCTGGAGTAAAGCCCATAAGCATTTGGAAAAGCGCGTAAGCCACAGAACCAGCATCGTAGTCGCCGGTTCCAAACGACAAAGTGAACGCCACGAAAAAGCCGCTGCAACTGATGACGATAAGTACGAAGACAGCCACAAGATCCATCGCCATCATGCGGAATGCAATTAAGAGCTGCGAGAAATATCGGTAATGGTCCAGCACGGAGAACAAGCGTGGGAATAGTAAGACCGCGTTAGCAGCCAGGAGGTCGTACGCGTTGTCGGCGGTGTGATGCTTACGAACATCCGGCATCAGGAGGCCATAGAGTCGCATGCAGTAATAGGCAACGAGGAGTAGCAATATGCCAAGATCGAATGCGTTCCAGAAGCTCATAATGTATAGACTGAAGCCTTGCTCATTGAACCCCACGACTTCATCAAGCATGAATCCAGCACTCCAGAACCAGAAGACAACTTCCAAGGCAGTAATTGTGAGCGACCGTTCAATGAGAACAGCCAAGTACAGGCCAAGCAAGACCGCGAATGAGCATGTTGAGAGGAATTGGCGGTACCGAGGAACTCGTAACCTTGAAAGCTTGAAGAGTGACGCGTCCCAAGGATCATACAAGGTGGCCGATCTACGCACTGAAAAGGTGACAGGGTCAAGATGATCTCTTTGCTTCGCTGGTTGTAAGCTATCGGGTGCCGCCTGCAAGATCGCACCTCTTCCTCCAATGGCACCATATCCTCGGTTTTGATTTGGTGTCACCTTCTCAGGAGGTCGATGGAGGTTGTCTGCTGCCGAATGAAAGACGATTGTTCCAGCCCAGATAGCTTCGAGTTGCTGCACCACTAATGGGTGAGCTAAGAATCGTTTGGACTGAGCGCGAATGGCTATCTCGAGTGTAGAAATGCGAGCTGCTCGTGGCTGGGCTTTTCCCCCGGGCGAAGAGTCCCAATTGGGTCCAGGATTAGAATTTCCATTGCTTGAGGGCTGGCCTTGAAGAGGGTAGAAGTCGTACGACAAGGCATCTGATCAGTAGTCAGTACGGAGGGAAGACAGGATTGTACGAAGCTAGCTACCAATCTAGTATCATTAGCTTGCCGATTGATGATCCTTGTAGAACATAAACATACCAATTCTCTTGTGCTGAACTCCTTGAGTAATTTGATAGCAAGCAGCTCACAAACCAGTGCTCTTGTCTTGCTTGCGCCGCTGTTGCCAGGGTACATTGAGACCTCCTTGTTGAACTGCAGGCAATTTGCCATGAGGGCATATAGTGTAGCTTTGGAGAAATGGGAGCTTCTGATCTGTTGCTGGATGGGCTTGATGAGGAACTGCGATACTTGTGGAGAGCGTAACTGGTCCCAAGAGAGTGTGGTCTCGCATCGCGGCACCACCAGGAGGCGAATGGTATGCGTGAGATTATAGACTGGTAGAGCGTCTGCATAGAGGTTTAGGAGAGTACACACACAGTCTTGAGAGGGGAGATTCAGCATACCTAAGTGAGCAGCAGAGAAGATAGGCAGCAATGGTGACAGCTCTCCAGCCTCATCTTCGTCTATTTCCTCCTCTTGGTCTTCATCCTCTCCGTCTTCCTCCTCCTGATCTTCTCCATCCATCCTATCTGGGAGGCCTGGGGATATGCCATGATTGAAGTAGGCAGCCGGTCGTCGCCGCTCCTCAAGCGAGCCTCTTCGTGCAGCTATGGGAGAGGCATGGAGGCCGGAGTTTGGAGTTGAGAAGTGGGATGGTCCCCTGCCTCGTTGCGTTTTGGTTAGGCGGGTAGAATTAAGACGCATGTTGATGCTTGTTAGTGAGGAAGGAGTTTTTGTGGCAGGCTCCGTGACATGCTCTAGGGAGATAGTCTATTGCCTACGAATGAGTGTTGTTGAAGCTCACTCATTCCCGCTACGCGTTGTACAACGTAAGGTAAGTTAGTGATATTTTAATAGCGGTGAAGTAGACAGATGGCCAACAGATGGAAATGCACCTCTTTTTGGTTATGATGCCAACCGGCTTATCGGAATAGTATGTTAGCCTGTAGAGGCCTGTCTTCTGACCTTCGACTCAAGCATGAGGATCATGAAAAAGAATTGGTGTGCCTCGAAGGGGGATCAATCCCGTTGTTTACATCATTTCCGTGTCATCGGTCTCAGCGTAACTTTTGGCGAGAGGCAAAGATGGTTCGCTTAGCTTAAATAATACCTTATCTTCGGTGACTACTCCGTGTAAAATAGTGCCTTCCTTATCTTGCTCCGCTTATCGGAGGATTATCGAGTCAGGAGTGGTAAAGTCTAAAGGTACGTAACTCTTCATCGACATCTTGAATATCCCATCTTCCATCTTCCATCTTCTCCATCCCGCATCTATGCGCTGGCCTCGCAGCGAGTGAAATAATCCACATTACTACAAGTAAGCAGTACTCGTACCTTAATCTGTGGCCTGTTGAAAACTTATATGCGAGCGAGACACGATCGCATACCAAGTATCAATCATCCAGATGACCAAAGACCCAATGACTTTCAGCACGTGCTAGTATTACCGTTCGTGCAGGATTCGTTCAAACATCGGCCTTCCGCTACGTACAAGTACCTCTGGAGAAAGAAACTTCCGCCAATGTAAGATACTGAGTCACCTTCGTGTCTCGCGCCGGTATGTTCTGACCCATCATTTTCCGTTTCCGCCCATGTCTATTGTAATTGGACTATATACCGCAGAGGTTTCGCATGCAGGATATTGACAGTTCTTCGATCTGCTGGTCACGCCATAGTTTGGGACCTCCATTGGATGTATCTTCAGTCAGCCCCGCACACCCGTAGTCCTGCATCCCGCACGGCAACCAGCCACTGCCGGAGTAATGGTATCGACCTCAATGATCTCGCATCTTGTGTCTTCAAGCCTGAGTTAGCAAGACATCGCTTTAATTAACCTTCATACCGCAGGTCAAGCGATGCTATACACGCAAAGCTAAGAATCCAAGGGAATGAGCGATGTTTTGCCACGGCTTCAATGTCAGGTTCTTGAGGTCATCAACCCATCTCTGTCTCAGTCTCAGCCTCTGGCTTGGGTTGAGAATCGATACTGTCTGCTCTATCTGCATCTTGATGTGTTCTGTGGACGACGACACCTCGTCAGAGAAGCAGTCTGGAGGGTCCGGATCCACTAGTATGATCTTCATACTCCTAGCCGTAAATATCACATTGTGCACAAAGTCACTAAAAACCACAACTCCGCAACATTGATTGGCTTGGCACTGGGTTCACGTTCGGCATAAGAACACTCATAGAGCAGGTATTTCTTACTTTGGGGGATGCCTGGTGCGAGCTCCGCTGTGGAGCTGGGGAACAATAGGACATACAGGGGCGTTTCATCAGAGCTTTGCGTCAAGTATCAATCAGCAGAGTTATTCTCGAAATGGAGAAAACACTGTTCTTGATGAAACTCATTTGAGATTCCGATGAGTAGATACATGCAGATCGCCGAGCATCCCCGTAATCTTACGCAAGGTCACGTCACTGAAATTAGACACTGCAGGTACGGCTATGAGAGCCGACCTAAAGCGCTCACACCATCTCAATAAACCCCATAGGCCCCGCTACATGTCCTGTCCACGCCCAATGGTGGTGGCTGTGGTGGTGTTCTGAGGGCATGGAGGTGGGGTGATGGTTGTGGTGGTGTTTTGAGGGTATGGAGGTGGGGTCGTAGATGCGGTTGCTGTCGACGTTGCGGATGCAGAGGCAGAGACAGCGGCTACGCTGCAGACGTAGTCCTTGACGGCCGTGCCAACAAAGGGGATGTAATCGATGGAGATATTGTCTATAAGCGTCGCTTCGATCTCAGAGCACAGCGCTGCGAGGTTCGGTCCACCAGCATAGTTCCCAGCGACCTGCACGGCGAAGAGCGCAGTCGCAAGGTACGAAACACCAGCCTGATTCCCACTGATGACAGGAGCACTCAGACTAGGACTCGCGAAATCAATCGCGGCGAGGGCGCAAACCTCGCGCTGCACAGCGGACCCATTGATAGCTATACCGCTGATCTCGTCCAGAGAAGCAGGATTGATCACGCTGCAGAGCTTACGTCGCTGTCGATTACCCTCATAGTCGTCGTAATTATATACCCTGTGTTTACAGAAGGTGTGTGTGCAGGAGATATATGTAAATGGTCAAATAACGAGGGTAACAGCGAGGCTTATATATGCGCACGACCTCAAATGAAAGGCCTCATTTTGGACACAAATACAGTCCGAAAGAATTGTATAATATATAGAGCAGGCATTAAGAAGTGCTGCATGAGCGTGGGAATTGGCCTAGGGTTTTATAAGCGACGACGTGGGATCCATGGATACCATATGGTATCCAGGCCGTCGACCGAGCAAATCCTACTTTTCCATACCTTTGGCACACGATGACCACTCAAATCGCTAAAACATGCTGGTATCCGATTCATGTACGCCTTGCAAAACATCATCAAACATCACCCCTCCTTCATCAAGCTTCTCAAACCAACGACCTCCCTCTTAAGCCTCCCATTCTCCTTCCTTAGCTTCGCCACCTCCTCTTGCGCTTCTTTAAGCTTGCTCCTCGTCTCCTCTACTCCCTCGCCCTTCTTCACCTTCCCCAATATCTTTCCCAACTCATCATTGAAGCGCTCATATAAGGCTTCATTCTCTGCGTTAGCTTCGCGGTATAACTCATCGAGTTTCCGGGCCTTCTTGTCGCTGATCGAGAGTGAGGACTCAATGTCGGAGGAGAGTGAGGATAGTGACGTGGTATGGGCCATTGTGAAAGTGGAAAGGGTGGTAGAGAGACTGGATAGCTGTGTTGATAGGGTTTGCAAAGAGGGCGGTGCTGATGGGGGCTGAGTTTGAGGTTTTGCTTTCGTAGCTGAGCGTTGAAGCTTGTATACAGAAGATATCTCTTCGCCGATCTTGGCAATCTCGGCTTGGAAAGAGGAGTCGGCAGAGGCGAGAGACTTATTCTCTTGGCTCAGACGTTCGCGAAGCTTTTGTGGGCTCTGCATGCGCAGCTTTTGAGGCGACTGAAAGGGTGTCTTGGGAAGGTTGGAATTACCATTGGGAGGCCAAGTACGTTCGCTGAGTCCGCCTTTGGGCGCGGGGATGCCGGATCGAGAGACCTGCCGTCTTTGAGGGCTGTAGCTCGTAATTACCACTTCCTCCGATTTGTTCTTATCGGCTAGCTTAGCGCTCGGGGTCCGAGGTACTGATGGAGAGTTCGATTTCCTGGAGAAGGTCTCGCGGACTGGTGAGTTCTCTTTCCGTTGTGGTGATCCAAACCGACGTGGCAAACCGGACAATTGAGGAGACTGCTTTGTGATACCTTGACTCGGAGACTGCTTGATTGGGGACTGCGTCCTTGGTGGTGTCGCGATCTTACTGTTGCTCTCCCTGAGCGTCGCGGGCTTACGAGGTTGCAGTGGAGACCATGCGGCGATGACATCTGGGTCTCGAATGGACGTTATATCAGAGAGTGAGCTACGACGATGCCTTTTCTTCGGCAAAGGAGTTGTTTTGGTTGGCGTCCCTTCGCCAATGCTGCTCAGCGTAGAAGTATTTAGATGTGCGCTCCCAGGGCGAGGTTTGGGATCATCTTGGGTCATAGAGCCTGAGGTTGTAGGCCTGTCGCGAGATACTGGTCTCGATGGTGGAAGCATTCGATTGTCTGTATCTGTTGATCTAGACCTTCCTAGGGAGGCTTTGGAAAGACTTGTTGAATGGAAATGGCCCTCGCCAGGGCTTCTGGCATTCTTGCTGAGAGTACGCCATATTGATGCGACCTTTGACTCGGATTCGTTCTTGCTATTTTCACGGCTCAAGGTGCCGAGTCCAAACCTCCTCTTCAGAGACGATGCATTAGAGCTGAGAGATCCGGTATTAATTGATCGAGTCCTTGTCAAAGAACCGGTGGCTGATCTAGTGTTACCGTCTTGGTCAAGTTGCTTAGAAGGGTCTTGCGTACTGTCAGCAATTGCGAGTACACAGCGATGTATTCTACTTACCATCGAATAGACTGTCATAATCATCAACCAAACGGTCAAGAAGCGTGATGTAATCATGGGGATTGCCGTCAAGTACCAAAGCTTCAGCGAAGCTGGCCATTAGAGCACCACGATCTCCATCGTTTCCAGAGGCGTCAAGGAGACTGATAATGGTCAGCACATGAAAGAAGGCACTCTCAGAGTGCAGCTTACTCCGAAAGAAGCTTTACTGTGGCTGCGAAAGCTCTACTGTTCTGCGGAGACATGTCTTCTACGGATCGCTTAAATTGCTGTGAGAATACCGCAGGTCTTCCTGAATCTGAACCGAATCAACAGTCAGCGGCTGCATCAATCACCTGTGACTTGAGCTTACCAAAGGTCGCTTGCAGACCCTGAAGGACATTTGCAGCAAGCAGGGGACCCATGCGCTCTCTCCATGCTCTTTGCAAGAATTTCTCGAAGGCTGCGAAGAGTACATCAACAGAGACTTCTGCGGCTGCCTGAAGCCTGCTGGGATCCTCAACTGCGCATGATTAGCAAGTCTAGTATACTATTAGAGGAGACCTCTGGACTGACGAAGGATGTTATAAAGCTCATTGACAACGAGCTCATCGGCTGTCGCTCGGCTTCGGAGAACTTTACCCACAACATTGCCACTCCGTGAGCGAAGCGCCACAACGTACGCAGTGAATGTATCTTCTAAAAGCGCTAGGGGGCTCTTTTCAGCTTCCGCTGCAGTCTCTACTAATGTAACCTTGTTGTGTGGATGATTGTCCGCCAGATCAGGGTGGGTCTTTGCAGGTGTCGGAGGTGGTATTGATGGAGTGTTTCTGATGGGAGGTATGTCGTGACGGTGTTTCGACGGAGTACTGGGCTGACTTGCTTGACCTGCGTTTAGAAAATTGGATATCATCTTGACAGGTGAGATGGGCCGAAATACTCGAGACCGAGTATCTTCTTGCGGCTTTCGGATCGGCATCGCAGCAAGGATTGTGCTGTTGTAGGATATCTGTGACTGAATCAAGAGAGGATTTTGAGGCTGGTTCTGGAGGCGAACGAGATTGCCCACTAAGAATTGTTAGCGAGATCAAACAAAGAGGGACATTGAACATACGTCTCCTGAGAAGAACTGACAGGAGATCCTCGGATTTACAAGTATCGGTAAAACAAGTGCCGTCAATACTTTCGGTGTCCAAGCGATAGCTACCGGAGCCCAGAGTCTTGATGGAAGCGGCGATCTCTGTTCCATGGCCTTGCGTAGTAATGGAGTCGGTTTCTTTCGATGAGTCCACGTGAAGTCGGATCTGGCACTGCCCCTGCGTTAAATTGGTACTTTCTGACTGCTCTTCCAACAAAGCTACTAGAACACCCAAACTCCCTGGGGATGGATTAATCGAGCGCAAAGCCCACTTTCCACTATCACGAGTGGCATCTGAAAACCGGCTCTCGATCCTCGCTTTTATCACCTCTTCGCCAAATCGCGCTGCTTTACCATCGTAAGGACCGAGCGCCAGGAAGACTTTGGTAAGACTTTGTGAGTGTCGAGATGTATTGAGGTTTACTGTTGTACCACCAAACAGTGTCATCCGGATCAGATGACCACTCTCAGACTCCGAGAATCTCAGCTGAGAGAGATCATATGCTCCCAAAAATTTAAGATCTTTGTCAAGGCTGAGGCTAGAAGAAAAGAATGCGTTAGTAGGTGTTGTGGGACGATCTACCTCAGCAATGATGCCTCTCGCAGACAAAGGGCTGTTCCCGGCTTTTTGCAGAAGTACGATAGAGTCAACAAAGAGCAACATGATTCCTGCCGTACCTTCCCCGTTCGTTGCATATGGAGGGTTGAGCTCTAGAACATCCACAGCGGTAATAAGACGTCCACGGGCCGAGAAAGTTGCGGGCCAATCTGCGACAATGTTCCTCAAAATTTTTGCAGAACGTGCAACGTCTCCAGGTAATTGCGTATCTAAAGCACAGATATCTGTGATAACGTCTCGGGCTTTCAATAGACTAGACAACGCGGGGTGCGAAGCAGGAAGCAAGCTGGTCATATTGTCGATGAGGAGACTGTATCGAGGAAGGCGCTGTACTGGTTCGATCAAAGCTGATCGTAATCGCTGCTCGCCAAAGTCATGAAGATGTTTCGACAATGCTGATGATTGGTCCGCTAAAGACTGACTGATGATGTTTGAAAAATCTGTGCTGGCTCGTAGATAGTCTTGATACGGGCCCATGAATCTAGGGAACCATCTGAGGAGAGCTTTCGCAAAATGGAGAGTACCAGTGGGGTCCCTCCTCCTGCCTTGCGTGATTGGGCTTCCAAGGTCGCTCTCACTGCTAGTGTTTCCTTCAATATCGTTAATCGCTTCGTTTTCTGTTTCGTCAAGCACTGCTTGTATATCCTCGTAAAACCTCTCATTGGTCTCCAGGATGCGATTTAGGCTTTCAGGAAATAATCCATTCACAATTTCGGATCTGGCGATCTGACGAAAATCTGCAGCTATGAATTGGACCAAGTTCTGAATCTTGCCAGTATAGCTGCTCTCTGTGTCGACTAACTCACACATTTCTCTTCGCAGAGAGATTTTCTGATCCTTTGAGAGAACCCTGCTTCTGCTGTGTGCTGTTGGCCTCGAAGGAGCTCGTTGAAGTTTTGAGGTAGGTAGAAAGGCCGCTGAGCCGAGACATTCAATGATGGATGTGTATTGGCCATAATGGTAGAGCGGTAGTCCATCGTTGTCAAACAGCGGGGTGTTGTCTTCGCCGTCGGAAGACTTAGCTCGTTGAATTGTTCCTGGCGGCAGGACTACATCCATATCGACCCATGACAGCACCGGCGTCGAAACAGCGGACATAACGCAGTTGGCAATTTCTGACATGTCTTCAATTTCTACCATATTAGCTGCTATGTCTGCTGCATGCATCTCATCAAACATCATCGGAGCTGCACGATTTGGTCGACGGACCGCCGCTCGCTCTATCAATGAGGTCTTCATGGCTTTTGGTAGCCCAGCAAAGTAGCTGAGGACACTAACTGCCAAGCCCCGGCAAATTTCATCACCCTGCTGCTCTGCGGGAAGATGGTTTACGGCTGCGTACAAAGGTGATGTAGGAGCAACGGTAAGACGAGGAAATGTTTGGAGTCCCGCGAGAGAGTAGATGTGCGCCTGGATGCGTGAGCTGTTTTGGGTTGAATTGCCAGTCGTAGATGGGCCATAGAAGACCAAAATCGGGAGATTCTCCAGGAGAGCATCTTTTGCGTAATACAGGGACAGATTGCTTGAGGACAACGCCGGTGGCGTGGCTGAAAGAATAATCATATTGTCCTCTGAAGGTGTGGACCATTGACGTTGGCGAGCGACAGGCGGGATTCCCTCGATGTCGGTCAAGGTTGTTGTATCTTATGAGCTACCGGTATCAACAAGAAACTTTAAGTGTGTATAAACGAAAGATGTGTTGTGAGAATCGGTAATTGCGATATCAACAGTGTTGAAGGGAAGAGAAATAAGCCGCCAGCAGACTCAAGACAAACGAATGTATTTAAAGTGAAAGAAACCCAGTGCATCAATTGGCTTCCAGCAATACCATTAGGTATTTAGACGGCCTGGCCACCATTCAACCTTATGGCAGCGACCTCGCTGAGGCCGTGAGGTCAATGTTGCGCCTGAGTGGTGGAGGATCAGCACTTTTCTCAGTCGCGTCGGCTAAGTTTACACGCGCTTAGACTAGCACGCGTTCGTGTCAACCTTTTCCAGCTCTAATCCCTTGAATAGGTACTTCTGATCCCTCTGGTGCTGACTTCCTTCCATATCATCGTTGTTGTACGCTTGACCTGGTCCGGGGATCGCTATCTAGTGAGATCTCTGATCATTGTTACGCCGAAAGCTACGTTCCGCTTGAACTGCAAAAGCATAAGCATCCGGAATTTCCCTCCACCATCCTAACAAGAGCAAGAGCCAACGGAAGAAAAAGGGGTCGTAGCAGGTGCAATCTTTGCAGTAATGTCGACCCAAGATGACTCTGGAATACCGTTCGAGATCAGCAACGAACAGCAAAATTTCCGTCTTCTTGAGCTTCCCCCATCTCTACTCGCATTGATAGCATCCAAAGATCCTCCCAAGTATGTCCTGACCCTGGATGTACGCAAACTACAAGAGGAAGTTCAACTGACTTGTCCGAGAGTCTGTGGCTAAAGTCAGCAGAATCCCCAAGTGCCAACGTTGACTCTAAGCAACCTAGCCCAAGCGTTGTACTATGTACGGACGACCATACGTATCAGCTTCGCCAGGTCCAATCTTCAAATTCCGTGTTCATCCTGAAGCCATCAGAGAGTAGCCGCGGAGACAGCTCAATTAACTCCCCGAGCCTCTCGGCTATAGCTCAGTGTACGGCTACACTAGAACTCATCCCCTCGGAAACTGCAGCGTCTTCGGCGATGGTATCCCAAATTTTGAAAAAGAGCCTACCTTCCTACAAAGGAACAGATACGGACATGGGATTAGGAACGAATACTACATTTTCAAGTAAGAGGGAGGCACGTCAAGATCAAATGGCATGGACTTTGGATATTGACCTTGTGTCTAGGAGAGTACAAGGATAAAAATGCCCTATTGCAGGACACTCCCATTTCGCCCGAAGAGTTCGATAAGACATGGAAGCAATTATGTGCCTTTGAAGTCCTTGGTCGCGCATGGTTGCCAGCACCATCTGCTCTTGCCATGGTTTGGAAGTCAATACTGTCGGCAGCCATTGCCAGAGGTGTCAATCTTGAAAAGAGATTCGAGCTCAAATCGCTTGCAGAGATGGTGGGTGATGATGGATTTCCGTGGGCATTATTCATGGCCGTGGTGATGAGACTGGTCTCTGACACTGATTACCTAAAAAACGAGTGTGAGTACCGAACCACCTCCCGCGCCCCTGTTCACATCTGACACCATTCTCAAAGATGTAAGTTTGAGTAGGGACAAGACTGTACAATGGGTTGGAATTGTTTGCCTTCAAAGGGCTGGAGAATCGGAGCAAGCCAACACGGAGGGTATCCCGCAATCAGATTTTCTTGCACAATGGTACGATCTCTTACCGGAAGGCTGGAGAAAGCACGCCTCGATGGACCTGCTTAAGGTATAGTAATCTGCATTTAATTTTCAACTAAGCAGGTCTGACTCAGACGCAGGCTAAATACTCTCACTTGGACCCATCCCAAGAAAAGACCGTCTTCGGTGAGAACATCTTTGATCCCACATCGTTGGAAACCTCTCCATCTGCCAATACCAGTGGTAAGGCTAATCGAAATTGGCATGAGAAATTCAAATTAGGAAGGAAGTCCTAGTAGAGTACCAACACTGGCGTAAATCCCAAGATGTCTTCAAACAACAGCTTTTGAAAGAGCTGCACCTGGTTGAGAAAGATCGCAACCCAAGCTGGTATTACGAATTCGTGCGGGTTTTCTCTGCTCATTCACAATCGACGAGTCGCGCGCAAATGGACCCCATCTTCTGGCCCATATGTTGTACTGCAGCCCCTGGATTAACTCGCGTTGGGGGTAATCGAGTAGACATCGAAAGCCGCTTCGATGAAAAAAGTTCAGCACCATGCATACTTTTCATTGCCAACCCACTCCACTTTCGTTCGCTCTTCTGGTTCTCCATGCCATCTGAGGCTTGCGATGCTCTCATCGTCGCGGTGTATAAGTTTCGTTGATGGTTCGATTTGACGAGCTGCCAGGACGATCAAAGAAGATGGGTTCCATATTTGAACGTCTTTCATTTCCCACCTCGCAGCTTCGACCTGTGCTGCATGGAGCACTGCTACCGCCCCATGTAGCTTTGCCTGATCAGTGCTTTTCAAGTCTGTGAGGTCATCCCCGGCCTCTGATTCATCGCGCACAGCATCATTTTCGCCGTCAATGAAAAATCGTAAAATGTTGAGCGTGTTACCGGCCTCAGTGCTACCAAAAGTGCGAGTCCAAATACACCATACTTGGCTGCTGTCTTCGCAATCCGCGTGTGCTCCTTTTATGTCTGGCTCTCGGCCTAGCATCTCCCTTCCTGCGAATTCTTCTCGAGCATGATGCCATTGCATGGTTTTGAGATCTGGTATAAGGGCGACACGAATTTCCTTGCAAGGTACGTCTCTTGCTATGTCCGCCCTCAGTAGTTGTTCATCCCAGCTACAAAGCTCCTCCAGATCATCTGCCCGTAAGGATCGGGCCCCAGATAGTGCTGATTCACTTTCACTGCTCATAGGCGCCAACGCGATATGGCTTGAGGGAAAAGATTCCCAACCAAATTTGGAGTAAAACTTCTAGAGCCCAAGTCAACACTGAGACCGCATCCCTAGAGTAGAATGTCCAGTCTCTTATATACCTTCCCAATGTCAGAATACAAGACCGTAAAATCGGTCTTCTTCCTGTCTTCTTGGTTCCATGTATCCAACTTCTTCCCTAGCTCTTCTATCATCCTCTGCGCAAACCCTCTCCTTCTGTAATCGGGGTTACAGAAAACGCTCCCTATCCCATGACTGACCACGTCCTCCACCTTTCCGTCTCTTGCAACAAGAGCCCGTTTCCGGAACGATTCGCAACTTCCAAGTATGGGGCGCTCATTTCGAGGCAAGGTGCTGTCGACTAGAATCCAGAATGTAATGCCGCCATCTTTGGTGAAGGCTTGATTCTCAAGATAGGTTTCGCGGCGGAGGTAGATTGGCAGCGGCATAGCACCGCGCCAGGAGGCGCCGTTTAATTTCCACGTTTCTACCTTCTCTTCTTGGGTTGGGTGCAGAAGTGCGAGGTCGGGCGAATCGCTTGAGGGGAGCTCATAGGTCGCCATATTGAGGAAGGTATAGGCCAGGTTGGAAGATTGATCTCAGAATCATGACCATTTTCCGAGGAATTCCTGCTCCAGTAGGGAGTAACGCTGCTAGAGCATAGCACAAGAATGTGACTCGCCGCAATCATGCATTTCTCATTGAGATAGCCGTTGAAAGCCGCAGCAACCCGGCAACCACGATCACTGGCGCCGGCAATGATCTTCGGGTCTAGCCGTAGAGTAGCGTGTTGCGGGGAACCAGGATCTTTTCTCGTTGTTGTCCCTTAGATTGAGGTGATGCAGCGACAGAATAGAGGGTCACCTTCTTGGCTTGGTCTCCGCCTAGCAGTAACCACAATAACAATGTCTGGGAAAAGCCTTTCAATCTCCAATTGATTTGAGGCTCCACCGAAAAAAGATTTGAGGCTCTTCCGGAAGCCTGCTTTCTTTCGTACCTTCATTCTCTGTGCAACATTCACCCACTCGGATGCCGGTATTTGAGGATGATCGGCCAGTAATTGCTGCTGCCTACTTCGTTTAGTGCAACAGTGTGAATGGCTGTCAAACTTTTACCAACGCCCTGCTTCACGTTTGTTTATGTGTTGAGACTCACCCATTAGCTTACCCTTGTGCGTTTGGACTCTTGCCGAGACAACACACCAATTACACTATGTTGATCTCACCATAGGCCGACTTTAGACCACCACTCATTGCGTTTTCTTGGACGACCACCCTCCCCTCTTAGTCTTGCTTTGACTATCACTGTGGTCCACAACCACCTCATATAGCAGAATGAGTCGCCACCCCCCGCGAGATGTGATCGACCTCGAAACCGAAGAGGACACTGATGACCAAGAAGACAGCGATAATTCATTGTTCGATAACTGTCTCAACGAGGAAGTCTCCAGTGTTCACATCTCCCCTTTATTTGGCCGGACTCCAGGCTTATACCCCCGCAGACCTCGCACGGTCGTCTCCCCATACGACGTCTGCCTTGCGGAGATAGTCGAAGTGTTCCCTGACATATCTCGGGAACATGTCAAGTCTCTCTACAACGATCTGGACCATCAGAACGGTCCATATGCCCAAACACCAGCGCAAATTCTGATTGAAAAGGTTCTGGATGGGGGTAATTACCCCAAAGAGAAAGACAGGATCAAGGAATTGAAGCGGAAGAGAAGTGATCGGAATAGTGATGAGGAGGAAGCAGCCCGTTGGAAATACGCGGAGCTGAGGGATAACGCCCTGGAATACAGCAAAGTTGCGTGAGTATCCCCTCGCTTTTATGGCTCAGTTGGCCAGGTTGGTTCCTTTTCTGCTGCATGTGGAAAAGCGTATCCAAGCCTTCATAATGCGCGTTGCGTTGTCTGCTAGCCATGCTAACAAGCTATCATGCAGAAGGGTTGCCCTACATGAAGCGTTCGAATTCGTTCCATCCAAATTCATTAACGAGAAGTTCAAGGACCACAGCCATTATTATGGTACGTTCTTTGCTATTCTGGAAGCAGAACGAGCAGTCCGTACAGCCATAAACCCGCCATATGCCCCGTTGAAAGCTCGCCGTGTCACCTCTGGAAGGACTTCAGCTGCAATGATGGTCGAACTACGTGAGGATGGCTATGAATTCGAGGAGTTGAAGAGAGAGATCGACTCAGCGCAGCAGCGGAGAAACAGAGAAGAAGGTACATTGCACAGGGCTATACCCTGTACAAGTGAACCTCTCGGCGTGACTGACCCCTCGTAGACAAACTCAATGCCGCCGAAGAGATTAAACGGATGCACGAGGCACAAGACCAAGAGCACCGCGCACGAGGGGAAGTTATGGACTGTGGATGCTGCTTCGACACGGTTACTATTCTTAAGATCACTCACTGCAACGGGGATGAGCCCCACTTCTTCTGTCTAGACTGTGCTCAACAGAACGCTAATACTGACATTGGCAATTCTCGCTACGGACTCAGATGCATGGATGGGAGCGGATGTACGGCCACTTTCAGTCGACAAGAGAGGGAACGATTCCTCGATGCCAAGTCCATTGAGAAGATAGAGCGTCTACAGCAACAGGATGATATTCGACTTGCTGACTTACAGAACCTCTGTACTTGTCCATTCTGCGATTTTGCGGCTATCTGCCCTCCAATTGAAGAAGACAAGGAATTCCGGTGCCATAATCCGGAGTGTGAAGAGGTATATTCCCCCTTTCCGATGGTTCTTACGATCGGCTGTTAAAATGGGTCTTGTTATCACAGGTGTCCTGCCGCCTCTGCAAAGCCAAATCACATATACCATTATCCTGTGATGAGTTCAAAAGAGAAAACGGCGTCAGTGAGCGCCGTATCATTGAAGAGGCTAGGACCGAAGCATTGATTAGAACGTGTGGAAAATGCAAGGTCCGGATCCTGAAAGAAGATGGCTGCAACAAGGTCATCTGCACCAAATGCTACGCCGTGCTCTGCGATTACTGCGGAAAAGACATCACAAAGCAAATGTACAACCACTTTGATGGCCAAGGGCGGGCTCCTCCAGGAGTCAACACAGACGATAAAACTGGTAAATGCCCGCTTTATGACGAGTCCCACAAGAGAAAAGACCAGCAAGTCGACAAGGCCGAGAAGGAAGCTATGGCAAAAGTCCGGGCAGAACATCCGGATCTGTCGGAAGAAGACCTCAAAATTAAATTTGCGGAAGGGGTACAGTCCTCAAGCAGTCGACACCATGGGGATCACCACCATCATGTACACGCAATTCATGGACATGTACCCCCTCATCACAACCATCATCATCGCCACCACGGGCAGGGCTTAGGGGCGGCCGCTATGGCCGCACTGTACAATAGGGAGCCGGGTGCGGCGCTCGACGCTATGTTCGAGGGTGTTGGTGACATACTGGATGAATTTGGGGGGCTCGCTCCTCATGCTATACAGCAGGCAAGAGAGCAGGGGCGTCAAGCTAGAGAGCAAATGAGGGCCGCACATCAACAGGCACAGCAACAGCAACTGCAGTATCAGAGGGAAGCCTTGATACGTCAACATCAACAACAGCAGGCTGCTCATCTAGCTCAACAGCAGGCTACTCTACGCCAGCGAGAAGCTCAACGAGAAGACTTACAGAGGCGATCTGAACAGGCTCGCCGAATTGCCGGACTAAATCAAGCTACCCAGACTCACAGAGCACGCATGGCCGCTATGGACGACCCTGTATTTGCGCGGTTTCTGAACGGACCTCAGGCAGCGGATGTTCTAAGACCAAGGCAGAATGATCAAGCATTTGGGAACAATGCGGGGGCTCAAAACGTAAGCATTCCGGATGATATAGGAGCCAGACGACAGCCCGACTCGGTTCGTCAACGCAACGTAGAAGAGCGTCTACGTGGTCTTGGTGGGGCAATAGACCTCGATTCGCCGACACAGAGACGAGAAGTCAATAACTTCCATCGACGTACTGCAGCATACAACGCAGGGCGCACTGCCGCACGTGTCGCAGAGGGGCGTACATACGATGTGCATTCATTCGACCCTGACCCCCCACCACCCCGAATGCCGGGGGGAAACCCACTAGTGCCGAGAAGAAGAGACCCTATGGCTCCCGGAAGTTTCAACCCCTGGGTCACTGGAGCAAACGATCAGGCTTACCTTTAGGATCACTAGTGGATGTGAGCATCTCCAACGGACAGGAACATGACACGAGTCATTTAGTGAGGCATCCACAGGCATCAAATGGTTCCTGGGTCCCTCGACCTTGCAATGCTGTTTACGGCCAATCTTTTTCTCTCTACTTCTTACATGGCGGATCTTTTTCCTTCAAATTTTAACCCTTACTCACGAAGGAACTGCATACTCGGCGTCATATCGACTCTTTTCTGGGGAATTTTCTGATTAGCAACGGCGTTATTTAAGTGCCGCGATTACCTATGAGGGCATTTTCGGCTTCTTTGAATGCTTCCAGAGTCGTGTAGATAGATACCCCTTTCGTCAGCAAAGGCGTTGGGACACAGACCATGATTCAGTCGTCTGCATTGCGGGCATGATTATTTTATCGGCTTATGGACGGACGGGTCTTGCTTGTGTAGACAGCTTGGGACAGCTTGCTCGATTTTCTTATGCAAATCATGTTCGCAAGTTCATATCACCAATATCAAATGCTGACGTCCCACCAGTCTGAACGTCCTCATTCCATGTCTTAACTACCCATCTCCCTCCCCATCTCCTCGCTTCATACCCTCAAAGAACAGGACAGCAGCACTGCGCAATGCCATTCCGAGTGGTCTGCTCCTGACAAGTTCCCCATCAGAGCACCCCCATACGCATTGACAATCAGGCAATCAGAGTCCTCTTTTTCCTGGATAATCAACCGTCAGCAGACCTATCCCTATACAGAACGAGGCGATTAGCATCGCTCCCAGCGAATCACATCGAGCTGTTGTTGTAGCACGTAGCAGCAGGACTATTGCCCGGTAAGGACGTTTTGGCTACACTGAGGTGGAAATGTCGCGCAACTAGCGCATATTGGAGGAGTCAGCGTGTCTCCCCGCGAGGCGGAAACGTGAGGTACTGGACAGGTCCGGGGAGTCGAAGGACTTTTTTCTCTCTTGGGTTGTTTTTCTTTTCTTTTTTGCTGCTCCGGAATTCAGTCTTGAGACTCAGTCTTCGGCTTGAAAACAGATAGGGGTCGTGGTGCAATGTGCGTACGCACAGGTTTACGAAACCGTCGCCTGTTGAAACTGCATATCGATTGGCTTCGCGGAACAGCATGGCTCGCTTCCAGCGGGCCGACATATGCATGTTCGATTGACGCTGCCGAATACGGAATGGAATATCGGCAAGGAAGACTGAGAAAGCTGAGCCTTGGGAGGAAGCGAGAGAGTATGCGGAGTTCATGGGCAATGACACGATGGCAGCTCGAAATGAAAGAAGAACTCGACAGTGGGGATGCAAGTAAGACTCTTGTGGGACGAAAATGAGAGACACCATTCAATACTGGAAAGTAGAGTAAGAAAACGTTTTGATTGCGGGTTGTCCAAGGTTGAAGTTGCTTTGCAAGTCAGTTCACAAACCACCTAGTGCACCCATCACCAAAGCGTCGATCATCTCCCCCTTGCCTATCACTAGATCTTTTGCGGGCAAACAGAGGAGCCCATTCGCTCGTCTCAGACTAGTAACTTTCGAGCTGCGCTGTCCTCCAGTGCTAGTGGCATGTAACAGTCCATCGGTTCCGGCCGTCAATACTACTCTATGGTACTCTGAACGTTTAGGATCGCATTTGACCTCCTCGTCCAATACCACTTTCGCTCTCGGCAGCCCGTGCGGAGCCTCTCTCCCACTCGAAAAATGCAGTGACGGCAGCACGAACAGGTGGGATGTCACAAGTGCGGATGCAGGATTACCAGGCAAGCTGAATATCAGTTTGGTGGTGGGCGTGCCTGAGTTATCCTTAAGAGGTACGGTGGCAAAAGTGGTGGGTTTTCCGGGCTTCATTGAAACACGACCAAAATGTATTGTACCGCCAAGAGACCGCTCAATTGTAGGTTTGAGGAGGTCCAGCTCGCCCATAGAGACTCCGCCGGAGGTCACAATGACGTCCACGTCGCGGAATGCGCCTCGTAGATGCTCTTCCAGAGAGCCAGGTCTGGGGAGCTTGTCAGAAGGGATCGAAAGCGTTTCCAAGGTTAACTTACTTGTCTTTGGCAATACCAAGATCTACCACTTGAAAACCCCAGCCTCTTATAGCGGCCATCAGTGTTGGACGATTGCAATCTCGGACCTCTCCAAGCTGCAGAGGACCTTGTCTATCGTGGAGTACGATTTCGTCCCCTGTACTGAGCACGCCGATGACGGGCTTTTTATAAACCATGACTTCTGCTTTCCCTACAGATGCAAGCAGACCTAGCTCACCACCCACGGCAGTGATCTCTTCGCCCTTTCTAAGCACAACTTCTCCGGCTCTGATGTCACTGCCAATCTCTCGTATGTTCTCATCTGGCTTGACTTGATCTGTGAGTATCTCAATCTCCTTCTCTTCTCTACCGTCGTCAGTCATACTCTTGATGACAGTGTCTTCAACCATGACCACTGAGTTAGCGCCGGGAGGAAGAGGAGCACCCGTAGTTATCCTGGCTATTTGCCCGTGGTGGAGGGTCGGTATCTCTCCTGGCTGGGCATGTGAGACGGCAGAAACAGGGAAGACACCTTTCGTACTTGGTCCATCTTTAGAGACAATGACGGCGTAGCCATCGACTATGCTTGCTCGATACGCGGGTACCGCTTCGCTGGCTTGGACATCTACCGCGAGGATGTGGCCTACTAGAGAGCCATTTACCGGCATTTTGACAGGATCTGGCGAAGGAGAGTTCTCTATGATCATTTTGACAGCATTCTCGACAGAGAGCATGGGATACGGTGATTCCCGATGCCGACTGCTAGGACCAGCTTGGGGGTCGTTCGAGACAGGCCGATCTTCGGGACGAGTGTGGGCTTTTGGCATAGCATGGTCCCCATGGCTGTGATTATGCTGGTGAATATGGCTGTGATGATGGTCATGATGGTTACGCTTTGGGTTCTTGCTGCTACTGATTCCTGCATCTTCTTCGAGCTTCTTTATGCCACCCGCATGGAGAGTTCGCGAGTCACCACCAGCAGCCTGCAAGCAAGCATGCGGCAGTAGCTTTAGAAGGGCCTGTAGATTCTCTTTGGCCCCTTTTGGTGACCCCGGAAGAGTGATGATCAATGTCTTATTCCGAACCCCTGCAACAGGCCTTGACATGAGGGCAACTGCAGGTACCCAAGTCAGAACGAACACTCGCTTTCAAAGCAAGCATCTTTTTATCATAGGTACAGAATAATCACATAGCGTATCCGGGGATAGTATATGAATTTTGGGCTTCTTCTTTTCTCGAATGTAAAAGACTAATGGTAACTTGAATTAATACTCACAAGGTGTGACCTCCAGAGACGCTGCCAGCATCCCATGGCTGATACTATTAGCTTTGCTACACTTTGGCCTGCTTGGACTCACTTGATAACTTACACGAGGCCGGGCGCATGTCTGTGTATCAACGGTGTGATGGCTTCAGGCGTATTGTCCTTAACCGCGAAGCCAGTGCCACCGGTTGTAATCAGAAGATTGACATAGTCTTCTCCGTCACATGACAAGCTCACTGCCTTTTGGATCGTTAGAACATCATCGGGAACAATTTTCCGGTCATCAACAGTCCATTGACCGTTGCCTTCGTTGGCGAAAATGCCGGAGAGAATATCCCCAGCTCTGTCTGTTGACGGATCTTGGAACGCAGTATCTGATATGATGAGTATTGTGGCCTTTAATTTTGGTTTGTCCATCACGGCGATATCAAACTTGGATGTTAATCACATGATTAAGACGATATACTTCTGTACAACATGAAAAAGGTGGATATAAGAAATGCTTTCATTCTAAGCAAATGCTAGCAAGCACCTCCCCGCTTTAATGGTGATATTGTAGGTAATGTAAAGGCAATCGATATGTTATCTACAACTATCTACGATGCCAGTACTCCATTATCTTCGTAATTTGACGAGCCTCCTTGAGCAAGAACTATGGCGTCACAGTGTAGCTCTTCCATGACAACTGACTCCAGGATGGACCATTGGAAGGGGCACTGTACAAGCAAATTACTACAACACAAAGGGCAGCTGCACCAGTTGCCATGTATGCAACGCTCATCTTTGGGTTCTGAACAGGTTTCACCAACAGTGAGCACAGAAGACGCGGCGAGCAGAGGACGACCGAGGACGATTGCGAGTACGGTAGCCAGTATGTCACTGCGGTAACGCAGTTCGCGCAAAGCGCAAAAGTGAATCGGAAGGAATCTTTCCACCCTCCTCGTCCTCTTCCTCTCCTTCTCTGTAACCACACTCGTTGGACAAATCTGAAGCCATGGCCAGCGCCGCCAACTCATACTATGAGCTCTACCGCGGTAGCAGGTACAGTCCGGCTGCGACACTCGTGACTACAGAGACACTAACAGCAGCCCTTTGACAGCATCGGCATGTCACTCATTGACACTCTCGACGACCTGGTCCATTCCGGTCGCATCGAACCTCAGACTGCCATGAAAGTCATCGCTACCTTCGATAAGTCTATCACCGAGGTGTTGGCGGATAAGGTCAAGGCCCGGATGAACTTCAAGGTAGCAGCGCCTGCTGCTTTTGCGTAGGGCTCATGGCTAATAGGAGGTTACAAAGGGTCATCTGGATACCTACCGCTTCTGCGACGAAGTCTGGACGTTCCTCATCAAAGATGTTAACTTCAAGCTCGACAATCAAAACAATGTCACGGCGGAGAAGATCAAGATTGTGAGCTGCAATTCGAAGAAGCCTGGGGAGCAGTAGGCTGGGCTGTAGGAGACAGTCCTACACCAGTGCAAGGTTCTCTGTTGCCGGTCTACATGGTCGAACCTGAGATATGGCATCGATATGGCGTTGGAGGAGCACCTGAGGTCATGCATTCACTAGGCGTTGGTACGGCGGACAGAACCAGGAGATACCCAGACCCAAAATGTAAAACGCATTCTACCGCTGCTCATGCCTGCATGTCTAGATAACCCTTCTTTTAAAACAATATTCCAAAGCCTTCTTGACTATCCACGTACTCAAACCACAGTCTGCCCTCGCTCCTACCTTTATCGTACCGTACTCGTAGCTGCAGATCTACCTTCCATCTCCTGGACCCTGTAAATATTCCGACTTAGCCACCTAGCGCACGAATGACCCTGCAAACGCCCAGACCATCATGGCGCGACGTAGAATCCTCCACCCTCCCCCATCTACCTCAGCAGCCATGGAAACGGAAGCAGAACCTCTGATGCCGGAAACGGTTCCCCAAGCCCCACCCGAGCCATCGAAAAGCACCACAATCGGCAAGCTCCCCTGGATACCGCTCGCCGCGGCCAGTGGTGCTTGCGCGGCCTTCAATGGCGTCTTCGCGAAACTGTATGCTACGACATACGGAGCACGGTTTGGAGAACGCGCACAGCTAACGGTGGCAGCACCACGACCGAACTCACTTCCTCGTGGGCATCCGGGATCGCTACCGCCTTTGGACTTTCTTCTACCAATAAAGTTGTCGAGATACTGATTCGAGCTGTACGTCCTCCATCATCCTGTCGCCATGTTTTCCCTTGATTTGTTCATCTACATTATGCTTCTCTTTCCACTCTCGTTCCTGCGGCTGACGCGCTCTTGGCAACAGTTCTTCTTCTCCCTCAACCTCGCCTTCAATGCCCTGATGTGGGCGCTCTTTACCTCGGCGTTAACCCGCGCCTCCTCTACCACTCGCGTCTCTGTAATCAACACTTCTGCGAATTTCATGTTGACAGCTTTCTCGGGATGGATGGTTTTTGGTGAGAAATTGCCGGGGCTGTGGTGGGTAGGGGCTGCGGGGTTGGTCGTTGGAAATGTAGTAATTGGAAGAAGGGACGAGGAGGGGGATGTTACTTTCAAGGGCAAGGTGGGAGAAGATGGCATACGAGGGGAGCAGGAGGGAGAAGAGCAGAGGAGAGAGGGTTATAGAGATCGAGAAGGAGAGGAAGACGTGGACGGTGGTGGGGGAGAAGGAGCTATAAGTGATGGAGTCGAATTGGATGAGGCCAAGGTCATAAGGTGAGTGTACAACGGTGGGTTATCGCGAAGTCATATACTTTGAACGTCTTATAATTATCATCTTCTGCATTGCAAGCAAAATCTAAGAGCGACTCTGAGCAATCACATTGGCCATTGAAAGCAAATTGCGACTTTCAGTAGGGACTTCCACCGTAATATTGCCCAGGAGGAAGGGGCGGACCCCCATAGCCGTACGCTTGTGGAGGGGGAGCATTTGGATCATAGCCATAAGGTGGAGCTTGGCCATACCCATATGCAGGTGGTTGGGGTGGGTAGACACCTTGTGGAGGATACTCTCCAGCTGGGGGAGCCTGAAGATCTGGCTGCCACTGGGATGGTTGCCCATACATTTGTCCCTGATGGGGATTAGGTGGGTAAGCTGGCTGCTCGTACGGATTTTGCTGCCGAGACTGTAGATCCTGCTGAGGATAATACCCGAAGTCTGGGCGAGGTGACGGCTGTGGTGATGGACGTGGCGATGGGCGATTGACTCCTTGAGCCTTGCCAACCTGGTCCCACCTGCAAGCTTCGGAGTCAGTATGGCTTCTTCGAGCAAAAGTACCCGGGTTTTAAGACAGGTTTAGGGAATGAAACCGCTCCCGAGACATGTCTTGCAGCTCAACGAGGGAGGATTTTGCTCTGAAATGTCCACTTACGGTGCATCCCGGACCTTGCTCTGACTGGCAGATCCGAAGAAGTTGCTAGGATTAGGAAGCCCGCCATGACTGTGTGACTGCTGACTGGCGTCTACTGTGTGATTCTTGCCATGCCTCACGCTCTCAGACCCTAGCAGGACGTTGAGATTGGATCCTCCGTCAGGCCGTGAGCGTGCCCAGCTTTCGACGGTACTGTACATGTTCCGGTGAAGCTCACAGTCGGGTCTTCGAAGGGCTGGATGATGGAAGACTCTAACGACGTCATTTAGGACCTGCTCCACGGGAATATCGGGATGCTGCCAGGCAAATATAATACGAGGTGCAACGTATTTCAGAATAGTAGATGCAACTTGACCGGCTGGTTCATTTAGTATGTTGGAGAAGTGGTCTTTGGACAGCAAAGAGTGTCTTGATGATTTCGGAGTCAGCATTACTCTTTCAGGAGGAACTCTGAGTCGAAAGACATGTCTTACGAGCAGAGAAATCTCGAGACATGCCTGACGACCCATAAGACAGCATGAGTGGGGAAGAATTGCCTCGGAAAGTATAACGTACGTTGGGTCTGAGCAGTGAGGGTCTGTCCAAGGCTCATATTGATGTTTACCACTTGCATCAATGACACCGCCGCTCCCCGCTTTGAGCTGCGCTGAGACTGCGTTAATAATTGGGCGTATGAAAGGCGCAAGAAGTGAAAGGACGAAAAGCGTCAGTGTTTCTGAAATCTTTTCCACCAGAGCTTCGAGGCCAGGGATCTTCTCAATGGTAACATTGACTAGTTTGACCACTCTGTCCCGGAACTCTAGGATGCTGAATTGCGTCAGTATTGCCTGTTTGAGGGGCTATATTGAACCTCGAAACATGTCCATAGGGTGGACACTCCTAAGACACGTCTCGAGACTCAAGACTTGATCCCAAGGATGAAATATAGACACCGAAATACGTACGGATATATTTGAGCAGCCGTTTTCATTGGATCAATGTTCGTACCAGGGATGTTGGGTCCGGGGGGTCCACCTTGGGTCCCAGGAGGTCCTGCGAATTTTCGGTCCAGGTCAGATCCAAATGGAGGCCCAGTAGTCGTTCGTTCCCGGACATCTGACATTGCTTGAAGATCAGCCGCTTGCCGGGCAAGGTCACCCGTCCCGGGTAACTGAGATAACAGACTGGTCATAGTGGATAGGCCTTGAGAGCTGTTGAAATCACGGCTACCATCCTCTGACGTCTTCGACTGAGCTTCGGCGTCCTTGAGCGCTATGTCCATCTGCTCCACCTCTGTTTGTGCGAAGTGGTCAGTAGCTTCGCCGAGTCTTCTGCGTATTAGCTCTTGTATCTCAAATTTCAGAATTGAGATTCTTACACGCTATGCAGAAAATCGACTACTCCGAAAGTTCCCGTAACCAGGGGAAACACGGGATGCTGAGCCCCAGGTATGTTGATCTCGGTCGCAGTTCCAGTATGTGGGAAGACGCCTTGAAACCCCAGTTCACGCAGAGCAAGCTCCGTATAATTCGTGTGAGCACCGAAGTCTTCTAGACAATGCAGTCCCTGCCTGGTGACGATGGTTCAGTACGCGCAAGTAGAGAACTTGAAAGACGAAGAATCACACCCAAGACACCTCAATGCTTCGCACAGGTCTGCCTCCTTGCCCTTCGTACCGCTTGCTCCACTAGTGTACACCCTTCCAAAGTGTATACTCCTAGTAAAAGAGAACCTAACATAACCGGCTGACGTAGCGATGTCGAGATCTTCATTAGCAATGTAGTTCTTCATCCCCGTCCGTGGGTCAACCTCCAGCTCATTCGCTTGGACTGGTGGGCGTAATCTCTCATCATACTTCCTAGCATCAACATTGTCTGCGTAGTCCTTTGGATTGTCAATATGCTCCTCGGGCCTGTAGACACCCAGTCTTTCCTCGGTCACTTCGAACTCCGCAGTAGCGTATCCGAAGGACTGCAATATATGTTAGTTGAGGTTCATTTTTATCACTTTGGGTCTGCGAAATACCAAAAACGATAGGACCCAAACGAGGATACGGACAGTGCCAGCCTGAACACCTTTGAGTGACCCTACGTCCATAGCTTGACTATAATCTCGCAGCCAGTTGCCGAAGTAAACTCGCCTAATCATCATACTCGTCCATTTGTGGCCCTTGATGAAAGCAATTGTTTTGAGCATATCCTCGATATCGCCACTAGATCACAAACTCGCAGTCAGTTCTGCCCATTTCAAGGAGTATATCGAGCCTCAGAACATGTCTCGCGAGTAAAGACATGTCTCATGCATGACCCAAGATTTGGTCAAAATCAGGGACTCTGGACTCCGAAAATACGCACTGGCGCCAATTATGCCCTTCAATTTTTGATATTGAAGCTGAGCATGGCGTTAGCAAGATCTACCGCATAATACTGACACTATCACTCACCTATATTCCCAGCCCCAAAAGCTGCCACAGGCGAAGCATAGAAAGCGAGGAAAGCAAGTAGCGCGAGACAGAGCGTAGAAGATCGGTAAGCCATGTCGCCAGTTATCTTTTGTGTACAACAGCTTGAGATGCTATGACACCCTTATGGCCATATCTTACAACGAAGTCATCCAAGGGTCGACGTGGAGTGTGTGGGGCCTCGTGATTGTTCTATGTAGCAGTGGCTGAGGTTTCGAGATTATATCGCTGCAAGGACTAGTATTTAGTCTATAGCTAACGGAAGAGATCTACGAGCCTGTACCGGTCGAGGCTAGAATATACGGAGCTGGAGAAGCACTTAAACATAGTGTGTCTGCAAATCAAACGCCCAGTGGTTATCAGACAGGTTTTTTGGCCGTGTTCGACCTCCTCATGTAGCGAGTATGCCTTATACTTCAAGTACTTGTAATGGACCGTCTCCATCCTAGCCTGGCCAGAAGGTATACCTGGAGAAAGTATCTTGTTAAATTGCATGATGTCTGTAACGAAGCTCCGAAAAGCACACTTCAAGTGTGGGTTGACAGGAGAAACCTGTCGCATGGTGGTGGACCTTCTGGTTGGCGTCAGTGGTAATAACAGTGACGGTTGCTTTTGAGGTCGTTGATTTATATGCCGGGTTTAGGCAGGTCGCCATTCAATGGTATGGAAGGATAGAAAGTCTTGAGGTCCTAAAGTTGTCACGAAGTGGGCTGCACGCTAGTAAAGATGTTTGACAGTCCGTAACTACATCACATATACAGTCTTATCTAGTACTGTACAGAACAGTCCACCACTGCTGCCGAGACCATCTAGCAAAAGGAGCTACCGACACGCCAGGCAATGCAGACGCTTGCTCATGTCGATGGAGATAACGCAAAATGGGGTATGTGTCCAGAGACTAGACTAAAAACACCTGCAATGCTGCTCTTAAACAACTCAACGCCTTTCCTATCATACACAGGTCTTTCGTTATGCTCAATGCGGCTACTGAATCGGCGACTGGATAATCTGCGGTAGTTGATTCTGTTGCTCGTTCATCTTATGCAACTTTTCGCGTTCCGCATCGGTCAAAGAATGATACAACTCTTGGAACCCTGGGTCGTTAGATATACCATTGAAGAAATCGACGAGGTACTTCTGTGTCGCGTCGTCGGTCTCATGCGTGTTCCATTTGGCCTCGTCCACGTACCCCATCAGATCTGCAAAGGGTATTCGTCAGCTTGATGATTGAGAATAGGGAGAGTAGCTGATGTACTGACCCTGTCTCGTGGCCTGAGCCCCGAGATCCAATAATGTGGGCTCATCTTCCCAGTCATCGTCTTCGTCGTCGCTTATGCCACCCTGCAGACTGTGATTTCTCTTGTGAAAGCCAGGCGTGGTGGGACTGGAATTGGCAAGCTCCTGGATAAGGACCTTGATGAGCTTGAGTGGGATTGGTATGATCGAATATTGATCCGGCTCTCTCTTGGACTGGGAGCGGGTCTTGATCCGGGAGCTGTTCTGCACGATTAGGTCTCCTTTAGCCTGGATGTTCAAAAGTCGCTCGTCGTGAAGCTGGTAAATGTTCGTCAACGCAATGACGTTCTGTCTGATGGCGTCGTATCCCGAGAAGTTGATAGAGTTCTCCAGCCACTTTCTCAGTACGACTTCGAGACCTGTGCCACCATCGGCGCCTTCCACCTGGACTTGGGCCAAAAAGTCGAGAACCTCTTTCGCATTAGTCAGAGACAGTCGAGCAAACACGAGGACGAGGTTCTGAATGAAATTTGCACGTTCGGCTGTGCTCAGGCGGATCGCCACAACTTGCAGCAACTGCATGAGGTACGGCCCCAGTCTTTCGGCGCCTGCTTTCTCGACCAACTCCACGGCGAGGCCTCCAACCTCTGCTGCTGAAGAGTCATCAACCTCTGGACCTAGGAGCCGGTCAATGATGAGAAGAACAATTTCCAGGCCTTCCTTCCCAGTCTCTGGATCGCGCCAAGCGAAGAGTTGAGCAGGATCGTGCACCAAAATATATTTGATCGTGATCGTGGCTGACTGATGGACGCTGAACTCTAGAGGCAGGAACAGAAGCCGGTATAATTTTGGGAGTAACGTGGCAACAAATCCCTGAGGTAAGGGTTCTGATCCATACTCTGCAAGGGTAGCGAGCAAAGATACAGCCATGTCGCTGAGCGAGTTTTCCGAGGTCATATCTCCCACGTCCAGGGCGCCTGTCAGGCTCGGGAGAACCTTCGAACACAGCCGAGCATAAGTTTCGGGTCCCTTTGAGGACATGATGGAAGTAATGGATTCAAAGGTCTCATTAACAAGCATCGATGTTTGCCAGCTGCGAGCACCATACGCCGCCATTGTAAAGAGCACATCAAGAGCTGGGTGTTCAAGGCACAAAGTGGGATCGGTCATGACAGCGTCTCGAAGAGTCTCTACCAGTGTATCCAGGAGGTCTTCGGTGTCGTTGATCTCACTGAGATCATGCGATGACAAGAATCCGGAGATCGCGGCCACGGTTTGGACTTGGAATTCCTGAGCTCTCCCTGCTGGTAAGACTTTCAGATACTGCTGGAGTACACGCATAGAAGAGACTTTGACGATATCGGAGGATTCATGTTCGATGGCCTTCAGAGACTGAAGTGCGAACTCAGGGACCAGATCCCGCAATGCTTTCCCGGGTGCAGTGATGAGAGCACCCGCCGCAATGAAGCCGCGCGCTCTCAAGAACTCGCTTCCACTGTCCTGCATAGCGGCCTGGCAATGGCTGAGGTACGCCTGCGCGATTTCTGGACCCACGGGTCTCTCGTACGAGCTGACTTCTTCTAACACCTGCTTGAGAACATATAGCACCGCCTCCTTTTCCTTTGGGCTATTTTCGCATATCAGCTAGTGAACATTCCATCTCGGAGGATGGAATTCTTACTTCGACGCTCCACCCTCGAAGACCGTCTTGCTATGGGCCAGCAGACTTTCGAGCACAGGCCAATTGTAGCTGCAAAGTTTCGTTGCGAGGCCCGCGCATGCATTGCGAGCGGAGTAATTCGCCGTCTCCGATGTTTCTTCTGACAGAAAGACGTTAATGTCCACCTCCCAGAGTTCTTCGTCCTCAGTCAAGATCTGAGAATAGCCAACAGCAGTAGCTAGAATTTGTTGAATCCAGGTACTATTGGGAGCGCCATTAGTCATTCTCTCAGGCGCCAGTTGCACATCCAATTCGCGTTTGATTATCGACGTGTTCAAAAGTGTCTGGATGTAATCGAGCTCTTCGATAACAAGGTAATCGAGAGTATACGGCAGTCGATCTGCGTCATCCATACGACTCTGTCTTTGTTGGTCTCCGGTATACATCGTGAGATATGGTGATAGGTGAGCTTGTAATGACTCCCATATCGTGCTGAACAACTCTAGGGTACGCGGACTGAGAAGCTGCGGAAACAAGTTATGAATTTTGTCGAGTGCCTAGGGAATTTGTCAACGCAACGTCAACCAAGAATGATCACTACGCTTCACCTTTACGACCTGGGTCTTCAGAGCAATCACCCCTCGCCAATTCGAGTCCGCGGGACCCTTCTCGTTTTCTTCCTCTTCGCTCGGCATGTGTGGAAGAGGCATCTTGAGAACCTCTATGAAGAATGGTGACCACACCTCCGAGAGTTCTTGCATGAACTGCGTCACAGAAGCCTTGTTGGTCTGATACACCAACTCCATGGTGTCGAGGCACGCTCGAAAAATCGAGACCGCCAGTGCCCTCGTCGTCAGCCTCTTCTCCCCATCGACAGCCACAATGTAGATACATTTGACGAGGTCGATCGCGCTTCCGGAGAATTGCTCTTCATCGAATCCGTCTTCAACAAGACTGCCAAGGACCAATAGCGCACCGTGCAACTGTGTCGCATCCGCCTGTGGGACGAGGTTCAATAGGGTGGGGAGCAGGCTTGGCCATTGCTCTGGAAAGTCGGCACTTGCGATCTTGCTGACGACGTAGCTGGCCGCCGCAACGATCTTCCTCTCTTCATCGGAGGCTGTCGCAATGGACAGCACGGACTGCCGCACTTGCTCTTTGGTCGCGTCGCTCAAGGTATCCGGACCTTCGTATTCCTCCAGGGATGGTGACCATATCTTCAATACCAGTTTTTTGAGGGAGAGAAGCGCGGCCTGGCGATGATCGAGAGCGACAGACTTGTGAGACGCTATGGAGATTAGGGAGATTGGGAATGTGTCGTTAGTGTAGAGTTGTTCCAAATGGCGCTCTGCATCACTGCGGATAGAGGTCGAGGCAACGAGTGTGGCCGCTAAAAGATCAAGGACTTGTTGCTCCATGATTGCAAGAACATGCACCTAGAGAAAGGTGTGCACACACTTGACAAAATGAAATGCGACTTGGATTCTCGTGCTATCGACTGGGATTTCGAAATGTTGTGAAGCGCCAAGCTTTCCTTTTCTACGCGTTTTCGGCAGGTCTGCCGACAGTAGCGTCCCCGCATTGTTAACCTTCTTCAGGACCGTGAATTTCCTCAAAAATGGCTTCTTACAACTCCGAGGCTCCTCTATTGAATACCTATCAAGCTGTTGTCTCTGCTTACAGTGATTTCCTCACCGTCGTCATCCACACCATCCTCTATGAGCGGAATATCTACCCTCAAACCTCATTCATCAAGGCGCGTAAGTACAATTATCCTGTGAGACAGAGCAGACACCCAAAGCTGTGCAAATGGATAATGGATGCTGTTGCTTCGGTGGAGGCGGAGATGTTGAAGGTAAAGAAGCCTCTCATGTGTGTCTTGATTGTATCCTGATTCAACTCGGAAAATCACTGTGAAGTGTCGAAGTAAAGGGATGCATCAAATCCTATCGTGAAGTGTCAGGCCGCTGTCAGAGTGCTTCACGATGTTGGCTACCTAAATCACTGCCTGAACGGAAATAGTCATAGCGAAGTGGTATTGAATGAGATCTGGTCAAGGACCTCTTCAGATGTATATCTTACGTCCAGCTAGGCTCAGTGTTTAGAAGGCAGCAAAGCTATGCTTCTATGAACAGCCCGACTGAGCCCTCGAATATTTCAAGGTCCCGGCAATGCCCCGTTACTGTTACCACAAGCTCCCACAATACTCATCTACTGTGCAGCATGGAACATAACATTCCATGAATTTGCTGATCATGTTTGAGAGTGTAGTGCACCGTTGCGCAAACCTCAGTCATTATTCATGCACCTCCGCCTAGCTCTAAGCCTCTCGAACGCTACGTCTTCTCCACTGCGTCCTTTCCCCGCATACAATCCTCAGAAACGCTCACGACTTTCGCTTCTCCACCTGCTAGCGACCAATCCGCAAGCACCGAGAAGCCACCCGATGTGCCCTCAGCCGCTACACCAAGACCTGCCGACCTTAAAAAGTTCAACCCTCCACCTACATCCGACCTCCCAGAACAATTCCGCGCTACTCTTGCCCGGCTATCCACTTCTCTGACTCGCCTGAACCCTTTGCCAGAAGACTGCAGCTTTACCTTAGCCATCGAATTGCGAGATGAAGAAGTGGTGGACGCGCCGATAGGAAGGGGAGATCGCTGGGTCGCTGCTGAGCCGGGCCTCCAGAAAGAACGGAGAAGGGATGGTAATGACTATGGAGGTTTCGAGGGTAGCAGTGGCGATACAGAGGTCGTCGAGGTTGGACTAGATGAAAGTAAGAAGGGGAAAGATTTGGGAGGAGTGCGGACCACGCCGGTGAGAGCGCTCGAAGCCGGAGCGTTTAGGATGGAGGTATGGATTGAAGAAGGGAGAGGAAAATTCCAGGCGCAAGTGGAAGAGGACGACGAGTATGAGTATGAGTAAGACTCGTGAGGCCGATAGCGATTCGGCGAACATAGCAATGGACTTGAATGACCTCTCTACCATGTTGTTCGATTGATTCTTAGCCTTACTCAAAACATACACACAATCATACACAGCCCCATACATATCAAAACCTTTCCCACCGACTTTCTCTCTCTTATCCTCGAAACTAGCCCCAATACCAGCAGCGCAAACGCTATTGCTGCGCCCAGCCTCCTGCTCCGAGGCACCAAGAGCATCATGCTACACAGAATGTCCAGTACACCAACAAGCTCTCGCAGCGTGCTTGGATTTATAGAAGAGGTACCTCGCTCCCGGCTGATCTGCTCCGGTGTTATTGGCGAACTGAGTCTAGTGATACCGGCTGAGAGGACGGTGAAGGATAGGACGAGGGCGGAGAGGAGGGAGAGGATCAATGCGAAAGACATGATGAAGTGCGAGAGAATGGGTGGGGAGATTGTTATTCGGTGAGGGGGAGAACATGTTGGTAAACCACCACTTTCCTATCTGAGGTTTTGGAGGTTCTCAACTTTGAACATCGTTGGTTGTTTGTGCACAGTTGTGTATAGTTGTGTCGTTAGTTCGATGCAGCAAGGATCTTTAGCGGTGGCTTTCCATATGGCCTTAATAGCGGCTGGTGGCGGAATCATCCTAAGCCCTTTTGGGTCGCGTATTTGAAGACCACTCGATCCTGAGGCATACAGTAGCAACAAGCTATGAACGCATCTCTAGGACTTTTAAATCATTATGCGGATAGTAGGCACGAAAAGTGCATTGCAAGTAGTGTGTACATCTACTCTACAACAACAGACCACAAGCAAAGGGGGCCAGACCAACCCGCCCAGCTTCCCTCAGAGGCTGGTTCAAGGCTCTAGGTTTCACTCCAGGAACCCACAATCACCCTGCCTCTACCCATTCTGACCTTGTCCCCTACTACTGCTGCTAACGTCGCTACTGAACCAAAACTCTCCGACATACGCCAGAGTCGGTCCCAAGTTCCATTCCTTTTACCACCACTTGTACTTTCATCACTTGTGTTAAGGGTCCCCTCTAGAATATCTTGTATCCACAATATTCGCGCAACATCAGGGGTATATCCGCATTCGACCAACATGACTACCGTCATCCATCCCAGGGACCTTTTGAAGGCCCCGCCAGTCGCATTCGATGTAAGCGGTGGTCAATGTCATCATCGTAACCCTAGCGCAGCTTTCGAGTTATCATATACAACATAAGTAATCGAGACAGCCGGAACCACTTTCAGCAGGTTTGGCGTGATGCCTTTGAACAACCCCCTAATTCCCTCCCCTTTGACCGTCTTGACCGTCACGTCCCAAATGCCGGTGTAGGTCGGCGGATGTATAGCGGTGCCTTGACTCTGCAATCTCGTTCGAAGTAAATTGAGTGGATAAACAGTACTGGCGCCAAATGCACCACTAAAAGCGCCAATGCTGGCTGTGGTGAAGTTACTGAGTGTGACGTCATCCTCGTCGCATTTCTTTAGCCGTGCTTTGCGTCTGCTAATGATCTGCTTGAGGTACTCGAAGGTAGTAAGGTCGATGGCGCTGTAAGGGAACATGCCGACGAGACCCATAGGAAGGCCGCGGTAAAAGGAACGAACGCCACTGGTAGCCCACATCTTGCGAGCAGTAGCGAGGATCAAGGCATTGCCGTGAAGGCCGCCTTTGATAGTCTCGTTTTGGACACGGCTGGGTCAGAGTCAGTGAATGGGTTGATCGCCGGAAAATGGTGCGATTCGGGCATACAATTTTAAGGTATCGAGGGGATAGACGCAAAATCTAAATCACGGTAAGCAATGTCGGCCAGACATATCACAAAGGCTGATTAACTGTGAAATGAGTCCACCCAGGCCAGCGGCGAAGAACTGTGTCCAGGGCTTTAGGGCTTTTGGATCATCGTGGCCTTCAAGGCGCGCCAGCAGACGTTTAGAACCCTGCAGTGTTGGTCAGCTTGCAATGTTTTAAAATATCCGAGTCCCTACCTCATAACTGCCGAATTTGATGGCAGACTCTGGCATCACTTTGACGACGTTGAGCCCGTTCCCGGCGAACAAACTTCGCATGCCTCCCATACGCCATAGTGCCTTCGTTGCCTCCATCAACGGTCTCCCTGCTGTCTTTGCTGCTTTCAAAGGAGCTCCCGACTTTGCGTGATTTATTGCGTCGTCCTTGACCCCGACCTGCGCTATAAGGTACACTTTCAGGCGATCCAAAGGCGCAGTCGCTGTTCGAGAGACAACGCCTGCGATTCCGCCGGCCACGAAATAACCTACCGGGGGAAAGATATCCGTCAGCAGGAGCATTTCTCTGGACGCATGTTGATCTTCTGCAGAATCGTCTGGGTCATAAATGTCTTCGTATTGAGCATCCTGATCGCCCGGATCCCAGGGAAAAGTGACCGGTGTAGATTTTGCTGTAGCTTGTGCGGAAGCTATCTGTTGATGTACTGGCGACGCGCCTTTTAACCGATCTTGTAGAGTGGCCGGTTTGGCGAGGCCGAACAAAGCTGCAAAGAGATTCCTAGGAAATTGGATTTTACCTAACCCCTCCACATTATCGTCTGATACGTGCACATCCCCCTCTGGATTAACGGTAACGGTGGAAGAATAGTAGGAAAGTACTGCTCGTAGGTTCGGGGTGTTCGCCGGGATGAACAGCAGAAAGTCCCTTGATTTACGTCAGTCTAGCATCTAGGAAATTTCCTGGAGACATATTTGGATACCTCCACTCATCAAAGGTGATGACGCCGTCGTGGTTAGTATCAACCTCGGAGAAGAATTGATCAAGTTTTGTTCCTGGAAGCTGAATCCCAGCCCTCTCAAACGCCGATCTGATTTCCCCCTTGTCCAGTTGCCCATTATGATCTCGGTCAATACTCTTAAAAAGTTGCCAGAGCTCTTTTTCCGTCTGTTCGACAAACTTTCGAAATTCTGATCAATTCTTTAGTTATGCCTCCCATTGGCATTTCTCTTTGAACGCACCAGAGTAATCTATGCGACCATCTCGATTCGTATCCACAGCCTTCATGACATCTTGGAGAAGGGAGTCAGCATTCTTGAGAGCTGTACTGACTGTCAGAAAGCTTCCTAGCATAACCGGGCGGTACAAACGATGGTTTATGTTGCTCAGCCCCTTCTTCAGGCCATTGAGGTTCAATCGGCCCTCGTTCCGAGTATCCAATGTTTTCCATAGTTTGCTGACTCGGGCATCTTGGTTGGTCTGGTCCTCACCGTCCATGATGCCAGGAGGTCAAATTACCGCTGTTGATTCATGGCTTCTGAAGGGAAGGGAATTTTGCTTATTGTCGGAGTAGACTATGCTATAGCCTTGCAAGAGAGACGTTACGCGTCCACAAAGGACATCAATGCAATACTCTATTTACTTTGGTGATGGTAGGGCGGAGTTGTGAGTAGTTGGGGAACTATTCTCTGGCACCCTTGGTTGATTGCAGCAGCGGGGTGGCCGTTAGGCTACCCGCTAAAATCTCGGTCCGGACCGCCGCCATGCTGTTGAAATGCATTTGGCATCAATCTCGAGCAGCTCGGAGGTTCGACAGGATGGTAATCATCTGATTCAACACATGTGTTGAGGCTGCTATTGAGCACTGGTAGACTGCGACTTGTACTGCCTACTCGAACGTCTAGCGACGGGAGGTGTTTCTGCTTAAGATCTACACTTTGACAAAAGAGCAAGCGGCAGTGGCACCTTCCCCTCTGTGCCTTGCTCTGGCCTGTGATCGAAGGGTTGGTTGTTATGGTGTACTACTAACATTGTTTCAATGCCCGTATTGCAAGGCACATTGATACACATCTCGAGCTAGCGTTGCCACAGATTGAGAGATGGCAGCAAATTACTGGGCATCGACTCAGCGCCGCCACTGGCAGTATTCTCGAGAAACTTTGGCAGAGATAAGGCAAAAGCTCGAGGATGATGATCGTGCCCTGGTCCAGCAGTACCCATTGCCGGATCGCCGTTTACTAAGCCACCTCTTCAATCAGCGTACGTAGTCACATTTGTTGTCGAAGGCGGCAGACTTTCTCGGATTTTCTGACAGAAGTACATTAGAGCTGGCCAAGTTTGGGAAGCGGTTGTCGATACGACAGCAGGCTGTCGCCACAGCACAGGTCTATGTCCGCAGATTTTACAGCAAAGTGGAGATTCGGCGCACGAACCCCTATCTCATCCTCGCTACTGCGTTCTATTTAGCTTGCAAGATGGAAGAATGCCCTCAGCATATAAGAACTATCGTGAGCGAAGCTCGCTCGATGTGGCCAGGTTCGTTCCGCTAACTGTTCATCAATTCATCCTAGCTGAAGAAGACCTAAGCAGACTTCATCATCTCGGATGTTTCCAAACTAGGCGAATGCGAGTTCTATTTGATCTCTGAGATGAATTCTCAGCTCATCATTCACCATCCTTACCGTACCCTGCAGGATCTCCAGAACACTTTGAGCATGGCACAAGATGACACTTCGCTGGCATGGTCTATCATCAACGATCACTATATGACTGACTTGCCACTTCTTTACCCGCCACATGTGATTGCGGTGACTGCAATCTTTCTAGCCCTGACATTGAAGCCAACGCAGGCTGGGTTGCAAGCTGCAGCCAGTACCGCAGCAGCTCTGAGCAGTGCCACACCGATGCCGAAGGACCAGCCTGGAAGTGTGAATGGAGTCCCAAATACCCAGCAGAAGAAGGTGCAGAACCTTGTTAGCTGGCTGGCCGAGGGCGAGATCGACATCAAAGCAGTTGTTGAGTGTTCACAGGAGATCATATCACTTTACGATGTATTGGAGCACTTTGTTGATAAGATTTGCAAAGAGCAAATAGCTCGCTTCGTTAAAGCCCGGGGCTTAGACAAATAAGACGCCAGTATGTTGAGGGCTTGCCAGTGAGGAGCCTTGCCATGTACCCATGCCAAACCATGCTGATACTAATATTTGTCTCTTGAAGGGTACGGCGTCAATTACTAGTACACACACTCCACGTATCTGGCGATGTCTGGAGCTTCCTCGCTCGATAAAACGCCACTGGAAGGGACACATGCGGCATTTCCTCCTCCTCGCTCCTAAAGAGTGATATGTATCGCTCCTGCCCACTGTGTCAGTTGAGTACGTGAATCTGTGGCAAGGTCCACTACCGTAAGCGCGCTCTAGCCCTTCGACCATTGCCTCTGCTTCCTCACGATTCGAGGCTGCGAGAGGCCACAGCCCAAGATCGTTTGAGACTTCTTTGTCGAAGTGGCTGCCGAAATGGCCGCCGAGAGCGCGATCCGTACCATTGATGATAGCTTCGGCCTCTATCCCACGCCGATACAGCTCGTCACTATTATCGTTTGGAATATGACCCGCTAGCTCTTTCACCGTAGCTTCTTGAAACATCACCCGTCTGTCAATTAGAGTTTCAATGTCTGACCCATTGACAGCCTTCTCTGAATCTGTACGTTCGCGAGCAAGATACATGGGACCAAGTGAAGACTTGATCGTAGAGTCTGACTTCTGCTTAAAGCTATGGGCGTCTGTTAGACTGGAAATCGTTGGAGACGAAGATGTCGCAGTAAAATGATCTCTTGGGGCGTCTTTGCCAAACAAGCTACGCGAAAGCATCAAGCCTTCTGAGGCCATGTCGGTACCATAATTGGTACTTAGCGCGAGTAGGCTATAGAGGTCCGGTGCTGAGACGTTATGATCTTCCTTATCTTTATTCAGATAGGTTGGATTCGCCATATGGATTGACTACCCTTCAATTTCGGTCGCAGCTTGTCTATCCCCTTGACGCCTTAACGAATTTGGATTTCATGGGAAAAGGCGGCTGGTTGTCTTTGGTCCGGGCGGTAGGATACCTAGCACCTCAGTCAGAATGTAACCTAGCATGACTGCCATTGGTAGTCAAGACAAATATCACCCAAAGCTGGCGAGGTCAGGATACAAGGAGCAACTTGACACGCATATTGAGGAGCAGCCCGTTGGTCCTATTCAGGGAGTCAAGCTTGTGTAAATCGGAGGCTTGTCCGTATGAAAGAGCAGCAATGACCAGAGCGCGGCTGAAGATCATGAGATTAATTGAAAAGGAACAGGAGGATCCGATTTCCCACAAAGACTTAGGAGACCGATCTAACTAAATATCAAGCGCAGAACCGAACTTTGTGCCTTACCTCTGGAGCTGGGAAAATTTGTACTAATTAGGTCTTCGAGCTGCAAACGCGATGCGACTCAATACTTCCGGTCTATGCTTTCACGTTATTGGGCAAAGAGTGACAATCTTCCAATGCACAGTTGCAGGTCATAGCACCATTGGAGATTTCTGAATGCAGGTAACCGCTTGAGGACTACTGGAATCCAAGGGATGTCATCACATGGCATATTACTAGTTTAAGCTGAGGTAGACGACGATGATCCACCATAGATTACGACCTCCTACGTTTGGATGATCCCACGGCAGCGCTTGGGTACGGACATGTTGTGCCCATCACTGGTATGTTTTCTAGCGTTACTTAGCTGTGCATGGTACTGAAATGCGGCTGCAGCCCGACATTGAACTGCCAATGACAAGCACTCCCGCCTGGCCTGCTACTGCTACCAGCCTCGCTATCGGTTGGAACGGAAACACCTTCACGCCCTCTACGATGTACGCCATATGGATCTAGTCGTCTTATGAGATGACTTTCAATCTGCAACTGTACCTCATTTTTCGCCCCTGCGGGTATTTGCGAAGCAGAAAAACCTCTGTACCTTTTGCTCTCGTTGCAAATTTTTTTGTTCTAGCCGCGCTTCCTCTCGCGACAACCATTCCTCGGTCCAGTAGACAGGCTGTCTGCTGACTCTGCGAGGCTTGGAATCTCGCTAGGACAAGGGTTCATTTGAACTGCGTATTCGTAATTTGGCACGTCTCGTTTCAAGGTTGTGCTCAGGCGTAAGCGTGCGTACTCGAGATCCAGTGGAGCTGAGACCCACCAAGGCATGTTCGACTCTCTCCGTCGTTTATTCTGGACTGGACTGGCTGTGCTCATGTTTTCCGCAACAATCATCATTTAGATGAGTTCCACTGTAAAGCTATTCGGTTTCGTACGGTCACAGCATTCGCTGGGACTGACCGACAGATACAGACCGAAAGCTTTGGAATGTGGAAAGACATCTCATCCCAATCCTAGGAATGAGAATTTGTACAAGCCGCATACGAAAATTTGAGGAACGAAAAAGGATCTCGCAAGGGTTGAACGTCAATCCTTCGGGAGCAAACTGATGATCAACAGGCTTATGCCTCAATACATCTAACAGAGAGTTTTCCTCATGCAAGTTGCCTTCGGGAAGCTCTAATTTACTCGGCGTCTCGACCAAGACACGCCTCAACAATCACGATCAATCACGTACGAGACAAGATAAAAGTCAGCTGTGTTGGATTTCGCACCTGGTTCTAGTACTTTTCGTCAACTTTTTAGAAAGCGACTTGAAGGGTTCAAAAAAACTCGCATAACTGGGAGAGTTGAATGAGTGCCTGGCCTACCAACGCCTGGCAATTTATGGTGTCCTGTCAAGCGAGGATGCTCGCTCCTGTGATCGCTGCCATCCCAGCCGCGCGTTCGAAGGTACTCATGACCTTTTCCTCCACTTTCTCGTGGACAAGTACCACGACACGATAATTGACGTGGCCTCCGACAGGGACTGCAACTGTTGGGTCGATTTCCGTTGCTGAATAGGTAGCTTGTGTTATCCTCTATCGTCTTCTTCAATATCGTCGAGGTCCTCTCAAGGCCTTGGTGGTCATTGGGAACATCATAAGGAACCTGGATGCCGCATCTATCCTTTGAGCGATGAAGCTCTCCGCTTGCATCTCTGTTCACGCTCTCGATATAGCCCCTGGAGACTGGGAAACGTTGGCTATAGATTCTCAAGACTGACGAGAGGAGCCTACCACGTGCACGGGTGACCCCATCCGATATATACTCTGCTTCATTTTTGGTCGAGAGAGTCAGTGACTCTAAGCGGCAGCAGATTAGTGAGCTTTTTTCAAACTGGGCACCCATGGCATACGAAACTATGTCGAAGCTTGGGGGATACGGCTAGGAAGAACTCTTAGAGCCCGAAATTGAATTCGAGGAGCCAAAGCGCAGAAAGTCCAAATCGCAGATGGCCGAATCTGACTTGTGGTGCCACAGTAAGGTTCCTGCTGAATGTGCGATACGAGGTCCGTGGAACGTATCGAATGCTCCAAGACAGAGCGAGCGGCCCAGGCAACTTCAGGGCTCTCACCTTCTGGACCCCCTCTTTGGCCTCGAGGTTCGCGAAAACCATGGACCTGGTCCGATCTCTCGGACGCGGTTGGACCCTCAACATGGTCTTCAAGACTCTGCCTTTCATTACTATAGGCCTACTTGGAGGACCATTGGGTTGGCCTCCAGGTCTCGAGCTAGCTGCTACATGGTTTGAGTCAGCGGTGCTGTGCCTACAAATGAGGCACCTGTCCGTCTCTTCCAATACTGGCAGTTTTACCCAAATCTGCTCCCTGTAACGTGCCTTTCACACATCTTTCTTTCAATGCAAACCGCTGCCCAACGCTGTCTGACGGCTGTTCTCGTCCATCATGTTGCGTATGGACGTGTGTCGGGTCTCGTATGTTCTCCTTTGCTGACGTGTGCTTTGGCCCTATGCTCGTTATTGCTGGCATAGATGCTCGCTTGATGGCTTGGTATTAACACAAAAGGTTTGAGTGAAGGGGTAATTGGGTGCTGTGTCAAGAAATGGAAGCTCTAGCTCGAGAACATGGACTCGCCCATCAGTAATCGGACACAGTCAATCTACAGCCTCATGGGTCAGTGGTGACCAACATCTTTTCGGAATCACTTGCAGAAATTAGGCGCAGCAGGCTTGCCGTTCCTGCATCCTGGGTCAGTGAATTTTGTGCTGCGACGACAGTCGCTTCCGACTTTCTGTTAACACGCCCACTGCCGTGAACCTCGACAGCCGATGATAATCCTCACAGCATCTCCGGCCAAGCCTCCGTTTACGCCGAGTTCAAAATTTGGATCATCTTGTTCAACCAATCGTGGTCCCACTAGTCGCTTCGCTCATCGGTTAGCGCGACTTGCGTATGCAAGTCTCAAGGAGAGGCAGATCATTTGCTGCAATAATCCGGTGCATGTGCATGTCCTGCCTGTCCTGCCTGTCCTGCCAGCACGACCGTGCAATCGGTGAGCTGCAGATTCTTTGCACTGCGCGATGGAAACCCAACATAATCATTGGTTTCTACGGTCCTGGCAGCAACGAGCCGACCCTCTCGCTAACAAGGTTCTTATCCACCTACCAGGTTTGGGAATCAACCACCGAGGTACAGTGTGATGGATGATATGCGCCCGTCAGATTCGGCTCCGTTGCGCTTAGAAAGATAACGGCATGGCAACTGCACGTTGGTTGGCTTTACTTGCGTTGACTTGATCACTACATTATTCATTGGACAAATGAACTAACTATGCATTGGTTTCGTTCTGTGTGTCCCCAGAATGGCAGTATATTGAGGAGCTTGACTGGACAATGTTTTAATGGGAGACTGCAGCCTACCGTGACAATAACATCTATTTTCAAGAGGTTCATAGGCTCGTGAGTGAGTGCGAAACTCCCCAGTGCCAGCGCTACAGAAGGGTCTGTGCGACCCGTGATGCGAGGGGTATGACCAACGCCAATAACTCCGTGCTGAAATGACTGAAATGTATTCAGAACCTTCCCCGCAGCAGCATAACAGTGATGGTATGCCCTCGCGTCCATACTCATGCATCTACAAGATGATGCAACAGGAAGGATAGCGCATTCTTGGCCCATCAATGTTGTATCCCTCCTCTAAGTCGAGGTCCAGCAAAGAATCCGGTGCGAAAGTTACTTTGCGGCTGTAGGCGATGTCGCCTTCCGCGTCAACAGCAAGTTTGGAAGGCTCTTTGGGTCGTGCAGAGACTTGGAATGAGGACCCGGGATCTCGGAAATGTACCTCGGGACGAAGGTCGATGTCCTCCATGGTAGCTACAAGACTCGTCAGTAACGAGTAACAACACAACAAATTTGGAGGGCTCACTGTTTGCCTTCTTGACCTTGTCGTTGATGAATCGCGCTTCCATATCATTCTCCGGGTTGTGGAAGCTGGCAGCTTCCCTGCCAATGCATAAGTCGTCAAACTGACCTCCCATGGCTTCGACCTTGTCAAGGTCTACAGCTGCGGTCGCGTTTTTCTTCGATCCGTTGCCTTCTGTGGAAGACTCGGAAGATTCCGAATGGACAGAGTTTGACCCGTACACTGCTCTGTCGGAGTCTATGGGCGACTCCGTGCACTTCCGGTCAGGTTCGTCCAACATCTCCGACGGCGACGATGTGGGGTCTGTCTCTTCTTCGGGAAAACAGGAAGACGTATGCACGTTGCTTGAAATGCCAGTCTGCTTCGACTCACTCGACACCGTTGTTGCTGTTGTCCAAGATCTCACTTTACGATCCTCGGCCACCATTTCTTTTTTCCCTTCCTCCGTGGTCCATTCCTCCGTTGTAGTCTTGGCTCCAGTAGGGACTGCGTCAATGTTGGGACGTGTCGTCCAATGAGCATTGCTGGGCCCCATCGCTTGGTTTTCTGGTGTAGTGTCTTCTAACATCTTCTGCGTTTCGCGACTTGTGGTCCCTCTACGTAATTCTGCTTTGGGTGTTGAGAGCTCTGGTAAGCCGACCATGCCAGTGGCAATCAGATGTGGGGAGTTTTGTGGAATGGCGGTATCTTATTTCGCTGAGGGGCTTGCTCGCTTGTTCGTAGAGGGGAAACTTAAAGTGACGCGTTTTGTGGTTTGTGGAAAGACTCCTTGGGTCACTTGCAGCAATGTAGGCCAAATGGTATCAAGTCGGAAAGAATCTTGTAAGTGCGTTCTGGGGCAAGGAGGTTTGAGGCCGAGCAACAACGAGCTGCGGATCTGAAGAGCGATGCAAGAGACGGGAGAAAGGGTGGAGGAGGGAGATTGTGAAGCAGAAGGAGAACAGGAAAGGCGAATTCATGTGCACCAAGCGCAGCAAATGCAGGCAGGGAAGCTCCAACGATCTGACCGCCTCAAGGATGAACGACCCTTTCCCGGCGGAAACTTTTGTTAACCCTCGAAGACCCGGGCTAACGCTTTGAGTTGACCTCACTTGTAGCATTCGAGAGGTACAAGCCCCGCCTGCCGTGGGGTCCTTTGGATATGGAGGGTTGGGACGGACACCCATTGGCTCATTATCCTGGCATCTGCAGCCAAAACGGCCAAAGGCTTGGCCAAATCGTGAACGCTTTTCATCTCATATTCTCGTTGGGGAGAACGAACGACAATGGGGTCGAAGTGAATCATGTGCTCGGTAGAGGTGAATTGATGCCCAACGAAAAGGAATGGAGCTTGAAGGGTCAGAAAGGTGCTGGCCGACAGCATGCGGGCTGTCAGCCAACGGTAGCCAGCGGGGACTCGGCCAATGAGATTTCTGCAATGCATGCAATGCATGCGGCGCAGCGAAGCGGTGATGGAATCATGCGAGGACCCATGAGAGGAGGGCGCAAGCAAGATGGCTTTATACCTGAGTCGCCTTCTGGAAAGCCGGCAACGGTCATGCTCATCATCAGCTGCGGAGTTCAAGCTGTTCCACCAATGGAGGAGCATAGCGGGCAGCAAGGATCAGGGAGCCTTTCGTTCGGAGTCTGCACATTTGCTCGAGGAGGAAGGGTGGCAGAATGCGCAGCCAATTCGTGACTCGTGCCCGGCACGAGTGGAATCCCTTGAAGCAGAATTCTTGATAGAGGCGACCAATGAAAGCAGAGCTTTTGAAACATCGGCATTACCTGATCAAGTCGAAGCCAGTCACACGAAGATGTGGCAGTAGCGAGGCTTGCGAGATCGGTCTCAACTACTAGATGTAATAATCTGAGACAAATCCGGTCATTGACCGCTCATGCAGGCACTAGATCCATCGAACTACTGCCCTTGAACATTGCAGGAACTCCGATAGGACATGTAACAGAATATTGAATGTCCATACCGCCTGACAAAACCCGCTTACTTCATGCCTTTCCCTTTCGCCTCACCATGGCCCAACTCCCTAATGAAAATACCCACCATTCCCTCCCCAACACCTTCACGCCCGTCCTCAAACCCAGGACTGACAGCCACAGCCAAGAACTTCCCGTTCCCGCTAAAACTCAATGCACTCACACTAGTCGTATACCGCTGGTACTGCCTGATCCTCCTCTTGGCAACGCCATCCCAAAGCGCGACGAAGCCATCTCCGCCGCCTGAAGCGAAGGTGCCATGCACAGGATGAAAAGCCAACGCATTGACAGGGTAGACCACATCTACCCCTTCAGGCGAGGGTTGACGATGGCACTTGAACGCATATTTCCGAGATTGAGAAGTGGTTGACGGGTCGAACCATTCAACAGCCACACGGCCTTCGATGCTGGAAGATGCGTACCCTTCGTCGTTGGGCATGCAAGCCACTGCTCTCGTCATGAACTTCAGAGAAGATTCGCGCCGCTGCCAAGGTTCGATGCCTGAGGCCGCAGATTCAGAGGCCAGATCCGCGAGTTGGTAGATGTGCAAGGCCCTGGAAGCCATTGCTACGACAAGCCTAGTGGATGTGAGGGAAAGAGAAAACGGCTTATTGGGTAGAGATATCTTGACGGGTGGATCAGAAGGTTTGGAGAGGTGGTGAACGTGTAATGTCGAGTCCCAAGAGCCTGAGACAAGGATATTGTGCTGTCGATCGTAGAGAACGGACTTGACGCCTGCGTCGTGGGAGGAGAGAACCGTTTGGGCACCTGTGGTGAGGTTGATACTGTAATTCGCGTAAGCCGTAGATTCGTCTGGAAAAAAGCAGCAGTATATATAGCCGACCATCGGACATCCCAATCCAAGCCTGCGGTATATGCCTCCTCTTCATCTTCCCCAAAACACACATCTAGAACCGGCGCTCGATGCTCAAACTTATTGAGCAGCTGGCCGCCAGTACTCGAGGTGTCGTAAAGGTAGACATGCTTGTCCCAGGACGCTACGAGGAGCCGCAGGGAAGTGGGCGCGAATTGTATGGCGGAGATGGCGTCGGTTGGGGGGTTCGCGAGCTCGAATTGTGCTGTAAAGTGTCAGTATGGGTATCCAGAGCATAGCAGACATCTAACACTTACGTATAGACATTTCAATGAGGTGTCAGGGAAGTATTGATTTGTGTACAAAAGTGTGTCGAGGATAGGGAGCTAAAGTATGCGGGGAGGAATTTCTTCAGGTCGTCTTTCCTGCGCCAAGAGATTTGCTCTCCCAGCTCTACAATATACCCTACGTCTGGATTGTGTGGAGAAATCGGATACAAGGCAGTGATAATCGCAAGACTCAGTCTGTTAATATCCTGGACTACAACACTGTAGAGCTCACTGGGTGGGCACGAGTGCCGCCCTACCTGAGAGCGACATCACTGGCTTTCACTGCCACCAGCTTCTTTTCTATCCTTGCACTCCAGCCAGGTCGCTATTGCAAGCTCCTCCTCTGCAAAAAGGCCTTTCTTCGCTTTCTCTCGCTTTCTACACCTTCTTAATGCCTCCCCCTTTCTCAAGTCTCGTGCCTAGTTGCCTCGTCTTCACACGTCTCTCTTCCCCATCCATCTCTCCATCCAAACCTCGACCATTTTTCCCAAGAGCCCACTCTCAGTCACCTTTGGCGCGTTCCTGAGCGCTGGACTCGCTTTCTCAGCCTCACCAATCTCAAATACGACCTCCGAGTTCGCATTGTTTTCTGCAAAATTCTCAGCGAAGAAATCTACAAGCTTGATCGCTGGGTTGCGGTTTGGATCGGCTGCTTCGCTTGTTTTACCACCAGTGGAGGAGTGAGTATCAGCGGACAAGCTGCGAAGTCGGTCAAGCCAATCTTTGAACGTAATATTTTCGAACGCCGACAAATCCGTTGCGTGGAGGGCGGAGCAGAGGTCGGGCGTCCACGAGAAGGTATGGGGAGAGCGGAGGTTGTAGAATAGCTGCCCTTCCCTCTCACTGACTGCAGCTGCCGCTCCGCTCGTCTGTCCATCCCTCAACATAACGACCTCAAGCACAGCCTCCGCCAGCGTATCGACAGGCAACCACTGACATGGCGTGTCCATTTCCGGCAATACGCCCATGGTGACTGCGCTTCTGATAATCAACGGAAAGGCTTCGGTATCATTCCACACTCCTGCTTTCGTATCGCCAACAACCTGTCCAATCCTCAGAACCGTCGCCCTCGCACCATGGTTCTCAACGGCAGCTTGAACGATTTGCTCGCCGACGAGTTTTGAAGCCGCATACCCCGTCAGCGAGACCTGCTCTAGGGACTTGATTGGCGCTTCAGGAATACGTGTGGGACCAGGTGTGCCGAGTGCAACGGAGATGGAGCTGCAGAAGATGAGTCTTGCAGGCATGGGGAGGGTGCCGGAGAGAGACAATTGGATCAAGTTTTGCAAGCCGTGAAGAGAAGGAATGAAGGAGGCAAGGCCGAGTTGGAAGTTTACGGGCCAGGCGCAATGGATGATGTGGGTTGTTGATGACTTGAGAGTTGTGTAGTCCGCAGGGCTGAGGCCGAGGTGCGGATCGCTGAGATCGGAGGCGAGGATTCGAAGCTTGGGCGAGCTGAGAGGTGGAAGTCGTTTATCTTGAAAGGATTTCTGGAGTCGTGGGAGAGGATCGGCGCCACGAATCAGGCAGTAAATTTGTGAGATGGTCGGTTGATTGAGAAGGAGGGAGAGGATGTGTGCACCTACGCCGCCTGTCGCGCCGGTAAGGATCTGATCCGTGGTAAGCCTCTGATACTTAGCCTGGGGAAGTTCTACGACTTACAATAGTATGCGTTTTGCAAGTCTCGTTGGCGCCTGGTATATGTTTCTCGAACGCCGAGAACTTTGAGATAAGATCCTTCATCACAGCGATCGGCTTCTCCTTTACGACGCTCCGGGATGAGCGTACATCTTCGAGATGTTTGGCAAGATTGGCAATGTTGCCGTTCTCGAAAACGAGGTTCTGGCTCAGTTTCCTACCATTGCCGCCGAGGTACAGGTCGCGGAGAATAAATCCTCGCATCTGTATGGCTTGCAGACTGTTCATGCCCAGCGTGAAGAGGTCGTCTTTAGGATCGGAAAGTTGTGGGCCAAGAATTTGCTGGCCCAAACTCAACAGGTGTGTTTCGAGCTCAGCACCATCCATGATAATTGTACCCTCCTGACACACGTACGCCTCTTCTATCTCTTTTGCAAACACGTTGTACACCTGAGCGCGAATAACACTTCCTTTATCCGTCAAGGGAATGGACACGCCAGCAGGCATAGGCACTATCATGTCCACTCCTATTTGTGAAAACCCTTCAGCAACGCAATTCGCAGCATCAACAATAGGCCAGACAGTTTCGATAAAGTCTTTGTCCCCAAGGTCCTTAGCGGTTTGCGACCTGAAAACCAGCAGTCCAGGGATGACTCGTCCAATCCCGAACACCACAGCCTCCCTCACCATTTTATGTTGGCGGATGCTACCTTCAATAGGCAGCGGTAAAACCTTTTCACCGTTCATTAAAGTGACTCTGTCGTCTATTCTCCCCAAAAATTTCCAGGCGCCGGGAATGGTTTTGTGGGGGGTGAAGATGTCCCGAGAATGGAAAGAGTTGGGCGGATCATCTGAATTGCTTATGTTACGTCCAGGGTGGTTTTTGAGGAACACGAACTCAAATGTGTCTGCCGCGATAGGTTTGGGATAGATATCCTTCATCAGTGCTGGCGGCGGACGAAGGTAATTCCATGCTTTGTCGTCGGCGGGCCGACCTATGGAGGTGCCGAGAAACCCACATTCGGAACTGTGCTTTAGTGAGTCTTTCTTCTAGTGTTTGATGATCATGTGATAGCGCAAGGAGCAGGGATCCTCAGACTGAATGATACTGGTGGACTCACGATCCCATAAGAGTTGCGAGATTCACCCCTTTCTCCACCAATTGGTCACCCAAATCATCGGGACATTGGCTGCCTGTGAACACTACCTGATCAATTTGTTTTAGGGCGTCAATGCCACTCTTTTGCTCCGCAAGCAGCTTTAGGACATATGGGACTGCGCATAGAGTGCCCGGTCTTGCTTCTCGTATGGCTGCTGTCAGACCTTCGCATGTCAGGGGCAAATGCGGGTTCAGAAAGAAGACCGTTTTTCGCTGATACATTCTCGCTGGGCAGACGTATAGTGCAAAGCTGTGATACCTTTGAAACATACGTCAACCCAATTCTAACGATTGAGGGATAAGGAACCTACAAGGGTAATGTCACGAAATCGCGATCTCCAGGTCCAATAGCATACGCCATTGTGTATCTCTCATGCACGACTTCAATCGGCTTTGGCAGACCCGTCGAGCCCGAAGAGTGCGAAATAGTAGCTGGTCGTCTTCTCTCCTCGGCCACGTCAATGTCTCTCTCAAAAGGAGGCGCGGGACCCTTAGGCGTGTCATAATTGTGGCGAGAAAGAATGGGTAGAGTCTGTAGGGACATTAAAGACACTACTTCGATCATGACCGCTAAGAGCTTTGGTGATTCATGGTAGATGAGGCATTCACAATGCGTTTCCTGCATCAGCTTCACGATCGCTGGCGCGGATAGTCTTGGAGATAAAGTTAGGACGGTGTAACCTGCTCGCGAAAGGCCAAAGAAGGAGACCACCCATTCTAGATTCGTGGGACCGAGGAGAGCTACTCTGCTCAAACCCGTTGGCTGGTGAGACCGATCAGTATTCTGCTATATAGGTACTGGCATTTGTTGGGCCAGTCTTCATCGTTTTGACGCACCGTTTGTATATTCGCCTTTGCGTAATGCCAAGCAGCTGTATCAGTAAAATGGTCGAGGACTCTCCCTGTGAAGTATTCGTAGTCTGCAAAACCCGACTTCGGGAATGCCATCAGAGGTCTTTGGATAGGGTCTGCTGCTCGGTGCCGAAAGACCTCGTGTAGAAGCTGGAATCTAGAGAGATCAATCTCTGGATTCTCTGCATCATTGTTGGACATTTTGAACGACAGTGGTTAATGTCGTCGCTTTCACTGTGGCAGGAGTGGGTGCATATGGGATCTAGCAAACTGTTCAAAACAGCTTGTTCAAATTCAGAAAGAGATTTGTTAACCCTTGTTATGACTTTGTAGTGGGCTATTAGGGTGGTACGGAAGTGAAGCTGAGGAGACACGCGAATGCACGGTCGTCGGCTCTAAGCTAACTCCGCGTTGGTGTAAGGATTCCGATGCTTGTGCCCTTCACTGTAAGCATAATGGAAATGGTACTCCTGGACTGGTACGCCCAGACAGCATGCCATTGTTACTCGCGGGCCTGTTTGATCAGCGCCCCATCAGAATGTCGACCGGCGGCGCTGGTGGGGGTATGATCGAAACAGTATATCAACCTTGCAAATGCCACGAACAGCTACGTCAATAACAGTAACCGTAACGTTATACTACCCAACAATGCAAGTCCTTCTTCCTTACCCAAGAACCACGGTCCTTGGGTGATGCTAGCGCTCTTACCGTCCATCCATATCTCAGCCCAGATGGCATTCAGGGCTCTCGAGGTCGCGGTCAGCTGAGAAGGAGTTCCTGGAGAAGTGGATGCGTGGGTAGAAAGCAGTTGCCCTAGAAGTCTAGATGCTATATCAACTCGTACTAGCTGTGTAGGGGGCCAAGGCATTTACAAAGAGGAAGGGCATTCTGGCTACTACGATATGTCGTCAATATGTGGTGAGCGATACGGATGCATGTGCGATTAAATTTCTGTCGTGCAGATCTCCAGAGTCCAGGGTCCAATTTTAGCGTATGCAAAATCCATTGCGCTGCTTGGTACTGGAGACTTTTCGCCCTCAATTTTGTACTCTAGCCTTCCAATCAATATTTAATAATATAGCTGTTACTGTCAGAATAAGTCTTCTTTGATAACAATCAAGCTCTACTGAAGTCTTGGCAGGTTCCGTGGCCTCTTTATTCGTCATGCCCTTTCCCATTCATACTGCTGTCTACAGGGAAACTTCGGCCCGGAAATACCGAATTAATTGGCATATAAAAAACCACATCATTATAAGGCCCCTTTGCATATAAGATACCGTTCAAAATGACGGTTTTCAGACGTAGGCCATAATTAGACTGTAAGATAGGGGTCCTAGTAGCCTGCTGAGTAATGGTACTTTATTGTACTAGGCCCCCAGGGCAAAATCAGAAGTACCCTCACAGTAGCAAGGCAAGTAGAATAATAAGTAGTCGGAGTAGGTACAGGCCATTTGCGGTACACTACGCCCCCAAATCAGGTACCATCCCCCGTACAGAGGTATTTTCCCGTCTAAAAAGAGCGTCTCTTCGAGCTCTCTGATTGGCGACAGCGAGCTTAGTAAGGCCATTGACTAGCGCCTTAGGCCATACGATACCACAGTGTTATAAGGCCCCTTTACATATAAAATACGGTTCCAAACGATGATCAGATGGACGCTTCGGCTATATGGTAGTATCTTATATGCCAATTAATTCGGTAGAGTATAAAGTTCCGACCCACCACCATTCAAAAGAAGTCTAAGTACTGAGTCTATACCCGCTGCGCCGCGCTGCGCCGAGGTCTTTATAAGCTACATTGCCTGTGGTGGTGCCTGCACCAGTCAGTGCAGTGTTAGCTTGTACTCGGCGGCGTCTAGCTGCGTAGCTAACGATAATGCGCCTAACGCGCCGCAGGGCAGATTCATCGACAGCGGTCTACCTATGTAGCTCCAGCCGTTTATCCTACACATCTCACTGCAGTCCGCTGACACGTCATTTTCAGAGACGCGGCACAGACGTCGTGTCGCTGTCTGGAGCACTTGCACAGCTCGAAAAGGGCATTGGCTGGGAAAGTAACAATGTCTCATGGCTCTTATGTTCCCGGTCCAGAAGACAAGGCGTGCGAGCACTGAAGGTAGGTCGAGTTTACCATTTGGACTACCTGTTCGTGGCTTTCTCTCTTCGCCCTCTGAAACAAAGCTACCCGACGTCTAGAGGCGTGGATCAAGAAATTCACGTCATTTAAAAAAGATGTAGCATGGGGGCGGAGAAAACGAGTTCACTAGATTGTTTCATTTCTTCGTTTGGTCTCCCAATGCGGCACAAGCGACAGGTATCTTGGGAGATCTTGAATTCTACAGTATTTTGGCGGGAGAAAGCTTGGTGAGACATGCAATAGAGGAGAAAGAGAAGAAAGGCACAGCAGTTGCCCATGCACATAAAAGAAGGCGAGTCCCTCTTCTTCTACATCCAATATCGGCAGACACAATTGTCCCCATTCTTCAACTCCCTTTGACCGCCTGAAACACACTTACAGCACTAGCCCCTCTGGGAACACTTGAGTACTCCGCCATGATGTTGATCAAGAGACTTCCGTCCCTAAACCTCATGGGGATTTGCCTTGCACGCCTAGCACTCGCCTACCCGTCAGCTGAGGGAAGCTCCGACTCTAACCTGCTCTTCAAGCGAGCGGGCACCACCGCACAATTAGGCGACTATACTGGCAGCACGAGCTCCTACCCCGACGGCTCCGGAACATATGTAGACTCGAAAGACCAAGGTACCTACGCCAGCGGAGTCAAATGCTGGACCGACATCGTAAGACCTCACCTCATCCCGTTCTCATTTTCTTTCAAAAAGCCATAAGGAAATATAGCAGCACTGACCCTGCATAGTTCTACGTCACCAACGAATACCAAGCCCAAGCCTGGACACCCATGAAAGAAAACACAATCGACTGCGCCCTCACCAGCACATGCGCCTCCAGCTCCCAGGACGCCGTCCAAAATTGCGGCTCCTGGAGCATCACCTGGGGCAACGAAATCGAAGTCGATATCATCGAAAAAATCGGCCTCGAACTCCAAGAAAATATCGACAATACCTGGCTCAAGAGCAAGTGCGTCACCGCTACTGTGCTTAATACTTGCACTTGGGATGATAAGTTGTGCCATGCCCTTTGGACTAGTAGTGTTGTGCAAGTTTTTGATGGCTACATTCGCAGGAGGTGTAGCGGGGGCCGGAGTGGGATCACGAGTCAGCCCGATTATACGGCGTGGAGTAAGGATTATAGCTGGACGCAGCCGAGTCCGCAGACGAGGCTAGGGTGTGGGGCGTTGTGTGATGAGACTACTTATCCGGAGCCGGTTCCCTCTGTAGGGTCGACATAGTCAGGATGTGGACGAGGCTGACGCGGAACTCGGTAAGTGGGTACGGGCATATAAGGCTTTGACTGATGATGGAAGGCTCTCGATTGGAGAAGTCTTTGTTGATTGTGAGGACGCTGTAATAGTACTTCTTTCTGTGCTAGATCTTGACAATTGAGGAATTGCGGACTGCGTTGAGGTATGACTCCAAGGAACTTAGCTTCTCTGCTTTCAACCTAGTCCTTAACGCACATGAAGGCGTGATCCTATGTATTTTTCAGCCCTCTTTGTCGAGGTGAAGTAATGACGAGGCGCTTGTTGGGAGGCTATGGGGGGGAAAGTGAGCGGAACAGAGGTCATGGAAAAAAGTACAACTTCGACTGACTTACACGCTTGCTCGTCTATCCACTTTGTCATTAGACGGACTAATGGCTCTCCAGCGCAAGGGCCGGCTTCTACGGACAGGGAATTGCCCTGCTATCGCCACCGCCGCCAGCTTTTTCCTCAGCGGAAGCGAGGTCGCAGCCTTGCGGGCAGTCGTTATCCAGTACCCTCGGCTCGCCTATAGACCGTCAGCCTCGAGAGCAGGTCATCGATACTTGACTCGGCCTTGCCACAGCAAAGACTCCGGGAAGGTCATGTTCATTGCCATGCCTTGGATCGTTGCTGTGATCCGATGCGGGCTTTCTACACACAACAGTCCAAAAGATCGAAGCCTTCATGTCAGTTCCATAATATCCGCGCCGCACCCTCGGTCTTGAGAGCTTTGGGTCGCATGCACGAGAAAGATTGGCTCTTAAATTCCGTCACTGAACCCGGAGGAACTGCCCTTGAACCTTGGGAGTGTTTATTTGCTCAGCACTGCTCAGCACACAGTTCCGAATGGAAGATTGTGTCCTACAGCGATCGCCTTTGGGGCTGAGACAGATATCCATCCACTCATGAAACTACCAGAAAGAAACGGCCGGACAAAGTCAAGGAATTGAAGAAGGCGACGCAATTAGTACCCTATGAACTGGCGCCTTTCGGATATAATGTCTTGGCATTACGAGTAGGCTGACCCCTGAATTTTCTAAGCGCTTCGCAATTTGCATGACACGGTTAGCCACCCGCCTTTCCTCTGAACGTCTATCTGGCTGAGGTCCTGCTGCTGGGCGTCCTTCTCCACGGCATCAAACTAGGAATTACAATCTCCCTGTCCTCAGGTGTCAACCAGGCCATGGCTCTTAGAGAGATCCTGACAACCTCCTACGATCTCAGTATGTCCCTTTCTTTTCATGCCTGAACATCACCATCATCAGCCTCCTCATTCACCCATAAAGTACCCGCGAAACCAGTCAACCTTGTGCAATTGGTAGCGTTCATTTCCGTATGCACTGTATAGTTCCCTCTTTTTATCCACCAGTAAGAAAGTCGTAGAGGTCAACATACCTGGCATGGACGCGGGGATACAGCCTAGGGATCAAGCAGCATAGGTTCTGGGCCAGCGTCCTCGCTTTATCAAATCCTGTGGTACCCCTATATTCTTAATCATTGGGAAACAAAAAAGTTCCCGCAAGCACCCCCCCTCGAAAATTGAAAAATGAAACTTCAGGAATAACTTCACAACGATAAATTACAATTTTCTAAAAACTTTATAACTATAAGAAGATATAATAAAGACTAAGATCTTTAATTTTTGAAATATTCTTATTATCTGCTGTATAGTAAAATAAAAATCTATCAAATTCTTAAGATTTTTTAGATAAGTCTTGGCGATTATAGAATAGCCGAGGTAACGTCAAGGAAATGGATGACTGGGTCATGAATTCATGGTGGTGTAAAAGATGTTGATTATTCTATGTGCCCGCAGGGCAGATATGTGCGGTGCCAAGCCACGCTAGGCCCAATTGGGTGGTGGCTCTGGAGGAGGCCTTGGCGTACCGTGACAACATGCCCGCAAAGAATGAAAAAAAGACACGTCCTCGTGGCTGCATCCCTGGATAGCTACATCAAGCGTGCGCCGTCTATATGTCTATGCACCTATCCTTGGCCTATAGCCTCCATATCCTTCGCGAATCGAATATAGCCGAGCGGAGAGGCGAGTTGAGAGGCGAGTTGAGAGGCGAGTTGAGAGGCGAGTTGAGAGGCGAGAAGAAAGGCGAGAGGTGAGGTAGAAAGTGGAGCACTGCTGAGGCGAAGGGAAGACTCTCTGCCAAATTGTATGGTGGCCTGGTGTGGAATTGTGGAGAGTGTGCCCGCTTGAATAGGACTGCTGCTGCCCGTGCTCTTGTTAATCTCCGCAGTTTTCTCCGTAGTTTTCTCTGCAGTTTTCTCCACATTTGCCTGTTGCAGATCGAAGTATCCCATCTCCTCCGCTCGTAAGTGGCCTGAATTTGTATGGTAGGACGAGTCGTTCGTGTGAGAGAGTTTCTGCTGGTTTATTTCAATGCTGGGAAGCGGAGTCGCATTGGGATACGGAGTAGGATTGGGAGATGAAGTAGGATTTTGGTATTTTGACGGCTTGGTGGGAGGTGCTTGGCACGAGTTCTCCGCTTGTTTCTCCGCTTGTTCCTTTTGTTCCCTGACTTCGTGGCTGTGGGCGATACGATTGAGTGCGTAGGTCATGAGGTTAAATGGCGTAGGGACGATAGGGCTGTAGTAGGCCATAGCGATATGTCAAATGGCCTATTGAAAGGATTGACTGTGTGGTCTGGTAGGCTGGTGAATAGCCTAATTGTCTGATTGCGTAGACTGAATCTAGCTGCGTAGCGGAAGCGCGGGGGGGCTGACTGTCGGTATATTGTGACTACTGGTCGAGTGACGATATAGACGACTTGAAAGAGGACCTGGGTTAGGTGTGGCTACCAATTGTCAAGGAAATGGATGACTGGGTCATGAATTCATGGTGGTGTAAAAGATGTTGATTAAGGTATTCTATGTGCCCGCAGGGCAGATATGTGCGGTGCCAAGCCACGCTAGGCCCAATTGGGTGGTGGCTCTGGAGGAGGCCTTGGCGTACCGTGAGAGGTAACTTTTCAACGTAAAGCGTAGATTTTTAATTTATATTATATCTTACGATATCGAAATTAAAATCTTTTCAAATTCTTAACATTAAGTATTCAGTATTATGAGAAAACATTATAAAAATTTTAGATTATAAAGAGTGGTGGTTGTGAAGATATTCAAGAAATTTCAATCTTTGGTTTTCGAGGGGGGGGTGCTTGCGGGAACTTTTTTGTTTCCCAATGATTAAGAATATAGGGGTACTCGGGCCATATGCCGGGAGGGATTGCATATGACCAGCGATGAACGCAACGACGCCATACCATACTCTCAAAGTAGGTTTTGGATCGTGTATTGGCAAAAACGCCCTGGAGAGGAGGATCATTTTTCGCCGCGGTCCAAGAGCAGCTTGAATAAGTTCAAAATGGGTGCCGGGAGCCAGAACAGGCAGAGCAACAAAAGTCAGGCAGGTACTGCGGGGTATGCGTTTATATAAAATTATGAATTGCAAATTAAATAAGAATGCTTGGCAAAGCTGATTCAGCTCCGCCTCCGACTTTTTGTTAGCGCTATTCATAGAAAATTATAGAGAACGTACTTGCCACTCTTGCAATAGCCATTGTCGTCTGCTACCTCAGTTGAATATTCGTAATATCGAAGCTAGTGGGTATACACGCTTTTCCTGGTGTTTTGCCTCTGACTTAGGCGTGTAATAGCCATATCGCCAGCCCTTACTCCGGACGCGATGCCATCATTCAGAAAGGATCCCTCTGCCAGCGTGCCCAACTCTTGCTCGAATCTTATTGGCGACCTGAAGCCGTAGCTGCGGATGCCTGTTCCAGTGTATCGACGCGCATGCAATCGATATTAGTGGCTATGATAGATTTACGGTGGAGCGTTTCAAGTAGAGCACTGCAGGCTACATATTTGACGGCGAAATTGAGACATTTGAACGAGATTTGGAGCATTTAACTATGGAGATAACAGAGTAGTTATAATAAAATACTACGTAATATCAATCAAAATCCTTCATCTTCTCTATGACCTTCTCCCTGACCTAATCGTTTCAGAGCATAAGCATGCTGATAAGTCTCCCTCCATAAGGCCTTAAAGACGGATATATCTCTTTTCAAGTCTCGAAGAAGACCATGAGGTAGATTCTTACTTATTGCATACTTATAGATATCTATATAGAAGCTTCAAAAATATGGAGTGGGCTGGTACAAGAGTGGCAAGTACGTTCTCTACAATTTTCTATGAATGGCGCTAACAAAAAGTCGGAGGCGGAGCTGAATCAGCTTTGCCAAGCATTCTTATTTAATTTGCAATTCATAAAAGCGGCAACCTCTGAGCGAGCCAAAGCTCGCCGCGATCTTCACAAAAACCCCACACAACTGTCACACAAACTCTGGTGGCCAACGCGTTCGCAACGGCACAGAGCACCCACCATGCCCTTCGCCCAGCTGATCATCGGCCCCCCGGCTCCGGCAAATCCACCTACTGCGACGGCATGCAGCAATTCCTCTCCGCCATCGGCCGCAAATGCTCCGTCGTGAACCTCGACCCGGCCAACGATCGCACGTCCTACCCCTGCGCGCTCGACGTGCGGGACCTGGTCACGCTTGAAGAGGTCATGGCGGAGGAAGAGCTGGGGCCGAACGGGGGAGTGCTTTATGCGCTTGAGGAGCTCGAGCATAACGGAGAGTGGTTGGACGAGGGCTTGAGGGGCCTTGGGGAGGATTATGTGCTGTTTGATTGTCCGGGCCAGGTGGAGCTCTTTACGCATCATTCGAGTTTGAGGAATCTTTTTTTAGGATACAGAAGCTTGGGTATAGAGTCCGCTTTTCCCTGCAGCCTTTCTAGAGTGTCGATGCTCGAGCAGATGAAGCTGATTTTTTGGGGTGGCTTAGCTAGTAGCACTGCATCTGACGGATTCATACTGTCTCACACTGCCTTCGCTATATATCTCGACGCTCCTGCTTTCTCTGAGAGCCATGCTCCAGATGGACCTTCCACACCTTAACGTCATGACAAAAATCGACAAGCTCGCGAGCTATGGACCTCTTCCGTTTAACCTGGACTTCTACACAGAAGTCCAAGACCTCTCATACCTGCTCCCTCACCTAGCGAACGAGAACCCAGTGATGCGGCATCCTAAGTTCGAAGGTCTCAACAACGCAGTCGTCGAATTGGTGGAAGATTTCGGACTCGTAGGCTTCGAGACCTTGGCGGTCGAGGATAAGAAGAGCATGATGACGCTGCTGCAGGCTATTGATCGAGCTGGAGGATATGCATTTGGTGGTGCTGAAGGAGCGAACGATACGGTGTGGCAGGTTGCCATGAGGGAGGGGATGACTGGGATGACGATCCATGATGTGCAAGAGCGGTGGATTGATCGAAAGGAGGAATTTGATGAGTTGGAGGCGAAAGAGCGGGAGGAAGAGGCTAGGGCCCAGGAGACGCCGCCGTTGACTGAGGACGGTGGAGAGGAGGATAGTGATGTTGAAGAGATGGGTCCTGTCCCTGACAGCGGCGTGAAGGTGCTGCGGCGATCATGATGCTCAGTGTTGGTCTTTGCATAGCGATAGGCGTTGGTCCCGCGAAAACAGCGTTTGATCATTGGGTTGTGCATGTCCCGAAGAAATCTCGGTTCCAGTCTGTTCTCTCGCAACTCGTTCAGCTTTCTCCGTCGGATCCCATTCCCATCTCATCATCCTCGTCTGAAACATCTGATCCAGCCGTCATATTTTTCTCACCCTGCAACACCCCTTCGTCATCTTTCCCCAGTATCCCCAAGAGCCCATCCGTACTACTCTCACCGCTCTCCCTTTTCGCCCGCAGTATCGCAGCTCTAGCCCTCCTGATAGCTTCCTCCTCAGCCTTCTTGATCGTACCAGACACCCTGACCACCTGTATCGCGCAGGCTCTCGGTTGCCCCTGTTTAGACGTCTTTGTTAGCTGTGTCATGAAGGACAGAGCGGCCCACACGAGTCGGTAGTGTGCGCGAGAGCAGCGGACTATGGCGGTGGAGGTTGCGGGGGAGAGGTATTTGACTGGATTCAGCGTCAATAAAGGGTCCATCAATTGAGGGGGGTGGAATTTACCGTTTAGACTGCTAGATACGAGACCGAGCCCATAGTCTCCGTATAGTAATAGGACCTGGTCTCTGATTGTCCGCGCGAGGAGCTGGGGTGTCAGGTCGTTGGGGCTTGGCCTGTGGAATTGGACGAGGTCTGGGAGTGCTTTTTCTGGGGATTTGGAGGGAATCTTTCCTTTCGGTGGATCTGCTGGGTCTGGGTAGAGAATATGGACGAGAAGGTAACGGTGTTTTATGCGGACCATGACTGGTACGAGATTGAGATTCGAAAACCGTATGAGGCCTTGGGAGTCATGTGCTAGATTTGAGCGCCGGGTAGCCATAGTGGAAATTCTCGAAAATTGTAGGGTATTTGACTAGATTCATAACGCTATTGCTGCTGCTGCTCTCCCTCTCGTTGTCTCTCAGCCTGCTCTCCATCCTTCCTTGCCTTTATCAACCCCAGACCCACAAGATTTGCAAAATCCATACCCACCTCACCAACCATTCCCGCATTCTCGATAGCCTTCCCCAAGCAATCGTTCCAATACGCGCAGCCAGCCCTCACACTGCCCAATTGCCTCTCTAGTAGCGCGTTAAACTCGTCCAACCTCTCCTTTGCCCACTGAACACAGCTGCTCATCATGACTGGCGGAAAACACAGCTGATAGGTTTTCACGGTGTTACGGATCAAAGAGAAGTAGACATAGGAGAGCTGGTTGATGTGCCGAGGTAAATCGCCTTCAAACATGATGCTGCGAGCGCGGATGTGGATGAGATCAGTGCGGGCAGCGAGATAGGTGGTGCGAGCAAGGGGGGTGAAGTTGAGACGGACGAGATAGGCGATGTTGGCTTGGGTTGCCGTCAACTGCGCGTGAGTGGCTGTGAGGCGGAGGGCAAGGATGTCTGTATCATATCAGTCTTCGTTTGTGGGATAAAGAACCCAAAAGTACTGACCTGCAAGCTTCCTAGCCCTTTCATCAACCTTGGTGCTGATAAGGTCTTGGGCTAACATGTTGCCCTTGAGACCTTTGGCTAGTTTCCTAAGTTTCTCAACATGCCGAACAGCGTCTTCGAATTTTTGCAAAGCCACCTCGCTGTCAAGCTCGTCGATCTGACCCTCGACCCACCGAAGGTTTTGGTGCTTACCGTCCACATCGATTAGGATTTCGGGACGGTCTTTGGCGCCACTGAGTGATCTCAGCAGGTTTGTTTTGTTGGACAGGGCTGGGTCTCTGGTGGTCAGATAGTCTATAGTCTCCTTGCTCTTGTTGACGTTTTCTTCCATATCTGCTTGCAGGGCCCTCCGCAGCTCATCAACAGTCCTCCGGAAAGCCTGTAAAAGGTTCATCTTCTCCGTAGTCGATGACTTGTCGCTACGATACGTGAAGGACTCGTGGCCGTATCTAACGCTGATTGCGTTGGACATTGCACCTCGGTCGCCAATACCCGACGATCCAACAGATGCAAGGTCGACCATATCGATATCCTGCAGAGGCCAGCATTTGTCGGCAACTGTCCTTGAAGAGCTTTTTTGCCCGGCATCGCCAGTAGTCATAGCATTGGGATCTATTCGCCGCTTCCTCTTAGTTGCAACCATCAGATGGTCGTTCAGAAGAAAAATATGCGCATAACGCTTTGCTTTCCAAGTAGCAGCATCCAACTCCAGCCAAGTACTCTGCTCCAGAACCACGTGTCTGCCGGGTATAGCGGGCAGGAACTTCTGCGACCCCTCGACATTTTTCCACAGTGCATGTAATTGGGTATTCCACATCGCCTCCAGGTTTGCTACCGAGCTCCTGTTTGCCTGCTTGCGAGCTCTTGACCTTGCACCATCATCCGATGCGGCGCGCGGTTCTGATGCTCCAGCATTCATTGAAGCTTGGTTGAGAGAGGTCGTAAGCTCGGAGATAAGGCCCCGAAGTGTCCGCATCTCCCCTTTAAGCTTTTCCGCCTCTTTAGAGATCTTGATAAACTGTGTTCGATTTTGGTACACATTCTGCTGTAGATCGGTCGAGGTGCGATTTTTGAGCTTTCGAAGACTTGCTTGATAGTCTCGAAGCTCTTGATCAGAGGCGTCTGATAGCAAATTTGTAGAATAGCTCTCGATCTGCAGGTCAGGGTCCTTCAGGGCATTCGCATCTATTTGAAGCTGCTGATTCTGTCGTGCTGTTGATGGACGAGAGTCAGATTGGGCAAATTGGGCAGGCAGGGTCGGAATGGATGGGACAGGTGGCGCGTCAGCATTGCTGAAGTCTGGAAGATTGGTGAAGCGTGTTGAATATCTTCTCTTGACAAGGTCAGAAGTATTAGCTGTCGAGGTCTCGACTCTGCCGTTCACGTTTGGACGAGTAGGACCCCGGGAGACTTGGGGGATTGTCTGAATTGGACCAGATATCTGCTTCGGCACGGCTTGACGTGACTTCTTCTGGCGTAAGGAAAAGCCTTTCCCCTTGTCCTCCATAGCGCCCGAGCCTGCATCGCAATGCTAAAGGGAGATGCCAAGCGCAAGATGAAGCCTGGGCGATATGTCGGGAGAATTTAGCGCCGTGTCTTGGCGGTAAAAGACTGCCACTTTCAGAGGAATAAGCACGCTTACCCTCACCTACCTTTCATCCTTCTACTTCTTATATTGACCCTGAATAATTACATATCTGAAAAGCGTATTGAGTACTCAACTTTCTATTATATTATTGTAGAATGGTGAGTTATAATTAGTTCGAATTTTAGAAAGTGTATCAATGCTTCTTTATGACGGTCAAGTGGATCGCGTTCGACTGATCGTGAAAGTCCAAAGCGACTGCACATCGAATCCTTTTCTTGTCGGCCTGATCATGCTTCCGAAGTGATCACGGGATTGCCCATTCCACTGCTAAAGCTATCTACTCAAGAACATCTCCCATGCCCGACAAAAGGAACGTTACTCTCGCGACCACCCATCCTAATACCCAATAACCATTTGAATTAAGCATGGACTAAGTTGTTGAACAATGAATGAAATAATGATGTTCATTGGACAACTAATAATGATGTACTCTGATTATCGAATAAAAATAAAATAAAGGGTTTACTCTTTAACCTAGTTGGAAGTCTTCGAGCGCTCGATCGCAGCCTTGGTCGCTTCATCAATGTCCTCCTTAGGCAAGTCGAGCAAACTATTAAGCGTGCCCTTGTTGTGCTCGAAGTCACCGCAACCGTCGGGAAAGAAGACTCGGGTAATCATCATCTTGGCAAAACCAATGCGCTTGCCTTCCTGCATCTCCTTGATACCGCTGGAGTACCGCTCCTGAGCTGGCTCTTTTGTGATGGTCCAGTCGTTTTCCTTGGTACCAGTCACGCGAAGAGCGGACTCCAACATATCTTTCTGGCTGACGGTGAAGGACTTGACATAGACTACCTTGTTCTTGAAATTCTCAAGGCAGGCTTCTTTGTTCGAGCCTTCGGGCTTAATGGGCAGACTGAGAAGAGCGCCGACAGCACGACCAACCTAGCAAGAGTTAGTCGCTTGTCACAAAAGTGTTTGACAATTGTAGGCGTACCTGTGGCCGCGTTGAAGTAGAGATCTTGGTCTCACCCTCGTCGAAGAGAGTGACGATGCGGTTGGCAAAGTCGATACCAAAGCCCGCAGGAATAGCCAGACCCCACTCATACCAGAAGCCGGTAGATACAGCGATGTAAGAACTCTTGCCAAGATCTGCGATGGCCTTGCGAGTGTCCACTGCAAGCACAACAGTCTGTGGTCAGTGAGTGTCTTATATGGTGCATATACAATGAGATTGCTCACCCTTCGGCTGGAGAAGAAACACGTCTTTGACCATCGCCTCGTTCGCGGTGTCTGGGGACCATTCATTCGGCAGAATCCAGGCCACGCCAGCCTCACCGGCGGCGTTGATAAGCTGCATCTCGGTCTCTTTTGGAACGGAATTACTCAGTGTGATGACCAGCGCATCTTGGCCTCTGAGTGCCTCAACGAGTGTCTCCGGCTTATTGTAATCGACCTTCTTAGGAATCACGCCTTCTGGCAACTTGTTCTGGCTATCGACCCGTGTAATTGCCGTAATGGTGTGCTTGCCAGTCTTGAGCAGAGCTTCAGTCATGAAGCTGCCGCTGTTGCCACCAGCCTACCTTTGTTAGTCGAATATTTGCAGGCGGAGCAGTGGATAGCATGATATCACGCACGCCAACAATGGCAACCTTCATTATGTGGTTTGAGGTTGCCATGGAGAAGACTGGTCGAAGTTGCAGTTATGTGGTTTGAAGATCGACGACAAAACTAGACCAGATACTTTACGTGGTTGGCTTCAGTCTTATTAACGTAAGATTTGCAGACCTGTGCCAATTGCTCTGTTTATCTGTAAAATATGAAGGTATATGTATTCGGTTCCCACTGAGTATGGCGCCAACGTTACTTGGCTTTGCTCGAAGAAGCAAGCCACGTTAATCTCGTTTTTGTCTTGTCTTACCCGTATCTTGTCTTGTATTGTCTTGAAGGAGAACGTCAGCTCGGCGACGCCAGATAAAGTGATGTAGCACCGACTACTAGTACACAAAACGACGGCAAGTTGAAGCTAGTTATCATTGAATAGCGCTTGCCCCGGGAAAATTCTGGTTATTGAAGGACAGGCATCTTATCAAACGTAAAAAGTGGGTGTTTTGATATGATACGGGAAGGACATTACGGAGCGAACAAACCAATTCGTAGGGCGGCGCTTACCCGAGGCCCAGTCGGGGTAGATTTATGTCTTCTTGGCGGTGTCGATCTGAGCTTACAAGAAATTTATGGCCGTTCAGAAAGATTGATATCAAACGTCCAACTTCTTCCTGGTCAGAGAGACTACATGAAAAGAGAGGTCTCTGTGCTATCAATTACTCTTACTTGTTCAAGACCTCCAGCATGTCTTCCTCTGTCCGGACATCTACGATTGTGATAGCTTCCGCTGGTGCTATCATAACCGGTTTCCTTGGTAAGTGATAGCACATGCTTATTCACATAGCATCTGCGGTAGCTAGTTGCTTTTTTATTTCCCCCCTTTCTCTCTTTACATATTGGCTGATCTTATTTGTACACAGCATACGCGGTCTACTTTGATCATAAGCGGCGGTCAGATCCAGAATTCAGAAAAGCTCTGAAGAAAGAGTCGCGAAGGGAAGCACGAGCTGCAAAGGAAGAAGCAGAGGCACAAGGCGTACAGCAGAAGCAGATCATCGAAGATGCTGTGAGCGCGGCCAGAGAAGAGGGGTTTCCTACGGATGTGGAAGACAAGGAGGCATATTTCATGAACGAAGTCGGGCAAGGGGAAGTTCTCTGCCAGGACGGTACGTTCAGCGTTCAGCTATGGGTGAAGCTTTGCATGCTAAGACCGACTTCCAGGTTCCAAGCAAATCGAGGCAGCGCTCTGCTTCTACAAGGCTCTCAAGGTCTATCCTCAACCACGAGACCTTATCCATATCTACGACAAGACTGTCCCGAAGCCGGTCATCGACATATTAGCAGAGATGATTGCTTTGGATCCGACCATCAGCGTTGGTCCCTTTGGTGGGGGGGGCCCCGGCCCGGGCCCCGGCCCCCCCCCGGGGGAAAAAAAAAAACCCCCCCCCCCCACAACAAAAAACCCCCCCCCCAAAAAACCTCCAAAAAAACCCCCCCACACCCCCCCCAACTTTGGGGGGGGGGGGGGTATTAAAAAAAAATAATAAAAAAAAAAAAAAAAATGAAAAAAATAAAAAAAAAAAAAAAAAAAAACCCCCCCATCAAAAAAAAAAAAGAGGGAGAAAGGAAGGGGGGAAGGAAAAAGGGCTCCCAAAAAAAAAAAGAAATTCAAAAAAAAACAAAAAAAAAAAAAAAAACCAAACAAAAAAAGAAAAAGGGAAGGAAAAAAAAAAAAAAAAAAAAAATAAAAAAAAATAAAATTTTGGGGGTAAAAAAAAAAAAAATAATAAAAAAAAAAAAAAAAACAAAAAAACTACCCTCAATACCCCCCTTTTTTTTATTGATTGATTACATCATACTACCCTGAAGTCTTACCCTAGTAGCCGACTATGCGAGTTACGTAATCTATCTAATCCTTTTAGCTAATTATATAATCTCAAATAAATAAGGCTATATAAGTCACCGTTATAGTTCTACGTCTTAAATACTTAATCCTTAAAAAGAGGTATATTCTATATCGCTAAGGCCCTTTCGTCTTAATCGTATTCTTCTTTTTAACCGCTTACTCTAGTAAATCCTTATTATTAATTCTTATTAAGGGCTTAATATTATTTAATAAGTCTAATACTTCTTATAAAGTTCGTCGCTATAGAGGCGTAGCGTAGTTTTATTAGCATATTCTTATAAGTAATAACTTTCTCTTTTATTTTTCTTCTTTCTTTAATTTATTATATTCCTCGCTTCTTATTAAATAGCCTATATTTATAAAGAATATATCGAGTTATCTACTTCGCTCTATACTTATATTCTTTATTCTCTATATCCGATATTTATCGATTATAAAGAAAGATCTTAAGATTTATTTTCTCGATCTTTATTTACGTTATTAGCGACGTTTTAGCGCGCTTAACTCTCGAATATAGAAATTATATTTATTTCGACGATATTAATTAAATTCTTCTAAGAATACCACCTCGCTTTTTATTAGCCTATTCGATAGTTTATTATTTTATCGCGTAATCTCTAATAGCTATCTTAATTATCGATATTATTCTTATCTATATAATTAATAATTAGACTATTTCGTTAGTATTTATCTTTACTCTTTTATTATAAATTACTCGCTCTCGCTAGCTAATAGCCTTCTTCACCTCTTTATTCGCTTATTTATTATTATTAATATTAATATATATCGAAATTTAGTATAATTCTATTACTACTTCGAGATATCTTAGCGAATTAATAATCTATATTATCTATATTATATAGATCTATTTTAAATACTTATTTAAATCTTCAATAGTCTAAATTAATATTTAATTATTTATATTTACTATAACTCTATTAAATTATAATCTTATTTAATATATAATTACTATAATTAGAGCTTAAAGAATATTATATAACTTCGCTAAGTATATTATATATTAGTCGCTTAAGCTTAAATAGATATTAAAAGTAGAATTAATATTTAATAATATAGCTAAAGCTCTCACCTTTTTATTAATCTTATTATCGTCTATATATATTATTATATAACTCTTATTAATTAATCTTTTAGCTAGTTCTTTAGCGACTTTCTTAATCTTATAAATTATTATTTTAAAAGACTCTTAGTCGAAGGCGACGCTAAAAAAGCGTAGTTTCTTAATCTTATTAATATCGTTATATTATTCTTTAAATCTATTAATATATTACTTTAATAGACTTAGTTTCCTATTCTTTTTAGATTTTCTTTTAAACTTTTATCGCTCGAATTATAACTTAATAATCTCGCTATATATTAAACTAATAGCGATTTATAAGATAGCTTTCGAGGTAATCTTATCTAGCTATTATTTAACTAATAGAAAGATATACTTTTATATTAAATACTAAAATAAATATAACCTTAAATACTTTAATTATCTTTCTCTTTATCTAAGATTAAATTCTTTATAATAATAAGAGATAAGTTTTATTATAGTTGATAATATTTTTGAGCTAATATTATATTAAGTAATAATATATTATTTATAAAATAATTATCATCTAATAGAGCTATCTTATACTCTTATAATTATTATCTTATATTAATTCGATAATTCTTACTAATATATCGATACTTTTAATAGTCTTAAATCGAATCTTCTTATTATAATAACTCTATAGAAGTTTAAAATTAATTTCGACTTCTAAATAGCGAATAAAGCGTCTTATCTTAATATATTATCTCTTATTAAGTTATAAAGAATAATTTAAGCTAAATCTCTATTTTCTATTAAGATATAGTAGTTAATATTTATTAAAATTAAACTTCGATTTATATCGTAACGCCTACTTTATATAAACTTCGTTATAGATTTTATAAAGAGCGTTATAGTTTTTCTCGATAAAGTCTTCTACTATTAGAAGATCTATATCGTTTATAAAGTTAATAACTATTATTTCTAAGTCGACGCAATTATTATATTTATTAATAAGATCTAAGTTATAGAAGAGATAAAGTATAGGCGATAGCGATAATTCTTAAGAAATTTCGATTACTATAGAAGTCTTTAATATAGAGTATTCGCTTATTTTTAATACTATTATTCTATTAAATAAGAATAATTCTATTTAATTAACTACTCTTATATCGATTTTTCGCTTTTAAAGATTATAAAGTAATCGAGAATAAGAGACTTTATTATATATATCTAAAACGTCTAATAATAATATTATAGCTACTTTATTAGAGTTTTAGATTTAATATATTCTTTCTAGAAGATAGTAAATATTATATTTATATAATCGCAATCTACGGCCTCTTATATATATAACTAGTAGAAGTCTATATATTTTCGCAAGATATACTATTCTTCTAGTAAGAATAAATTTTATTACCTTTTCTATAGTATTAAGTAGAGCTATTAGTTAGTATTCTTTAGAAATTAAATAATCCTTACCCGACTTCGAAAGGATAATTATTATTAATATTCTAAAGTGCTTTAGATAGTAGTTATTCGTTATATATATATTAAATATTCTATATAGATAAGAAAGTAACGATTTTAGAATCTTCTTAAGAATTAGATTAAGAATCGCGTTTTTCTCTAAGACTCTCTTTAACGATACTTACATTATAATCTTTCTTATCTTATTTATAATAATTATATTTATTAGATAGACTTATAAATATATTATATTAACGTTAATATTATCTAACTTCATCTATATTAATAATAAAAAGAATATTCTTATAAGAAGATCTACCTTTAAATCTAATTCGTTATATTCTTATTTATCTTTATTAAATAGCGAAGAGAGATATATCTATATTATAAGTTATTTTCTAATCTACTTAATCTTTTTCTATATTATTTATAGCGACTTATACGCCTTTACTACGAACTCTCTAAACGCCTTTCTAATAGTTCTCTTAATTAGATTATTTTTAAAGTTCTTAGCGACTTTATACTTATTTTATACTTTCTTTAAAAGCGTTATTCTTTAACTTCTTTTTAGCGATTTATAATATTTTTATACTTTCTTATATTCTAATATAAATCTTAATTTAGATTATAGCAATAATTTAATAATCGAAGTAAACTTCTTTATAGTCGCTTAAATAGAGTTAATAATAATTATTATTTAATAATCGATATTATCGTTAATAAGATTTTTATTATTCCTCGAGAAATTAATTAGATACTCTTTCGATATTATAGCTCTAGCGAGTATCTCTCTTAAAACCTCGATATTTAATTTATTAAAGTTTTAGTATATTATTAATACTAACTCTATTACGGCTAGCTTAAACTTTATAAAAATTAAAAGATAATTAAATTCGCTTTCGAAATTATTTTCGATATTATAATTAATAATATTTATTATTAATACTAAAGTAGCGAATAGTAGATCTATTATTATTTAATAGTTTTCTTTATATATTATTATTTCTATTAATAATACTTATTTTATAGCGAATTCTTTCGCTATAAGTATTAGTTCTTCTACTCTCTTATCGATATAAGTATTTAATTTTCTTTATATTATATAATAAAGATTAAAGTCGCCTAATATAATCTATTCGTTATTCTTAGACTTTATAAGCGTCTTATATAGTTCGTTAAGTTCGTTTATTTATTAATTATCAAGATTATAGATATTATATATATATATAATTCTATTATTTTTAAACTTAATATTAAGAGTATAGAGGTTTAATAAATAATATAATAAATATTATTACTTTAATAATATTCTCTTATTAATATAGAAGTATATTTATATATTATTATAATAGAAGTAGATTAAATTAAATCTATTCTTTAGAGAATAATATAATATATTTATATTAATATTTCTCTAGAGCTTCTAAATTACTACTATATCGATATTATAAATCTTTTTATTATCGAAGAGTTCTATTATAATTATTCTAAATTTTCTTATATTATATTATAGTATTAATAGCTAACTAAGATATACTATTATTTCTTAATATTATTATTAATATTACTTACTCACTCCGCCTAGTTTATAGAATTCATATTTTCTTTCTAAGTATTCTTCTTTTCTTAATTATCGATAAATCGAATATATCTCTTTTTATTTCTATTAACGAGAATCGTAATTCTCTTATTACTACTCTTTTAACTTAGAGACTATCTAGCGTCCTCGAAGTTATTAATTTCCCTTATCGCTATATTATTCTTATATTATTTAACTTCGTCTACTACTTTAAAGAGCGATTTATTTCTAGATAAGACCCTTATTAATAATATAGAAGTATATCTTCTTTTACTCGACTAAAGATTCGATATAGTAGTTCTTTCGAGATTTAATCCTCTAATTCCTTTTCTACTAATTATTCTATCTCTATCTACTAGTCTATTACGCGTAAATATTAATCTTAAAAAAAATTTCTTATTTCGTCTATAATTAAATATATTCTAAAAGTAATTACTTAATTAATCGCTTATTTAATAGCTAGTTAATACCTTCTTCGTTATTATAAATCGTAAAAAAGTTTATTATCTCGCTATTCTTATTCTCGCTATCTTTCTCTTCTTTATTATATATATCTTATTTTAAGCCTTATATAATTTCTCACAAATCGGGTATTTACGAGTGTCGATCGTATATTCTTTATAATAATACTTTTCTAAGTATTTCCCGTATACTAAGTAATTCTTTTTAGAATATATAATCGATAGATAATCGTATTTCTAATATACGAAGTATTACTTCAATCTATACTACTTATTATAGACGTAATAATTACATAGTTTTAAATCGATAACTAGATCTTCTTTTAATACTCTATTTTCTTTCTCTAGAAATACTAATTTAATAATTAATAAACTCTTATTATAACTCTCTTTATTCGCGTCAAATTAGTCTTAGTTATACTATATCGAGACTTAACATATTAGCATTCTTATTCTAAATTCTTTTAATTATCGTAGTTATATCTTTAATATTAAATATATTAATTCTTACTTTATAAAGTAGAAGACTATATATTTTAGTAATTACTCTTACGCTATTACTTATCTTTAAAGTCTAATTCTTACTTTTTCTTAGTCTATTCGTCTTCTTCTTATTTATAATTATAATATATATATCGTTACTCGCTAGCCTTCTAATCGTTCTAATAGATTTTCTTATAATATTTATATTCTTTATATATTTATTAATTATTATAATTATCTCGCTCGATATCTTTCTCTTTAATACTTTACTTATTATCTTATCTTATAACTTTATAATAATCTCATTTAGCTTATTATATAATACTTAATCTTATTTCGATATTATTAATAATATAATAGAAATTTCTTTAATAATAAAGAAGAATATTAAAAATTAATCTAATGCGCTAGCGTAGCTAGCTATCGATATATTACTTCTTAGACTAACTATCTAATACTTAATATATATAATCTTTTTCTTTATATTATTATCTCGATTACTTAAGTTAATAGCTAGTTTATATACTTTATTTAAGACTATCTAGATTTTAAATTTATTATTTACTCTTTCTATAAATATTATCGCCGCTCTAAAGAATAGTAACTACTTTATTTATTAATAGTTTCTAATCTTTATCTATTATTTTTAATATAATATTTATCAATAACTTTAATATAAATGCGTACTTCTTAAAATTATAGTTATTATAATCTTATTAAGGCTAGCTAGTCTTATTTAATTATATATTATAATTATAGATATAGACGTTCTCTAAAGTTAATTAAAGAGGTACTAGCCTTACTAAGTACTTTAAATACGTATCAGTGCCACATCTGACGCTGATCCTCTGAGCAATGGCACCAATTGTCTCCGTGACGCTGCCCTCATGCAACAGCTTGGTATTAACACGATTCGAGTCTACAATGTTGATCCGACCTTGAACCATGATCTCTGCGCCTCCATCTTCAATGCTGTCGGCATATACATGTTCATAGATGTCAATTCACCTCTGCCACTCCAGAGTTTGGATCCTGGGAACCTGGTTACCTCCTACAGCTCGACCTACTTGAACCACATTTTCAGTGTGGTGGAAGCCTTTGGGCAGTACCCAAACACTCTGGCTTTCATCTCAGCCAACGAAGTGATGAACACTATCGCCACTGGGCAGACTGCACCGCCATATATCCGAGCAGTGACCAGGGATCTCAAGTATTATATTTCCAAACACTTGAGTCGTCCAATACCTGTTGGCTATTCTGCGGCAGACGTTTCAGAGATCTTGACCGACTCCTGGAATTACCTTTCTTGCGACATCAACGGCCAGTCCTCCGATCTATCCCGCTCCGATTTCTTCGGCCTGAACTCCTATACTTGGTGTGGACCTACCAGCCTGACTGCAAACTACGATGCATCTGGCTATAACACCATCATCTCCACCTTTGGCAATACAAGCATTCCCGTGTTCTTCTCTGAGTACGGCTGCAACAAGGTGGAGCCTCGTGTCTTCGACGAAGTCCCCGTGCTCTACGGCAATATGACCTCCGTTATGAGTGGTGGTCTGGTCTACGAATACTATGAGGAGGACAACAATTATGGATTGGTATGGATTTACGACAATGGCACAGCTCAGCTACGAAACGACTACAATGCTCTTCAAACGCAGTACAACACTCTGGATGTCAAGGCTCTGCAGAGCATGGACTCTTCCGCTACAAGCGTCCAATCAGCGAATTGCAGTAGCAGTCTGATCTCCTCCAGCGGTTTCAATACCTCATGGACCCTTCCAGCTGTGCCCTCGGGTGGCCAAACGCTGATTGACAATGGCATCTCGAATCCGAATCAGGGTAAGCTCGTCAGCGTGACTACCACCACAGTGGCGGACACGGTATATGACGCAAATAGCAACGTAATCAAGAATCTGGCCATCAAGCCGCTCGCTGATGACGAGAGCAACACGCCAAATGGCAGCAATACCTCGGGCCAGTCTTCGTCGACAACAGCCGCAACTCCATCGCCTACAAAGAAAGGGGCCGCGGGTCGTAAGGAGATTGGGGTCTATGGACTTGTTGGGCTCCTGGCTCTGTCCTTTTTCTTTCAGCTATAGTGTTTTCTAATGGGGATCTCAGGGGTGGTCTTGGTACACAGCTAGGCTGAGAGTGCTCTTTAATATACACAGCGGAGGCGTGGATTACATGTTGTACAGCGGAGGCGTTGCGGATACACTGTAGACTTGCGTGCTTCTTCGATTATTGTTTATTAGAATCCCGAAGAAGTATTTTCTAGCAACTCATTCCTCTTGCAGAGAAGAGAATCAACGCCTAGGACAAACACGATAGCCATGGACTACCGGTGCAACCATTGACGGCCATCATGTCATCGCCTCCACCGCACAACAACTGCATCTAACCCCCTCCAACCTCTCCATCTCCCCGACAAAAACCCCCCTCCCCTCCTCCAGATCAGCCACCAGTGCCTCCCTCGACGAGACGACACGACACGTTTCGGACCCCCCGTATCCCAAAACCGATCGGGGCCACGGGTTCAACCTCGCACCGAGGACCCAATCCGCCGTCGCGTCACGTGTCCAAACGACCCGTCCTCCGTGCCGGCTAGCTGGCTGGCTGGCTGTCTGTCTGGCTGTCTGGCTGTGGAAAATGGGGCGTGCGTTTGATGGGATGGTTGGTTGGTTGGTTGGTTGCTTGACTGAAATGGAATGTTGCTTGCTTGCTTGCTTACTGACTGACTGAATGGAATGGTTGGTTGATTCTGGACCGGAATGGACTGGGCTCGTTCGGAGCTGCGCTTTTCGCATCTGCATACGTAGGGGTGAGTGAGTGAGTGTCTCGGGCATCGTCCCCGTTGCTGGCGGGTGTGACTTGGAGGGCGGACGGTCACCGTGTGACCCCTGTGGAGAGATGACAAGCTGACAAAGAAAGGTGGAGGTTTCGAGATATTCACACCTCACAGAGGTAAAAAAAAGGGGGTAGATTTTGATGTCGAGCGGACAAGAAATCGTTGGTTTCAAGATATCGAGGTAGGATTCCCATAGTGCACAAATGGTTTCTTGAACTTTTATTGCATTGCTATCATACAAAAGGAGTAGTACAATCGGCCGTTAACTGGGGAGCTAAGCTCTACCACGGGGTATCACGTCATGAAAATATAGGAAAACACCCAGACAAACCCGCTATTAGAAGACAGCAAGGGGTTCAAACTCCCCGGAGAAACCGCCGTTCAGGAGCTCGGCAACAAGACGGCGGCGTTGCAGGGGCATGTCCCCCGCAGAAACAGCCATGGGATCGACCCCAAGCATAACCATCTTTGCTGTCGTAACAGCAAACACCCCACAATCGTTAATGTTGTTCTGAGTCGGCCCCTTTCCACGGCCAGGGTATACCGGATCTTCGACAACAGTCCACTCCGAGTCAACATACGAACGGCCCAATTCACCTTTCAACCACCCCTTTGTAGTATTCACCTTGTCCAAAGTGTCGCCATGCATAGAATCAAAGACTTCAATCGTCTTTCGTACCGGGGAGACTACCACTAGAGTCCAATGGCTCTTGCTTGGGTTGCACGGGATGAAAACATACTCGACGGTCTTCAAGTCGTTACCACCAATCTTGGCACGGGTAGACCACCTCTTGACGGCGTCGTAGCCACGCTCTTTCAGAGTCGTGTAAAAGAACGGATTGAAGGCATGCAGCCAAGGTTTTGCGCCGCGAGGGTGGCACATTCTCCGGTGGCCATGGTCGACGACTGCTTGTAGGTACCCGCTGATTATTTCATCATTCAGCCAACCGCTCGGGTGATCTCCTGTCCCAGGCTGAGGAAGTACCATTCCGAAGTCACGGCGCGTCAGAGCATTCCCAACACTTGTCATGGCAAGTTGCTCTCTCATACCCTTCGCCATGTTGATCCGGACCTTCTCATCCCATCCTGGTGGTAGTGACTGGATCACCTTCTCAATAGGAATGCGACGACCTCCAGTCTTCTTGCGCTCCTCCTCCTGCTTTGCCTTGATCCGCGCCTTCTCCTCGGCCTCCTCCTTGTGCTTGCGTGCCTTCTCTTCGGCTTCCTCCTTATCCTTGCGAGCCTTCTCTTCAGCTGCAATGGCGTCCCTTAGCTTCTGTGCTTGATCCTCCTTCTCGCGTCGGCGTAGCGAAGAACGACGGGTAGAGATTGTCAACTCTTCGAACTTTGGGGAGAGATGAGATGGTGGAGTCGATGGGTCTGCGGCGGCAGTCTTCGTAGGTGTCTCGAATGACTGAACGCTGGCCTCGTTGTCGCTCGACGAGTTAGAGCTGATATTCTGTTCCTCACCTGCGTTGTTGATTGCGTCCGTTTGCTCGGCTGTTGACGTAGTATTCAATACGTCGCTCTTATTGGATGAGATCGGGCTCATGCTCCAATCATCACCGGCACACGTTGGTGGATAGATTTGGTGTAGTGGATTCAATGCTACTTCCTCTGCCTCTTCCTGCATAGTTGGGCTGAGCTGAGGCGAGAAATCGCTGGGCACGCTACTCAGGATGCTGCTGTCCTCGCGGGAAGAAGCAGGACTGGGATGCGACATGGCCTCATGCTTTATAAATCGTTTGGTACCTGTGACAGGTCCGTGTTCAGGCCAAGTGACCTTCTTTGGTGTCTTTGGTACTTTGTGGATATTGGCATTGTCCATACGTTCGCGCAAAGGGGATCGCTTCTTTGGCTTGCCTTGAACACGCGCATAAAGTGACCGAATAGACCATTTCGACGTCGATCCTGCAAGAGTCGTAGTCATCATGACCGATTGGCTCGAAAGAGGGCTCCTCGAGGGCACGGGTGTCGTGCCTTGTGCATGGTCTGAAACGTCGGGACCAGCCTCGTGTGTGTCAGTCATGGCATCAACTCCTACCTCCATGTGGGATTCGGCCAAAGGAGATCGTGGTGAACCGATCGATCCAATTGGGCTCATCCCAGGCTGCAGATGGATAGGAGATACGCCATCCAAAGGAGATCGCGGTGAGTCGATCAATCCAATGGAATTTGTCCCATGTGGGGAATTGATGGGCGTTACGTCGGCCACAGGAGATCGTGGTGATTGGATCGATCCAGTGGTGATCGTTTCATGCTGCGAATTGATTGGTGATGCGTCGACTAAAGGAGATCGTGGTGAGTCGATCGATCCAGTGTTAGCCGTTCCAAGTGGCCGGTGTGGTATGTCAGAAGCTGCATCGGGCGAGTGGTTCAGTACATGGCCTGCCCTCGTAGGTGATACGTCCGCCAAAGGAGATCGATATAAGTCGTTCAATCCTATGGAAGTTGTCCCATGCGGTTGATGAAGAACATCTGTGGTAGCTCTGTGCAAATCCAAAAAAGATCGGTGTAAGTCGTTCGATCCAATGGAAGCCATGCCCCGAGGCTGGCAAAGAAGTCCGGGAGTCGATCCATCCACATCCATCGTTCCATCAGCTGCTCCTGTGTGTGATACGTTGGCCATAGGAGATCGACGTGAATCAATCAATCCAGTGGTAGTCGCTCCGTGTTGCTGATGAGAAAACCTGGGAAAACCGTTCGCCAAAGGAGATCGCTGTGATTCGATCAATCCAGTGGCACTTGTCCCACGTTGCTGATGATGAGTTTTGGGAGATCCGTTCGCCGTAGGAGATCGGGTTGATTCGATCAATCCAGCGGGGTTCGGTCCTTGTGGCTGTTCAGGAACGTTGGTGGCGTGCCGTCGTATTTCTTTAGGAGGTGGATGGATAGCCTGGAATTCTCTGCAGACTTTAATTTGCCAATCGTCGAGGAGCTCGCCTTTATAGTTTCTGGGCCGGCTATCGACTTTCTGCAATGGAAATTCAATGGTAACTTGCACGTCTGGTATATCAGATTCGTCGGAAGGTTCGCTGCGTGGTGTAGCCAAATCATCAACAGCTCGCTCTTCTGATATAGCCGATTCATCGGTATTTTGGATGTGCGGTTTAGCTGAATCATCGCTAGCTTGTGGCTCCGTCGTTGGCGATTCAGTTGAAGGAAGCCCGGGTGGTGATGGCGATTCTGGAAATGTTCCCGGGATGTGATATGATGAGAAAGACGTGGTAACATTCGACTGAGAATATTCGTCCATCTCCATGTCTTCGAGCGCACCGGACATCAGGGGCTCGAAATAGGATTGATGAGTGACACCGGACATCAGGTGATCATCTTCAGGTGAGGAAACAAAAGCACCTGGGCCCTGGTGTTCAACGCCGCCTGGTACGTAGTTGACAATGCATTCATGGTTGATCAATGCGGCTTCTTTGAGCGTAGCCGTTGGTCGTGCCCTTGGTGGAGTGACCGGTATGTGCGTACGGCCTCCAGGTGATGTAGGAGAGACGCGGCGGATGATGGGAGATCGGCGACGGTGAGGTGGGACGTGGTGGCGATGCCTTCGAGGAGGTGGAGCAGGAACAAATGCTTTCCGAGTGACTTCGACAAGGCGACGTTTGGCAGAACCGCCAACGCGAACAGCAACGGTGGCAGTGTGAACGTAAGCATCGCCCGCCAATTCGCAGCTGCTGAAGACAAGCAGCGCGACTCCGTAGATGATCCACTTGACCCACTCCGGAAGGTAGTAGCCAATGGGCTGCCGTGGCTGTCGCTGGATGATTGGTTGAAGGATGACATTGCCGTCAAAATCGGTAACATATCGAGCGGGGCGGCCGTTGAAGTCTATGAAAGGTTCTACCACTTCCGTGTGATTTCGAAGTGTGTCAGTGACTCGATAGCCTGAATAGTCTTCATTCGGGTGATATGGTTCGTTTGTATCATTGTAGGTATCGAAGGATCTCTTTCGCCATGGGCTTGAAGCTGGTTGAATGATGTGGAGTGAGGAGTCCTCTTCCCAGTCCATGCGATCGCTCCCTGGGCTGCTGTCCATGATGGACGATGGCCGATGACGCGGTGGGTTGAAATGTCGGATTGAAGAAGGTGCGATGAATGTATCATGCGCAATTGCTGAGGAAGGTGTGGTGCATCACATGTGATTGATGTGGATGATGGACGATGAGGAAGGAAGTGAGAGGACAAGCCAAGGATTTGTTTTTGTTTTGACGGAGAATATTATTAGTACGAGTAAGGATCATAAGAAGCTGGTAAAAAGGGCAGGAGCGTTCTTGGCAACTGCTTTGAACATTGCGACCTGGCACTGATGTCAAGTAAAGTATGAGAGGGTTTAAGGTACAGTATTCAAGCAGCCTACTTTTACCGCTTACTTTACTCTACGGCAAGTTTGAAGCTCAAAGACGTACTTTATTTTAAACCTTTTTTTTACCCGAACGGACACTAATGCAAGTGACCCTCCGAAGACCTCGTGTCACAGCCCACAAATCGATCGGCAGCATTCCCGAAGAGCCGCAACTCAAACATGAAACAGTCCCACATACTTTACTTACATGAGGTACCTAAATACCTACCTACCTCCATGTACCTTACGCCTGCTGCAAGACATCAAGCTAGGAGCCTACCAAAGTGGACAAATTTCAGGGTTTGAGACCCAAAAACTTGCACATTTTGGACTCAATGTCAACAGCACATGCAAACATTAGATTCGGCTTGGCTTGCGATAAAGCAGCCTTCAAGAGGTTCCTAATGCTATATGTGCTCATGGATCCTTCCAAAATACAATCCAACTTCCGAAGCGCCTCCAACCGTCGTCGTAAAATGTCGTAAAAATCATGTTCATACAATCATGGAAGATACCATTACCGGTCCCTTTCAACCGCCAAACGTCAATATCACGGCCTCGCTCACAGCGCCAAGCTGCAATCATCTCGAAGAGTATGGCTTGTTCATGGCCGCGATCTCTCTCGCAATCGTCGCCCATTCCAGCTCTCGTTTGATTGGCTCGCCTCTTCTTTGCTGGCAGATTTCATCCCATTTCAGCAGCTCGTAGGCGAAACGTAGATGTGGCTGAATGATGACGTTCAGCCGTCGTGCGCGTACGTAGCAGTAGGCCCGTGGGAACGAAAGGCCGTGTGACGCCATCACCTCTGCTATGCAGATCGTTGCTGAGCGAGAGACGCCAACACGGCAATGGACAAGCGTCGCTGTTCCATCGCTCTTGCCTTTGGCTAATTTCGCCTGCTCAGCTTTGCTCAACCAGCGCATGGGACGGGAGAGCCTTCTTACCAATGAAGTCCAGACACCGCTCAAAGTCCTTCATCAAAGGATCAACGCCATTATCTTGTACCCTGTCGATGAAGAGCAGACTCTTCTGTCCCCAAGCTTCGATCTGGGCTTTCGTCCAATTCGCAGGCTCCCCGACGCTCAGTACCCTTTTGATGCCCATCTCCTTCAACAGATCTGGATTATTTGCATGCCCCAGGTTTCCGAGGTACATGTAGGGGAGAATGCGACTCGGCAAGCTTCCATCTATGCGTGAAATCCATGCGGGCTCCTCCTGTGCGGCTTGAGAGCGATCTCTAGTCAGAGACAGCGTCGGGACAAGACGAGGTTGCAGTGAAGCCAACAAGGCAACATCGGATGGATAGGCAAAGAAGTTGCGCTTCTTCTCGCAGTGCAGACGTAGCCAAGCTTCATGCACAGCCACCTGTTCGGCATACATGAAGTATGCGAGGCCAAGGAGCGTACTTTCTGTGTAGCCATCTGTGCAATGTATGAGAAACTTTCGAGGTTGAGGAAAGATCGGCTTCATTGGAATATCTCCATCTGAGTCATTCTCCTCATCTTCGCTGGCATCCGGCGTGTTGTTAGGGTTCGCGAGCTTGTAGATCCATTGGCACATGGTCTTCAGTGGGTCGGATCCCTTTTTGGTATGTGCTTGAGGCATGATACTCCCTGACGACGGATATTCGAGATGCTGTGGTGCTGAGTAGCTCAGCTCCCCGATGCGCTTGAGCGTATGAGTATCTGGAGGCTGTGCCAGATCATTGGCTTCAACGAGTATGTCAAATGCAGGTTCATCATCGTTTTCTAATGGAGGGCAGAGCAACGAGTCTGGCGTTGGGCCTAGCCATACGTTTCTAGCAATTTCCGAAGCTTTCGACATGTTGCACATTTCTTGTCGCTCCCAATGAACTGGCAACTGTCAGATAATGGCCAAACAAGGCCGTTTCAATACTTACAGAAGTCCATCACTTTGCCTGTCGTCTGTCCCTGGGAATCCACAGCCACGATATCCGGATAATTTTGCTCGACTTCTTCGAACGAACCTGCCAGTGGTCTTAGAAATAGCCTTGCTATCTGGTCATAGACTGAGACTCACTAGACATTATGAAAGTATTGAAAATTGGCACATGCTCATCTCCGCTTCCATTCTTCACTTGCCACGTACTTTGGGCTGTCGCGAAAACCTTCGCCAGATCGTGTATCTCTTCTGCTTCGGTCTCAGGGTCGCCGTATAATACGATATCTGACACGGTGGCCATCTTCGTTGCTTGTATTTGAAAGTTCCGGACCGAGAAACCATCCTTCGGGTCGACCTCGAGAAAGCTAGCATCTTTTCCGTTCTTGAGGTCCAATATCTCGTCCGCGCTGACGGCACCTTTCAGCCTTGCCTTTGTGAGCTCGCCCCCAACTTTGACGACTGTGATACCTCGAAAACATTGCGGTGTTTTCCGTAGAGCTTTACGACGGGCAATGAAAAAAGCCAGCTGAACCTGATTTTCGGCGTGCAAGCCATGAAGCCAGGGGAAGGCAACCTTTGGATCCGGGAAAAGCTGCGTTGCTTGCTCGTTGATCGCTGCGGCTAAAGTAAAGGCATCAATGGAAAAGACTGCGGGTTTATCGATGATCTGAGGATAGGTGTCCGCGGGGTGAAGCAAGGAGAAAGTCTGTAGGCCTGAGTTTTTAGTTGGTGGAGAGGCCGGGGGTGAAGCCAGTTGCGATTTTCCGGGTGCTGGACCGGCAGGACAATAAGGAAGGTGTTTGTTTGGTATTGGAGTAGAGCCAGGTCGAGATGTGTCAAGACTCAGTGCCGATGTCTCAGGCGGAGGGGTCAAAGAAGCTCTCGATCCTGGCTGGTGGATGACTAGTGTCGACATCTTATGCTCTCATAGGTCACGAAAAGTCCGGGAGCGGGTTTGTGAGCCCTCTGGGGCTGTCGTGACCTCAAGCTCAGCGGTGGAACTTGAGCTCCTAGTCCCCCTGCTTATGGAGACTGGTAAATGCTGCAAAGCTCTAGGGATGGAGAGTCGGAGCTAGAGCGTAACTAATAGTAACTGGCCCTGTCAGAGCATGAATGGGATGTTAGACAATGTACGTGGGCGTCGTGGTCATTGGAAAATTGAAGGTAAAGTATGTTGTGAGAACAAGGTCAAGAGGAAGTCGCTGGACTTTGAGCGTCAGCCGGACCCAATATTTATAATAACGGTACGAAAATATGCACTACGAATTGGTTGAGTGAAGGACACTTGTCGTACCTACCTGGCTCCTGAAATGGGCAGGGTAATTAGAAAGTATGGCATCATTCAAGGAATGTTACAGAAGCTAGACGATAAGAGAAGTGAAGACGCCAGGATATCAATGGAGATGGGAAAAGTGAGAGCAAACAGTAATGAGACAGTCAATTGAGAATAGATGGAAGGAAATGTGATGGAGAAATGTATCATAAAAAAGTTGCCAGCAAACGAGCAGGTCCGAGATATCGAAAAAGTGGGGCTGGCGGGGTCATCCTTAGCTCCCGTCGCCTAGTAGTAGCTGGGCCATCCCCATCCATGATCTCCAGGATGCATCATCGCAAAGTCAGGCAAGAAAGTCAGGTATTCAACGACGACTTGCAGGCGCACTGCTGCACTGGGACTCAATGCATACCGCTGAATGGTCCACGTTCCCTGCCTGTTTGACGCGTCCTTCACACTAAACCACGCTGATCCTCTGAAGCATGGCCAACCAATTCTTTGACGAGGCTGCATCGACCGATTTAGGCTCAAAGATTAGGCGTCTGGGGGACTTGGCTGCAGACAGACAACCCTCCCGCAGATACGAGGATTCGCTTATGATGGCGGTTGGTGTCTTGATCAGGAACTATAGCTTTGTGCCTTCTCTTTCAATTCATCAGCCAGGCGCTCAAGATAGAACTTGCCCATGTCTCGAGGTAATTTATCGAAAGACTTGGAGATCCTTTCAACATCTCTTCTACCCTTTTCGTAAGCTTGTAAGTCGCGATTGCCATAAACATCCCTTCCAGGAGCATAGCCGGTATCGATGTTGCGAAAGAAAACATTGACAGAAATGCTGACATTATCGAGAGGGGAGGCAGTGTGCAACCAAAGTGGAGGTATGAATAACACGTCTCCTGGTTGAAGCAACGCTTCTTGTGGATGCCCCAGAGTAAGTGAAGGATGTCTATTCGGTCCAGTGTCAAAGCAATTTATTGAAGAGCTCGAGGTGCCAGGAGGAATGGAGAAGAGCGACACGTCAGATGGAGGATACAGAATTAATCGCTTGCTACCATGTATCTGACAAAGGACGTTTGCCATGACGTCGTAGTGAAGCCACATCGTAACAGGCCCTGAAATTCGGAGGACGGAGCTATGCATTTTATCTTTCACGATGCCAAGTTGCAGCGGCAGTCCGAAGCTAGAAGCAAGTTCAGGGAAGTCAACAGATATATTGGCGGATTTTCCAGCGGGGTCCTCCGACGAGAGGGATCGTAGATATTGTGGAGAGCCTCCGGTAATCTCATCTACGAAATCCTTGAACGGCTTCTTGGCGTATTTGAAGTTCTTGGACTGGAAATCCAGGTATTTATCAGAGCCTTCGTGGACCACGACAGCCCTGTCTCCACCGATCTTCGCTGTGAGATATGGTAACGTCCACTCCCCCATCCACAAGCCCATATCTATGTTCCTCATAATGACAGGCTGCCCGTCGTTCAAGATCTGTTCGAAATCTTTGGACGATTGAATTTGATCATCTCGTGGGACAGTACCTGCGAAGTTTGCCGGTTTGAGAATATCGCCCGCGGCTTTCCGTCCTGAGAACAGGTCAATCCCCCGTGTAAGTACTTCTACTGGGGGTCCTGGCGCTCGATCACGACTCGATATGTTGAGTATAGTTTCATTCCAGAAGGTTCCAAATGAAAAACAAACGGCTCCGCCTCCAAGAATATTAACAGCGTCTAACGATGCGAAGGTGCTGTGGCCGATAAGCAAGGGCCGCTGTCCGGTGGCGTGGATATCAACTGGGGCCCATTTCCAGATGCTCTTTTGGTCGTCATTGGTGTTCTCCCGGAGAAGTTTGATAACCTCAAGGCTTTTGGGAATTAAGTCTGAAGATACACCACCCACGAGCAAGAGCCCAAATCTCGAATTGATAAGGGATGCACCCAATCTTCCTATAATGGAATGGCTATCAGGTCCGGAAAATACCATACGACTCAACGATATGCTGAGCTCTGATACGTCACCAGAGATAGTCCATTCCCAAGCTTCTGAAAGGATCTTGCCGTCATTGGCCATCCCACCTAGTAGTATTCCCCTCCTAAAGCCAGTCTCTTGCATAACGGCACCGAACCTAGGCTTCAAACTATCGCCCCTAACCGGAGTTGTAACCCACCCAAAGCCCTTGCGCCATAGTAGCCATTGATCGGAAACATGGCCGGCTCCGGTCTTACCCCCATAGATGAGTAAAGCATTGTCGGAGGAATGGCTTGGGTTCTCCAGCGCAATTGTAGTGGCACAGTGTCTGAACAAGGGGATTGGAAGGTCTTCTACTCTCTGCCAGTAATCTTTGCCAGATAACCAACAGTCCTGAAATACGTGGTCAGGAGACGCTCTTCCACCTGCAACGAGGAAGCCAAGACGATCAGAGGTGATTGTATGGCACATCCGAGGCTCGATACTCTCTAGTTGTTTGCATTTCTTCTCGAGTACGGCGATTTTGACAGAATCCGGAGGACCCATTCCGGGTAGCATATAGACATCTGTTGTACCGAGCCTGGTTTGGAGACCTAGACCACCGTGATGTCCGAACGTGTTTTGAGAAAGTGGAGTCACAGCCCCGGACCTTCTTCGGTGAGAGCAAGGGAAAGCTTCGCACTGTAGTGTCAAGGGAACTTCCACCGGTAGACTCGCAAATGTAACGTGATTTGGATCCCACAGGTGTCCTAGATATGATCGATCGACGCCGGTCGAAGACGACGTGTTTGCGGCTAGGAGAAGGAAGTAGTGAGATGCAAAGAGGACAAATTCCTCCCATTCGTCAAAAGGTTCCACGTCATTGAGGACTAGCTTTTGATCCGGTGACACAAAAAGATCGTCGCTCCATAAGTTCCACAGGCTTCTTACACTTACCGAGGACCATCCCGCTCGAAGGAAACGCTGTTCTTGGTCTGCTAATTGCGGGTATTGATGAACAGATCTTAACGGCGTCTGAAGATTGTTGAAATGGCGGATCATCTTCTGTGCAAATGGATGTTCCGCACCAGCGGGTAAATACTGCTCAAGGAGACAGAAGCGTACTGCAGTACATCAACAACCAAATCAGCAATAGTCTGCATACGTAGCTCTTCACGTACTGTCATCGTGAAGAGCCGCCCATCGAATGAGAGAATCTGCTGCATTGGTATCCATGTAAGTGATAGAAACTTCAGCGGTGCAAAGCACTAGACAGTCTGACATTCGGACCTCGCTCGCGAGTAGCATGTCAAGCCTAGTCACATCCGCAAGATCACATCCAATAGCCAAATAATGTTCACTGCGTAGAATAAGACCCTTAGGATCCAAAGGTCGATCATGAGGACCAAGCAAATCTTGGAGTTGCGATGTATTGCAAATGACATCGCACTTCTTCTCCATCAAATCCGGGTAATCCACGTCCACGAAGGTGACATTATGACATCTTGCTAGATGCTTCGAAAGCCACTGGAAGGGTACGGGATCACTATTCGATGATCAGTCTGTCACAAAGACTCGAATATCATAGCTTCTTGCTTACTACCCACATCCAAGATTCAAGACTATCTTTTTCTTCTTCGAAGGCTCGTCAAGGAATTGCTTGATGGCTTGTTCAAAGGCATGCATTCGCAGCCAGTAACCACGGCCAATCAATGGTGATCTCCTCCGAGGTTTCTTGACAAAGTAGCGGTAAAAATGTGGCTCCTGGTAGTACAAGCGCTCAACACTTCTCTTGGAGACGATAGAACTATTATTCGTGTCCATTACAGAGGCATCCGCCCTCGCCTTTCGTGATTTCGGGCGTTGCTGACCTGCCATTATGGTCTTTAAGTGAAGTCTGCTCACAAGAGTCACCGTCGTTACTTTTATTAAAGTTTCTTTATATTATTTATTTTATTATCTTTCGTTAAGTATTAGTTAATCGATTAGCTTTTATAAAGTCGCTCGAAAAACGTTATCTTAAATATCTTTCTCGAAGTAGATATCTTTATACTTTATAGCTATTATAGTAAGAAATAACGACGTATATAGAATATATTCTCTTTTAAAAAACTATTATTATATTATAATTATACTTTAATTACTATAATCGCTAGATTAATTATCTATATCTTTTATACTCTTAAATCCCACGCCTAAATAGAGTTATTATATTACTTCTCTATCTATAATATTTAATCTAATACTTAAATAATTTCAATCTCGCGAATAAGCTTCTAAAGATCTATTCTAAGAATATCTTCTATATCGATTTCTCTAAGTATATTACTACTATATCGTATAATAAATATTAAATATATTCTCTCTTATATATTAATAATTATTATTTATAATATCATCTTAAAATAATAAATTATATATTCACTCGAGAATAGATTAACTAGCTTCGCTAGAGGGTTTTTTATAAAAGAGTTTACTCTTATAAAGATCTTCTTATTTATTATAAAAACGTATTATCTCTTTAGATTCTCGTCTTATATAAAGGCTATAACTTCGAAGCGAAGATATTTAAATTTAATTATTTATTATAAATTATCTAGCTCCTTTAATAAAGCGATATAATTACTATTATACTTCTTTAAAAGAGTATTTTATAAATCTTTAATAGTATTATAATCGATTTCGATTTCGTTTTCTCGACTATA